CCCCCTCCTCCTCTCCCTCCCCTCCCTCCCCTTCCTCCCCTTCCTCCTCGCTCTCCTCCCCTTCCCCCTCTCCTTCCGCCCCTCCCTCTCCCCCTCCCCCCTCCCTTCCCCTCCCCTCTCCCCTCCCACCGCCCTTTCCCATCCCCCTTCCCGTCCCCGTTCCCCTCCCCGTACCCTCCTGCACCCACCGTCACCACTTTAAACAGCGCAAAGTACAGGTCAATGAGCTGCCTCGCGAGCATGGGACCCAGTCCCTTGTGGGACAAAGTAATATGATTCAGAAAGACGGCTGCGTAGTGCCGGGCGCGCGTGCTGATGTTGGGGCGGAAGACAAACGCTTCCACGTGCTTCACCACCACGGGGGCCATGTTGGGGTGGGCGTCTAGCAGACACCCCAGCAGGTAGCTGGCTTTCGAGGCCACCTTGCGACTGGGATCCCCCAGCTGGAGGGGAGGGGGATGGGTAGGGGCGGGGGGACAGGGGCAGGGGAAGAGAGGGAGTGCTGATGTGGTTCAAAATGACAGCCGCGTAGTGCCTGGCGCGCGTGCTGATGTTGAGGCGGAAGACAAACGCTTCCACGTGCTTCACCACCACGGGGGCCATGTTGGGGTGGGCGTCTAGCAGACACCCCAGCAGGTAGCTGGCTTTCGAGGCCACCTTGCGACTGGGATCCCCCAGCTGGAGGGGAGGGGGATGGGTAGGGGCGGGGGGACAGGGGCAGGGGAAGAGAGGGAGTGCTGATGTGGTTCAAAATGACAGCCGCGTAGTGCCTGGCGCGCGTGCTGATGTTGGGGCGGAAGACAAACGCTTCCACGTGTTTCACCACCACGGGGGCCATGTTGGGGTGGGCGTCTAGCAGACACCCCAGCAAGTAGCTAGCTTTAGAGGCGACTTTCCGGCTCGGATCACCCAGCTGGAGGGGAGGAGGACAGGGGGGAGGGGGACGGGTAGAGGGGCGGGGGAAGAGGGGCAGGGGAAGAGAGGGAGTGCTGATGTGGTTCAAAAAGACGGCCGCGTAGTGCCGAGCGCACGTGCTGATGTTGGGGCGGAACACAAAAGCTTCCACATGCTTCACAACTACAGGGGCCATGCTGAGGTGAGCGTCTAGCAGGCAGCCCAGCAAATAGCTCGCTTTGGAAGCCACCTTTCGGCTTGGATCCCCCAGCTGGAGGGGAGGAGGACGGGGAAAAGGGAGGTGGGGGGGAAAGGGGAGGGTGAAAAGAGACACAAACGTCTCGACATGGTGTAAGCAATGGAAGATGTAGCGGGTACAAGTGTGTTTTGAGACGTCTCAAAACACTTCTTCAATCACGTGGCGGGTACAAGTGTGTAAGCCTGGGGAGAAACAATTGCACAGTGGAAGGTTTGCAACGGAAGAAGAGGCAGCTTGTGCCTATGACGCAGCTGCAACCAAGGAGTATGACTCAAATAAAAAAACTAATGCCAGCTTATTGCACGACGCCTCGAACGTGCCTCTTGTGGGAGGGAGTAGTGAAACCGTGCAATAATCCGTGCAATATTGCATTTGAGCCATACTCCTCGATCGCAGCTTCGTCATAGGCACAAGCTGTCTTTTCTTCCGTCGCAAAACTCCCAATGTGCAATTGTGTCCCCTCGGCGTTACACAATTGTACCCGCCACATCTTCCATGCTTACACCACATGACGCCTCTGTACTGTTCTGATGTTGGGTCGGAACACAACCGCCTCGACGTGTTTCACCACCACAGGGGCCATGTTGGGGTGAGAGTCCAGCATACAACCCAGCAAGCGCTCATTCTCATCCCACGACACCTGTCTGTACCCCTCTCTGCCCCCATATCTCACCTTGTTCACCAGAGCCAGCAGCACGCGTCTCTCCCCCTCAGCTTTAGACGACAGAAGGGCATGCAGAATTCGAAGCACCTTATTCCGTACAGACTCGACCACGTTCTTTCCCCCCCTCCAGCCTCTCCCAAAACCGCTCAAGAAACTCCTTTTTTTCCCCTCCTTCTCCCCTCCCTCCCCCTCCTCTCTCCCCTCCCCCTCCCATCCCCTCCCCCCATATCTCACCTTATTAACCAGAGCCAGCAGCACCCTCCTCTCCCCCTCGGCTTTGCTCGACAGCAGGGCATGCAGAATCCGAAGCACCTTATCCCGCACAAACTCGACCACGTCCTTTCCGCCCTCCTCCAACCCCTCCAGAAACCTCTCAAACCGCTCCTTTAAACACTCCTCGTATCGCCACAGCCGCAGCAGCCTCCTGCCCGCATCTCCCCCCGCTACAGTCACCTTCCCTCCTGTTTTTTCCCTCAGCCTTTGTCTGTTGCGAGGCAGCTTGTAGCGGGGATGCTTTTAACGGGGACAACAGCAGCAGCGGCTGTTGGTGCAGCCAGCGCAGCTTGCGCGAATCAGGCAGCAGCGAGGAGGTGAAGAGCTCGCTGAGCGCGTCCATGGCTCCCAGGGCGTGGCGCTTGGTGGCCTTATTCAACACCATGGCTGCATGGAAGGGAAGGAGGAGGAGGGGGAAAGTGGGGAGGAAAAGGGGTTAACTGGGAGGGAGGAAGTAAGAGGAGGAGAGAGGAATTGAAGAGGGAGCGGATATGGGGGGAGGCTGAGTATGTTCTTTAACCAGAGATACAGTTGCTCAAAAGCGCGGATTTTTTTTATTGCCCCTTACCCAGTAACGCGTCCAGGTTGGAAAGATTCGCTACAGGGTCATCCTGTATAACCACAGTCAGCGCGGCCACACGATCCGCGGCCGTTCCAGATCGACGGACGGCAGCGAGCCACCTGGCATCGCTGCTGCTCTCCTTGCGCCGCTCATAAGCTTCCGCCGCCTCCTTCAAAAGTGCGTCCCCTTCCCCCCGAAGCTGTTCCGCCAACGCCATCCACTCCGCCTCCGACAGCCCCCCGCGCGGGTCTTCCGCCTGACCCCCTCCACCCGCCCCTGCGCCTTCCCCCGAGTTCCCGTTTGTGCCAGTAGAAGCGCCAGCTTCCGCGTCAGCTTCCGCGGATGCATCTTCGCCCGTGCTTGCGGTTTCCGCCCCTCCGGATTTTCGTCGAGCCTTTTTGGCGAGAGACTTTTTCGACGGGGTTTTAGCCGGGGATTGCGAGGGTTTTGACGGGTTGCTAGACGGATAATCTTTAGACGCGGACGCTACTAACGAATTTTCGATACTGCTGGCCTGCTCATACCATACTTTAGGTAAAAGATCCATCGTGATGAGAACAAGGATTCTAGAGTAGCTGAGATGTGACTACAGCGAGAGAAATTTACAGCGGTGACATTTCCCAGCTCGGCATAATGAGGCTTGGGAGGTATCTCGGACGAAACGCGCCCGCAGCTACAGGAGAGCGGATTCGTTGCGCGTGGGATGAACCCGAAGTCCAGAGTCTAGGTGAGGCTTTAGGTCTTGAGAGGGTAAAGCGCATCAACATTACTAATGCCAATTATTTCAGGAAATAGCCTGTGGTGATCGGTGTACTCGATACAAGGTTTCCGTGCACGCTTGCAATCAGAGCATGGAACACCCGTTGTTTTCGTCTTCTAGAACCTGCAATTTTGGCTTTGAACCAAGCAGGTGGTAGCCCAATAATACCCGCTTTGTTCGAATGTGGCTTGTTTACGTTCCAGAGCGGCCAATTCAATTTCTAAAGTGGTTAGGTAGGGTATTGACAAAATACGAATTTGTCGGACGCGCCTTACAGGGAAACAAATGAGCCACTCATCTGTCCCACGTGGCGAGCCGCTCCAGGCGTGGCAATCCCGAAGGCTGGTCGACCCCCACAAGATCGGATGGTCAGCAGCGAACCTCAGCCAACAAATCACACCAATTACATCCCCGAACTTCATAGAAGCACGCACTACAAGCAAACTTCATTGGAACTTCTTCTCTAGACATCTCTAAGCTCCATTCTCAGGTCAGGTCATTTCACCCGCTCACTCCGGATCCAATCAGCAGCCGCCATGTGGTTCGCGGAGACGCCCAGCAAGCGATGGGCCGAGAAGTTCTTCCTTTACTATTCGCCCGTTTGGATCACATGGGCTCTCGGGATCATCGTCACGTTTCAGCTCTATAAGGTACCTAGCTCACTCGCTCCTTACGATCCAGTGAGGGACTTTGAGTCAACTCAGATTAGTAGCCGTTTGGTTCTCGGCATCAACGTCCCGCCTTCAGCTCTGTAAGGTACCGCCATAAGGCTCCTAGCCCAGTCAACTCCGGTCAACCATCTGAGTCGTAGGGAGCATCTCCAGTAAACTCAACATAGCCGTTGTGAACTACACTCTGGGTGCACTTATAGAACCCGACATTGCCTCGTTCGGCGCCACGGCATTGCCTCGTCCCCGGGCTTGGCATTGCTTTCGCGCCTCGGATTGTAGACCCGCGCAATCTACTCCCCACTTCCCTATGATGACCTGGTGACATTTCTGAGAATTCTCAAAACACGACGGTACCAGCCAGCTCACAACGGTTCAAATACCGCCTGGCTACACTCGTCCACCCACCCACGCGCTACTCCTCCACTCCCCCTCCCCTCCCTCCCCTCCCCTCCCCTCCCCTCCCCTCCCCTCCCCTCCCCTCCCCTCCCCTCCCCTCCCCTCCCCTCCCCTCCCCTCCCCTCCCCTCCCCTCCCCTCCCCTCCCCTCCCCTCCCCTCCCCTCCCCTCCCCTCCCCTCCCCTCCCCTCCCCTCCCCTCCCCTCCCCTCCCTTCCCCCCCCCCCCTTCCCTCCCCTCCCCCCCCCCTCCCCTCCCTCCCCTCCCCTCTCCACCCCTCCCCCCCTAACCTCTCCTCCCCTTCCCTCCCCTCCCGGGCCTCCCCTCCCCTCCCCTCGCCTCTCTGTCCAGCGCTTCACGGAGTAGTGGGCGTCATTGCACTTCACAGCGGTTCAAATACTGCCTGCTGCATCCGAGCGGACTTTTGAGTCGACTCAAAAGTCGACTTTTGACTTTTGAGTCGACTCAAAAGTCAACTCGCTTCACGGAGTAGTGGGCGTCATGGCACTTCACACTGGTACAACTACTGCCTGCTGCATCCCCCCCATTTCCGTCCACTACCCATGCTCACCCTCCCCTTTCCGCCTCCCCTTCCCCTCACACCTCCCCTTAACGGTTCACGGAGTGGGACTCATCTGCTGGTGGGCCAGCCAGGCCCCATTGCGCTTCACACTCCGGCCCCGTATCCCCCTCCCTTTCCCCTCCCCCTTCACCCTCCCCCTCACCTCCTGCCTGCTTCACAGCGGTTTAACCACTGCCTGCTCCACAGCGGCTAAACCACTGCCTGCGTCCCTCCTTTCCATCTACTACCCATGCTCACCCTCCCCCCCCCAGCACTTCACGGAGAAGGAGTATTTGCTGGTGGGCCGTTTTTGAGGCGCCTCAAAAACGACCTCAATGCACGCGCTTTCCATCTACTACCCATGCTCACCCCCCCCTAGCGCTTCACGGAGAAGGAGTATTTGCTGGTGGGCCTCGCAGCTGCTCTGCCCTGCGTGCTCGTCCCACCCTTCATGCTGTGTGCGGTGAGTGGGAGCGTGGGAGCATGGAAGAGCATGGAAGAGCATGGGAGAGCATGGGAGAGCATGGGAGAGCATGGGAGAGCATGGGAGAGCATGGGAGAGCATGGGGGAGCATGGGAGAGCATGGGAGAGCATGGGAGAGCATGGAAGAGCATGGGAGAGCATGGGAGAGCATGGAAGAGCATGGGAGAGCATGGGGGAGCATGGGGGAGCATGGGGGAGCATGGGAGAGCATGGGAGAGCATGGGAGAGCATGGGGGAGCGTGCTGTATGGTGGGATCATCATCTCATGTGACCTTGGAGCAGGTATCTTATATCATCAGGCTCTGTACTGTACTGGTGGTAACCGGGTCGATTTTTTAGGCGCCTCAAAAATAGGCTCTGTACTGTTCTGGTGGTAACTGGGTGCTCTGGCCTGCATGCTCGTTCCATTCTACCTGCCTTGTGTGAGCTGAGATCATCACATGTGAACCGGAACGAGAATGTCAAAGGTTACCATCCATCCATCCATCCATCCATCCGTCCGTCCGTCCGTCCGTCCGTCCACCCACCCACCCACCCACCCATCCATCCATCCATCCATCCATCCATCCATCCATCCATCCATCCATCCATCCATCCATCCATCCATCCATCCATCCATCCATCCATCCATCCATCCATCCATCCATCCATCCATCCATCCATCCATCCATCCATCCACCCACCCACCCACCCAACCACCCAACCACTCACTCATAATAACCCATCTTCCTCATCAGGCTGACAGGGCTAAGCCGTGGCAGGAGCAGCACTGGGTGAAGGCAAACGTGTGGATTGCAATCTCAACACCCTCCCATCCACGTATGTACCCATTCACCCACACATCCCCCCCATCTACCCCATCAGGCGGACAAGGGGCGGCCATGGCACGAGCAGCACTGGGTGAAGGCAAACGTGTGGATTGCAATCTTCAGCTTCGTTGGGAACTACTTCTGGACGCACTACTTCTACACACTGCTCGGGGCTTCCTACACCTTCCCCTCCTGGCGACTGAATGATGTGAGCTCCCTCCTATTTCTTCTAAAGGCCTCGATACCATCGCAATCGCAGTCTTCAGCTTCGTGGGCAACTACTTCTGGACGCACTATTTCTACACGCTGCTAGGGGCTTCATATACTTTCCCTTCGTGGCGACTCAATGACGTGAGTTCCCTCCTCGTGCTGCTTCGCTTCCTTCGAAAGGCCTCGATACCGTTCGCAACTTCAGCTTCGCGGGGAACTTTTTGAACGCACTACGTCTACCACATTGCTCGGGGCGTCGTACACTTTCCCTTCCTGGCGACTGAATGATGTGGGTGCGGAATGGTGATGTGGGTTCCCTCTTTGCACTGCTTCTCTCGCTTTTAAGGGTCTCTGCACCGCTCCAATCTTCAGCTTCGTGGGCAATTACTTTTGGTTTTTTGAGAATTCTCAAAAAACACCTTATTACTTTCGGACGCATTACTTCTACATGCTGCTCAGGGCTTCCTACACCCTCCCCTCCTGGCGACTCAATGACGTGAGTTCCGTTCCTGTAACTTCCCCTCCATCCTTCACTTGTGGGCACTTCTTTTCGAGTGGAGCTTCTTCTTTTACACGCTGCTCAGGACTTCAATGTATACATTTCCCTCTTGAAAGAGGTGATTCAATGATGGAAGTCCCCTCTCCATCTCTTTCAACCACTTTGATCTGCACTAGTATTCGCATGAGGGAAAGTGGAGGGACTTCTTCTTCTCCGCTGCCCTTCCATTCTTCTCTTTGATCTGCTGCCCCGCCATTCTCTTCCATTCTCTTTTTTTTTTTTTTTGCTCACCCACGCCTACTTCTGCTTCACGTCATCTCCAACATCACCCTCCGCCACCTCCGCCACTTCCTCAACACACCCTAGCCATCCCCTCCGCCCCTCCCTCAAGCCCTCCGTGAACCTCAAGTCGTGGATGAAGGGCAGGGATTTCACCACGTGGAGGAAGAATGGCACAGATTCATTTGCCTCTTCTGCTTCCATTCCCTTCCCCCTCCTCTCCACTCCACCCACTGGCACCTGCAGGTGCCCTTTGCGCTCTATCTGCTCACCCACGCCTACTTCTGCTTCTACCACGTCATCTCCAACATCACCATCCGCCGCCTCCGCCACTTCCTTAACATTCCCTCGCAACCCCCCCATAAATCCACTCACTCGGGAAAATCCAAGCCTTCTTCCTCCTCCTCCCCCTCCTCCTCCTCCTCCTCCTCCTCTCGCTCGTCTGTCTTCTCCCTCATTGTGCAAGGAGCGTGGGTGCTCGCTCTCGCGTACATCACCGCGTTTATGGAGACAGCAACCATTGCAAACGTGAGACTTGGGACCTGAGAGATTTAAAACATTCTCATCGCCTGTTCTTGAGTCGACTCAAAAGCAGATTTGAAACATTCTCATCGCCTGTTCTTGATGCAAATGCTTGTAATCCCGGAGTTTTGGGCACCCGCTCTTGCGTACATTACATCACATCATTGACTCTCACCTCCCCTCCCCCTCCCCCTCATCAGTTTGAGTACTACACCTTTGTGAACAAGGCCGCTACGTACCAGTTTGGCAGTGGTTGACTGGGCTCGAGGCAAACCCTCCCTCCCCACCGCTCCCTCAACCTCCCTCCCTCCCATCAGTTTGAGTACTTCACCTTTGTGGTCAAGGCAGCCATGTATCGATTCGGCTCCCCACCTTCCTTCCTCATATCCATCCATCCCTACCTCCCCCAGTTTGTGTACCACACCTTTGTGAACAAGGCCGCTATGTACCGGGTTGGCACTGGTTGACTGGGCTCGAGGCACACCCTCCCTCCCCACCGCTCCCTCAACTTCCTTGCTCACATCCCTCCCTCCCTCCCATCAGTTTGAGTACTTCACCTTTGTGGTCAAGGCAGCCATGTATCGATTCGGCTCCCCACCTTCCTTCCTCATATCCATCCATCCCTACCTCCCCCAGTTTGTGTACCACACCTTTGTGAACAAGGCCGCTATGTACCGGGTTGGCACTGGTTGACTGGGCTCGAGGCACACCCTCCCTCCCCACCGCTCCCTCAACTTCCTTGCTCACATCCCTCCCTCCCTCCCATCAGTTTGAGTACTTCACCTTTGTGGTCAAGGCAGCCATGTATCAGGTCGGCTCCCCACCTTCCTTCCTCACACCCACCCCTCCCTCCCCCAGTTTGAGTACCACACCTTTGTGGACAAGGCAGCCATGTACCATGGCACCTCGTATTGGGTTTGCTTGAAGAACGAATTCCTCCTCCCTCACCTTAACACTCCTCCCTCACCTGAACACTCCTCCCTCACCTGAACACTCCTCCCTCACCCCCCCCCAACCCTCATCAGTTCGAGTACTACACCTTTGTGGACAAGGCAGCCATGTATCGCGTCGGTACGCTCTTCTATGCGCTCTACTTCGTGGTCAGCTTCCCCTTCTTCTTCCGGTGCGTGTGTGCATGGGTTCTTGCGTATGAAGGCAGTGGCATGTGGGTGCGTGTGTATGCAAACTCTCCATCCCTGTGCTGCCATGTACCGTGTCGGTACGCTCTTCTATGCGCTCTACTCTGTGGTCAGCTTCCCTTTCTTCGTCCGGTGCGTGCGTGCTTGTGTGAGTGTGAGCTTGCGAGCGCTCCATTCCTTTATGTGCTGACTTTTGAGACGTCTCAAAAATCCATTCCATTATGTGCTGCAATTTATGTCCGCTTCAACGCCACCCTTCTATGCGCTCTACTTCGTGGTCAGCTTCCCCTTCTTCTTCTGGTGCATGTGTGCATGTGTGCGTGGACGTGCAAATGTGTGTGTGTGGCCATGATATTGTGGGTACGGGTCAGGCACTTCATCATTCCCTCCTTCCCGCCTACGCTCTGTTTCGATGTCAACTCGCCCTTCTTCTTTTGGTGCAGATGTGCATGTGTGCATGTGTGCATGTGTGCATGTGTGCATGTGTGCATGTGTGCATGTGTGTATGTGTGCATGTGTGCATGTGTGCATGTGTGCATGTTTGCGTGCACGTGCCATGCTCGGAGCGGCCATGCTGGGAACATGCATGCTGCTCATCTCATCCCTCCAAACCCACAAACTCTTCTCTCCTCACCCCTTCTCTTCCCGTGTGTCCCGTCCCCCTCTCTCCTCTTATATCCTTCCAGAATCAACAAGGACCCATCAGACACTTAGCCTCTCTCCCGGGTAGCTGTGGACTCGCTGGGAGCGTCCGTGCTGGTTATCCCTTTCAAACCTGCTAACTTTTCCCCTCCTCTACTATCCTCTCCCCTCCTCTCCTCCCCCCCCTCTCCTCTTTTATCCCCTTCAGAATCGACGAGAACCCATCAGACACTTGGTCTCTCTCCCGGGTAGCTGTGGACTCGCTGGGAGCGTCCGTGCTGGTTATCCCTTTCAAACCTGCTAACTCTCCTCTCCTCTACTCTCCTCTCCTCTCCTCTACTCTTTTCTCCTCTACTATCCTCTCCTCTCCTCTACTCTCCTCTCCTCTACTATCCTCTCCCCCCCCTCTCCTCTTTTATCCCCTTCAGAATCGACGAGAACCCATCAGACACTTGGCCTCTCTCCCGGGTAGCAGTGGACTCCCTGGGAGCGTCCATGCTGGTTACTATACTCCTTGACATCTGGCGCCTTGTGATTGGCCCAATCACCCAGCTGCCACAGACCAACACATGTGCAAGCGGCCTCCCCTGGATGGGGTAGTGTAGTTATACTTAAATTTTAAAAAGGTGCAAGCTGAAGGAAAACAGTATAGCTGAAGGAAAACAGTATAGCTGAAGAAAAACAGGATAAGGCAAGCCTGTTCATTGTATGGAGCTCTTATGGTGGTTTCCTCACTTGAACCACTGCCGTTTGTTTTGAGGCGCCTCATAATATGGTACGGTACTTGGTATCCTTGGGCTGGGTGGGTTCCTCATTTGAACCACTGCCCTCGTGAACGCTGCCCCTCGAAGCAAACAGGTACCTACCACAGTATAATTATCTTATGTGCTCATTGATCAGTGCATATTTCGAGCAGGAGTGTAACATCCCTACAGCCCCCATAAGAGGCTGTTTGCAACAACCAGTTCAAACAAATGCTGCCTGCCACGCCTGCCTTTTTTTTAGGCACCTCAAAAGGGGCCACTTGCTACAATCAGCAGACTAATTCTACCACTCATATGGTACCATAGCTACAGAGGTGCATGGAACAATGGTTACCATACAGTCGAGTTAGTGTGGGTCCAAGTCAAGTCTTATCTAATACCATGCCTGTCTAACTCTGAACGAGCTTTGTACTGGTAGCTTCGTATTTTTTTACGGCATGCGCGCTTCTCCTCCCACGTGACAGCTTTCTTCCACGCCTATCCAAGCTCTTCACTGTGCCTGTTCAGTATGGGATCAACTCAAGTCCACCTACCGTATCATGCCAGCTTTATACGGTACTGGATCTACACTTACCAGTACCCTATACTCAACAATGTCGGCTTCCAATCCCAAATCCTACACTCTCAGCTTGGCAGCCATTCACCAGCTCTGCCTGACAGCTACCAGTATCAAAGGGCTCTCCAGACTATTTCCAGGCTAAGACTCATATCCCCATCGCATGACACTGTCTGCTGGCTGCCCATATTCATCCCTGTGCTGCAGAATGTTCGACTCAAAGCGTGAACAGTACATGCTCTGCAGGCTATTCCTCATATCCCCACCGCACAACACTATCCGCTGGCTGCCCATACTCATCCCTGTGCTGCAGAATGTCCGACTCAAAGCCCCTCTTCCCCCCGCAGTACCGCTCTGCACCCACGAATATATCCGCCTTGGCGGTCACCAGCTTGTCCAGGATTGACACGATGCCTGGGAGGGAGAGAAAGGGGAAATGACAGGGATGAGGAGGGATTGGGTGAGGTAGCTTAAGTGCTGTGAGCCTGCAGTACCGCCCTGTGAACGGGATGTATGCCACTATGAACACTGTTGGTGCCCACACCCACCCACTCCCAACCACACCCAACCGCACCCACCCACTCCCAACCACACCCAACCGCACCCACCTGGATCATAGCCATTGACAGCGGGCATGATCTCATCAATCATCATCGTCCCCTCCACGTGCTGCCTGAGCCAACCACTGCACCCATACACACACCCAGACCCACCTGGGTCATAGCCATTGACAGAGGGCACCACCTCATCGATCATGACCGTCCCCTCCACGTGCTGCCTGCGCCAACCACTGCACCCATACACACACAGTCATACACACCCAACCACACCCACCTGGATCGTAGCTGTTGACAGAGGGCACCACCTCATCGACCATGACTGTCCCCTCCACGTGCTGCCTGCGCCAACCACTGCACCCATACACACAGTCACACACACCCAACCACACCCACCTGGATCGTAGCCGTTGACAGCGGGCACCACCTCATCGATCATGACCGTCCCCTCCACGTGCTGCCTGAGCCATCTCAGCGCTCCTCTGGACGCCCTCCTCGTGTTCTTCCTTCCCAGCCACTGCTCCATGCTCCTCCACGACTCCGACCGCGGCTGGACCGCAGCTGACGCATTGAACGGGATGTCTGCTGCTATGAACACCGTCGGCCCTTTTATGACTTGTCCTAACCCGTTGATCAACCGCTGCTGCTGCTGCTGCTCCTCCTCCTCCTGCTGCTGCTGCTCCTGCGCCTGTCCCTGGTTCCGCTGCTTTGGCTGCTGAACCTGCTCCTGCCGCTGCTGTTGCCTCTGCTCGGCTTGCAGCTTTTTCCTGACCTCGTTGATCATGCTCGCTGCTCCCTGCACACACGCTGCCATCTGCTGCCGCAGATTATGCTGCACCTCTTCCCAGGCCAAGTTGGCGTTTATGCCCTGTGCCTGGAAGCAGAGAGAGAGGAGGGGAATCAGAGAGAGGGGAGGGGAATCAGAGAGGAGGGGAATCAGAGAGGATTATTGAGACGTCTCAAAAAGTGCTGCCCCCGCCTGATGCTGCACCTCCTCCCAGGTCAGGTTGGCGTTTATGCCTCGTGCCTGGGACAGGGGAAGCAGAGAGAGGATGGAAATCAGGGAGGAGTGAACCAGAGAGGAGGGCAATCAGAGAGAAGAGAAAAATCAGCAAAGAAAAACAGCACTTGAGGCGACTTGTGCAGTTGCTTCCACGTCTGAATTGTCAAAACAAAGGGCACCTTCCCAGTTTGGCTGGCTTGTCAAGCCAGCGGCCATGAATCTAGTGTAGACGGCTCTTCCCACAGGGCACATACATGCCACGTTCCAGAAGATGGAATTCGGAGTGGAAATGAAGTCAGGGAGAGTGTCTTTTTTGAGAATTCTCAAAAACCGGCTTCTATTATTAGCTCTGGCCACGTACCTTGTTCCAGTCACGATGTCCCATGCGTACGCACCGCGTCCCAGGAAATGAAATCCCGTGGGTACCATAAGTACGCACCACGTTCCAGGAAATGAAATCCCATGGGTCCCAAATGTACGCACCAGATTCCAGGAAATGAACTCGGAGCGGAAATGAACGCCTATGACTGGCTTGGGCAGTCAAGGAGAGTAACACACCAGCACAGGGCAACTACCATAGGGCACTGAACACGTTCCAGTCAAGAAATTTCATGGGTATAAAATACATACCACGTTCCAGGAGATGAACTCGGAGCGGAAATGAACGCCTATGACTGGCTTGGGCAGCTTCGCAACAATCCGAGCAGCCGTGTCGTGCCACGTGGGCCGGTACGGCAGCACTGCGCGCACAACCACGTCTGTCCGTGGCACGTATTCGATGCGCTGGAAGGTTGTTTTCATCCACACCACCACGTCCCTGTCACTCCTGCACAAAGTAGGATACCAAGGACGTTTTTATGCCGACCATGCATGCATGGAGGTGCATATCAAAGATGACTGTAGCGTGACCATGCATGAGGAGGCATACGAAAGACGTCCTTAGACATGGCATGCATGCAGTGGCATATAACGTAACGTCGTAGACTGACCATGCGTGCAGCAGCATATTAAAGACGTCCTTAGACTGCGGCATCTTGACGTCAATAGTGTTGCTGGGCATGGGCACATGCCCCATGGCGAACGTCAGCACCTGCCCCAGGATCTCCACTAGCTCTCCTGCACATCAAACCATGCACCATGCACCATGCACCATGCACCATGCACCATGCACCATCACACAGAAGAAACAGCAGGTCAATTGCATGACATGTGCCCAATCGATCAGGTCAAGGTTACATGCCCCATGCATGGCGAACGTCAGCACTTGCCCCAGGGTCGCCACTAGCTCTCCTGCACGATGCAGCATCACACAAAGAGAAACAAGTAATCAAATAGGTGGCACCGTCACGGGCATGTAACCCATGGCGAACGTTAGCACCTGCCCCAGGATCTCCACTAGCTCTCCTGCACGATGGATGATGCATCGGATTGAGGAAGGCGGCACGGGCAGTAAGGAGGAAGAACTCGGAAGACACCCACTCCACCTGGGAGAAGCACGAGAGGCCACCCCACCACCCAACCCTCCCACCCCAGACCCTTAGACTTTCAACCCAAAGCCCAGAAACACACCCATTCCATCCAGGAGAAGCGCGAGAGGCAATATCAGCACTCCCACCCCTTCCTCCCCGCCTCCCCCACTCACGGTACTTGAAGCAGGGCCGGTGCAGGGACTCGGTCTTGACACACACGAAGCCCACGGAGGGGTTGAGGAAGGCAGCACGGGCAGTGAGGAGGAAGAACTCTGGCGACACCCACTCCACCCTGGAGAAGCGCGAGAGGTCCCAGTAGGAGCAGACAGCGTGCTGGCGGGCCACTGAGAGACGGCTGCAGTCCGCCTGTAAGGGGAAAGGGTGGGATTATGCGTGGAGGGTAAGGCGCTTCAAGAAGTGTATAGGTCCCGGTAGGAGCACATATAAGGCCCACTTACGGAGGAAAGAAAACTGCACTAGAATAAGAAGAACAAAAAAACAAACAAACAAGCAAGAAAAACACATACCCTAGGTGTCAGCCAGGCCCACCTTGGGCGGGAAGAGAATGCGCCCAGATTCATCTGCCACGCGAGCAGCCCCCTTCTGAGGCCCCTCAGGATGGCTGTATCGATCAAGACCCCCCTCGGGCCTGTATCGATCAAGACCCCCCTCGGGCCTGTATCGATCAAGACCCCCCTCAGGCCTGTATCGACCAGGACCCACCTTAGGCCTGTATTGACCAGGACCCACCTTAGGCCTGTATTGACCAGGACCCACCTGTATCGATCAAGACCTCCCTCGGGCCTGTATTGACCAGGACCCACCTTAGGCCTGTATTGACCAGGACCCACCTTGGGCCTGTATTAACCAGGACCCACCTTAGGCCTGTATTGACCAGGACCCACCTTGGGCCTGTATTGGCCAGGACCCACCTTGGGCCTGTATTGACCAGGACCCACCTTGGGCCTGTATTAACCAGGACCCACCTTGGGCCTGTATTAACCAGGACCCACCTTAGGCCTGTATTGACCAGGACCCATCTTGGGCCTGTATTGACCAGGACCCACCGTGGGCCTACATTGCACAACACCCACCTTGGGCTTTCATGGACCAGGACTCACCTTGGGCACGAGGATGCGCCCGGATTTCTCTGCCACACGAGCAGCCTATTCTTGAGGCGCCTCAATAACAACACCCACCGTAGGCCTATATTGCACAACACCCACGGTGGGCCTATATTGCACAACATCCACGGTGGGCCTATATTGCACATTAGCCACCTTGGGCCTTCACGAACCAGGACTCACATTGGGCAGCACGAGGATGCGCCCGGATTCCTCTGCCACGCGAGCAGCCCTTTCAGTCAACTCAGAAATAACAAGCATCCACCTTGTGCCTTTACCAACAGCACTCACATTGGGCAGCACGAGGATGCGCCCGGATTCCTCTGCCACGCGAGCAGCCTCCGCCAGGTGCGTTCTGGCGTTGCTCATCTGCTCCATGGTGAATGCCACCACCAGGTACTTGCGCCGAGGGAAGTCCTGAGAAGGCAAACAGGGGAGATGCAGTCCGGTGGGTGGGTGTGGGTGTGGGTTTGCTCGTCTGCTCCATGGTGAACGGCACCACCAGGTACTTGTGCCGAGAGAAGTCCTGCAGGAAGGGAGGAGTGCAGTTCGGTGGGTGTGGGTGTGGGTGGCGTTGCTCATCTGCTCCATGGTGAACGCCACCACCAGGTACTTGCGCCGAGGGAAGTCCTGAGAGGGCAAACAGGTGAGATGGAAGGAGTGCAGTCCGGTGGGTGGATTTGGGTGTGGATATGGGTGGAGTTTTTCATCTGCTCCATGGTGAACGGCACCACCAGGTACTTGTGCCGAGAGAAGTCCTGCAGGAAGGGAGGAGTGCAGTTCGGTGGGTGTGGGTGTGGGTGGCGTTGCTCATCTGCTCCATGGTGAACGCCACCACCAGGTACTTGCGCCGAGGGAAGTCCTGAGAGGGCAAACAGGTGAGATGGAAGGAGTGCAGTCCGGTGGGTGGATTTGGGTGTGGATATGGGTGGAGTTTTTCATCTGCTCCATGGTGAACGCCACCACCAGGTACTTGCGCCGAGGGAAGTCCTGCAGTAAGGGAGGAGTGCAGTACGGTGGGTGTGGGTATGGGTGTGGTTGTGGGTGGCGTTGCTCATCTGCTCCACGGTGAATGTCACCACCAGGTACTTGCGCCCAGGTGGTAACCAGCAGTTGCAGGACGGAAAACAGAGTCACAGCTACAAATATTCTTAGGCCAAACTACACCAAGAATGTACAAAGAAAGGTGACTCTGGTTTCTCAGAGACGCAACGTACACTGAGGAGGGAGAACGGCACGTGGGGAATCGGCCAGCACGACTCCGGCCACTGCTCGCACTGCGACGCGCTCTCATTCGCCAGCGACCTCTCCACCTGTCGCATATGGTCGCACACTTTCGTCACCCCCTCTGATATGTTCTCAGCACTAACATATCCCAAGTTGAACGCCGATATCAGGTGATTGTTGCTGGTAACCCAATGTAACAAATCTTGGTGCCACCTTTGGCTGCATAGCACGCCGAATCCGCCATTCTGACGCTGCTCCACCTCGGTATAATCCGGATTAGACTCTTCAATTAACCGCCGTCCTTTGCGGCCGCTGGTTGACGCATTCAAGAGAGCTGAATAATTCACAGCGGTTGGATTGGTGCTACTCGTGTCGTCGCTGTTGCTGGTGCTGCTACTGGTGTTAGCACTGGTCTTTCCCGTTCTACCCTTACCGCTACCAGGTTCGAGCGAGAAGAGACGATTCGCCTCGGCTTCTCTAGCAGCAGCGCGCCGAGCCCAATCCTTGAACGCAGCGCACGCGCTGGCTTGACAAGGCCCCACCAGTCCTGATAACTTATCCTTCCTCACCTTGGTAATAAAAGCTGATCTCAGTGTTCTCATACAAGACTGCGACATGTTGAGAGTAAGGTTCACGGATCGTGGGGCTGTGACGTAGATCGTTACAGAAAGGTTTTCTCTATCGTCAGTACCTAGCAAAGAGAGAATCTCGGCTGAGACGCTACCCGCCGAATGTCCTCCTTGTAGCATCACTCGGAAACCGCATAATAGTAAGACGAGGGTAAAAAATAACAGTATCCTGATGGACGTTTGAAAGGATACGGTTCTGGGCGAATGTGCGTTATGTCGACGAGAACTCGAAAAGGGAGACGCGCCGGGAGTGCTGCGTGAATGTTTGCTGCATTCCCTCTCTTCCTCCACCACCAACTGGTTTTTGAGAATTCTCAAAAACCAGCTCGTATCCTTCCTCCACCACCAACTGCTCCTCCGCCGCACCCATTGCAAGTGGCGGCTCTAAAGTCTAAACTACGACTCCTCTTCGAGTTGCCTAACTTAACACGGTATGTTATAACTGGGACATACTAATCACTACTATACGGCCAAAAAGCGTAATGCACGATAGGTGCACGTAAGTGCCTAGTCGTCACCGCGATAAGAACAGCTGTGCAAGGTTTGCGGAAGCAAGGTTTCCAAAAGGGGGGCTTTGCGGCCGCGCAGAGTTAGCATTCATTCCGTCACAAACGCGCTGGCGTTATCGAGGAGGGCCTTTTTGAAAAGCTCGACTTCTGCGGGAAGCCAGAGAAGCGTGTAGAAGGGAAAACTATCCTAGCAGCTCAGAATGTCGGGTCTGGAATCTGAGCGGCGATAGCTTATGCAACTGTCTCCGCTGCCTGCCATCTTTCGTGTTTGATAAGCTCACTCAAACTCCTGTAGGACTAATGGGTTCCTGTATTAGGTGGGCATCATGTATTGGCTGTCTCCACTGGCGCGATTGGACGGAGGGAAGGTGATATATGCAGGACACACAACGGCAGGGTAATAACGCGATCACACAAACTTCGCATCGCATAATCAGCGGATAAGCACAAGCGCATTGAGAGGAGGATGGTGGAGTCGTTCTGACAAAACTCTCGAGGCTCGCGAAGCTCCATGCTCACGGGTCGGTCAACGACAACTCCTCTTGATGCTCGCAAAACATCCCTCTGAAAGGGAGACATCCAGGGCTGTCGATTCAAGGGCATATGGCCTTAATGCCCTGAACATTAAGGTCTGACTTTGCCCCAAAGTCCAGATTCTCAGGGTTGATTTTTTGTACAGCCCGGAATGATAACGGGCGTGGGCTGGGCCTTCCCCTGATTCTTACAGGGGCCTCTTGGAGGGTTTCCCTGATTCCCCGCGGAAGTTTCCGGCCTTACCCGGAAAATTTCACAGCCCTTCCTACCTCCCCCCCCCCTCTCCCTTCCCGTTTTTCCCTTTCCATCCCATCCCATCCCATCCTATCCCACCCTACCGTGAAAATGCTAGATTACAACGTGGACTGGGCAGGTGTGCACCAGATCTTCGACGGGGAGAAGCGCCGCAAGCCTGCCACTTAGTTATTAGTGTTGAGAAAGTAGATAGGTAGATGGCAGTTCTAAATTAACTCTGCCTTTATTAGTTTTCGATATATAGAGTTTGCCCTGATTGTTGTAGTGTAGCCCTGAATTTAAGTTTTGGGTCGGGTGCTTTCCCGGACGCTTAAAGGCTCGGAAAAGGACACTTCCCGGAGATTTCAGGGCTGAAATACGGGCACCTCAGACTCTCAAGTGTTGGCCTGGAACCAATCGACAGCCCTGAAAGTGTTCGAAATCTTCAAGAAACGAAAATTCCCGCCTCTTCGCTGCTCAGTCAGTGGTGCTTTGGGCGCCACGTTCACTGCTGAGTGTCAGAAGCCTGACGTCCCAGTCAAAGTCGACTGGTTGACGTCAGCGGCCGAATCGCTGCTGCTGACATGAATTCCTCAAATTGCCGACATCCGACTGTGTATATGCAGGCAGTCACAGCACAGACACCTCTAAAATGATTTAGAACAAACATAGAATTACTCACAGTATCTTCACTTTTGATGATCGAAAGCATTCATTTTATATATTTTTATAATAGTTCTGCAATCAATTCCCATCCATAATGGAAAAGGTGAATTATGACCTGTTTTTCTGTAAAAAGTGATATAATTGTATCTTGCTCAAGAGGTAACATTCTGATTTGAACCTACAAATTGCTTGGAGGGGAAGACTGGTTTTCACAACTCCCAAAAGTAAGATCGACGTCAAAGCCACGGATGAGGCCACGTCAGCTCAAACGTCAACGGCCGGACAATTCGAACTGCGATCTCATTTAGGGAGTGCGGCTTTGCAAATGTAATCTTTTTCGGGCAGAACCACGCGGCTGCCCGTGTTTAGGGTTGGGGCTCCCCGTGTTTAGGGTTGGGGCTCCCCTAATCGCATGCCATCCAGATGGGGTTTATTTTTTTTCTTACCGCGGGCAGATTACGACCTATCAGCTGCTTCCAGGCGGACTGTTAGGGATCGCATTTGCGAACCGCGCTGGCCTAATTGGATTGCAGCTGATGTTGTCCCCGTCAACGGCAGTAAGAGGACGCCACGCCACGCGGAGCACGTTCGTCCTTGCCACATGTCGTGCTAACCCCCTTGTATCCCTGGGTTCACCGATTCAGGTAGCGAACCCACTGGTGGTGGTAACCCTTGTTCGCTGATCGTCTTCGCAGCGCCTGAGCTTGTATCGAACTATGCTTGAAACTTGAATTGAAACCAATTCTGCTGGGCGACCTTGGGATTGGAACATTTTCCTGATTACCTTGGTCGGTCCTTCGCCGCTTCACCTTATCCTCAAGTACCTTCCCTCCTTGCCGCACCATCTGCCAAGGACCTCTAGCAGCTCTCTGCTTGGTGCTAGAGCAACCAGTCATGGCTTCTTTGAGCATTCAAGCAGCCGCGCAGGCCCTGGGGTCGCTGTCTCTCTCCTCCCATCAACTATCGGCCTCGTCCAGCAGAGTGTCGCTTGGAGACTCACTTAGGGTTTCGAGCTTCCGCGGCTGCCGGCTCGCTGGTACGCTTGTGATTGATTGTGGACGCATAGTTATCCTGTGCTTCAAGTGCGGGTATTAACCGCGTAAGGAAACGCGTAGAGACTCACTTAGGGTTTCGACGATTAGTTGCTTCGAGTGAGATATTCACTGCGTAGTGCGCTTATCAGACGGAATGAGAAGGAATGCGCGCTTATTAATTAGGTGGAATTTTTGAGACGTCTCAAAAACACCCTCACTACACGGTATGAGAAGGAATGCGCGCTTATTAGGTGGAATGCGAAGGAGCGTGAAACGAGACGGAGCATGCAAGCATCATTGTGAAATAATGTGCACTCATCAGATGGAATGCGAAAGATCGTGCACTAGTCAGGTGCAATGCGAAGGAGCGAGCACTTAAAAGCAGAGGTAGAACGTGGAAGTACATGCTCTGATCGGGTTCGAGCTATTGCCTTGGAAGCCGTGCTAGGTTTCCTAGTTACCTACAGCCTAAGGGTCAGCCGCAGGCGATTGAGTTGCCGATTACCTAAGGATCAGACTCAATTATTGAGCGGGCCCACTAGTGCCCCGCTCAACCGTTGCTCATCCCCCTCCCAATCTTCCATTCTCCCCACCCACTCTCCCCCCTCCCCTCCCCCTGTGCTCCCTCCCTCGCGCTCCCCTTCCTCAGCCGCTACTCGGCCATCTGCTGTCGCCGCCGCCAGCAGGACTCTCGTTGTCGCTGCTGCCGTCACCACTCCCGCCGTCGCTGCCGCCGCCGGCAAGGGCAAGCCGAAGAAGAAGGTGGACTCGGCCGTGAAGCGCGCCAAGCAGGCGGAGGCGCGGCGGGTGTATAACAAGTCGCGCAAGACGGAGATGAGCACGCGCATGAAGAAGGTGCGTCTTCTTTTTTGCCCTTTTCCCCCCCTTTTTTTGGGTTTCCAGGTCATGAGCATTCAGATCATAAGGTGAGCTGATTGGTGCTCGAGTAAGCTAGTTTGGAAAGCGAAGGAAACAGGTCGGAAGGGGTGCGGATACAGCGAAGGAGGGCGGGGAGGGACGGGAGGAGGGGAGGAAGGGGAGGGAGGGAAGTAGGGGGGACGGGGAGCTAGGATGGTTTGACGGCGGTTCTTAGGCAGCAAAGGAGAGGCGGAAGAATCGGGGAGGCGGAAATGAGGAGGCGAAAAATGGGATGCGGAAAAGAGGGGAGGCGAGAGAGGGGAAGCGGAAGCGGTGATGTGGACGCAGAGACGATTTTGTCACGGAGGAGGGAGGGGGGAACGGCGGAGGCAGTGGAAAACAGAAGGCGATTGAGAGACGGGAAAGGAGAAAGGAGTGAGGGCGGGTCAGAGATGGGGAAGGAGGAGCGGGACAAAAGGATTGAGGGGGAGAGAGAGAGAGAGGAAGGTTTCGACGTGTGCGTGAAGTGGTTTGCTGACGGAGAGAGAGGGAGATGGGAAAGGAGGAGGGAGAAGGGGGGACTTGAAGGGCGGTCTAGCATTGTGCCTTGAGTCAGCACAATGGGAACCGGAGATGATGCATTGCCACGTGTACAGTCCGACGCAGATTGGTAACAGACTGAAACAGAGTGAAACAGATTGGTACCAGACTGAAGCAGAGTGAAACAGATTGGTACCAGACTGAAGCAGAGTGAAGCAGAGCGGTAACAGACTGAAGCAGGGTGAAGCGGAGTGGTAACAGACTGAAGCAGGGTGATAATAGAGAGATTCAGGCATCGTCAAACGCCAGGGATGGGATGCATGAATAATCGCAGTGCCTGTTAGACTCCAGGGATCTTTCAGGCAAAACAGGGGTTGATCTTTCCTGGAGTCCCTGGTACAAATGCCAGTATTAGTCTCTGATACGGCTTTTCTTATCCTGGGAAAGCGAACAGTACCTGAGCAGGTGTGGGAGGAGAAGGGGCAGTATCAAGCAGAGGCAATGCGTAACAGCAATTTCGGTTCACAAGGCGGGGAGGAGAGGGAGGGATGGGCGGGAAGGGAGGGTACATTGCAGCAGGGAGAACGTGAAGCAGGGTAAATCGGGAGGATAAGAGTTGATCAAGGGCTGTGCCTTTTCCCATCTGAGGAGCAGCCGTTGACAACAGAAATGTCCATCTCACGCCTCCCTCTCACCCCTTCTCGCTTCTCTCCCCCTCCTTCCTTCCTGCCACGGGCGCTCCTTGCCCTGGAGGAGCTGCGCAAGAACAAGTCCCCCACCAGATGAGCAGCTGCTGGCAACAGCAAAGCTCATCTCATGCAATCATTATGTCTGACATGCTATGTTATTATCCATATATGCCCCCCTGTCTTACTCCCTGCCCCAGGCGTTCCTTGCCCTGGAGGAGCTGCGCAAGAGTGCATCCCCATCGGAGGAGCAGCTGCTGGCGGCAGAGAAGCTCATCTCAGAGGCATTCTCCATCATTGATCGGTCGGTGAAGGTCAACGCCATCCACGAGAACAAGGGCGCACGCCGCAAGGCCCGGCTCTCCAGGGCCAAGCGCGCTACGCTGGTTTCTCTTGGCTGGTACACTCCCGAGCCTGCTGCTGCCTAGAGGGGGGTTTTAGGTGGTGGAAGGGTTTGAATGGAAATGGTGTCTGTCTATAGAAGTTTCGATGGCATGCTTTATTGTAATCGATTGTTACAGCTGCTCTCAAAACCAATGTCAAACTAGCAAGTTTAGATCGCGCTTTAGAATATTTGAGATTATTGACAATGTATAGACTGCTTTTAGCAGCTGACTAGATGTACCCTGCTTTTCACGCACCTCAATCCTTATCTGCGTCTCAGTTTCGGTTCGACACAAAATGCTGGAGATGTTGCTTCGCACACATCATTACAGTCAGCCAGGCCCACTTTCTTTCGCGACACTAAGTACTTGCTTGCAAACTGTGCAACCCAGAATCACCCGAACCTGGTACAAGGCTGAGCAGTACGCACCACAGTTCGAGTGCCTTTTGCAAGTTTTGTTCCGTATCTTGCAATCCGAGCTGTATTATCACTTGAACCAGTCTGAACCTTGACGAGCCGAATAAGCTGTGTGGGACAAACTGAACCAAATCGTGAAGAGGTTCGTCTCCCAGTGCAATCGGGTCCGTTCTGCAGCTGCTGGCGTCGTCCCTGAAAGCACTATCTGTGAGTACGCGGGAGATCCCTAGGTTGAAAGTAATCTCCAGCGAAGCCACAGTTGATGGAGCATTATAACTGCGGAGCGCATTTCTTTGTCGAACCTTTGAAGAGATGCAGGCAGGCAAGACCAGGGATTTGACACGAGGGTGTTTCTAGTACGTAGCGCTGTTCAAAAGACATTGACCCTCGCTTCATCGCATCACTGAAAAAGCTAGCGCTTCGAGAAGGATCGCCATGGCTCGGTCAACGATTCTGTCACCCCTTCACGGGGAAATCTCTTCTCTTCTTCGCCAATCAGGATCCTCCACGTCTCTCTTCCCTTCAGTTAGCCTGCTCCGCCGAGTTTCTTACCTATCCGATCCTCGGTACAGTCTTGCGCGATTCCGTAATAAAGCTACATCCAGTCCGGGAGCTCCGCGTTGCTCGCTTTCCAAAGGAATTTCGCAGCATGGGGATAGTTTGGATCATAATTTCCAGCCGCGGAGTTTAAAGGCCGGGAGAGACAGCAGCGGGAAGAGGCGGGTAGTGTTGCCAGTAACTCGCGCTGCTGTTACAACTGGTAACCCGGTTGACGAAGGGTCTGGGAATGCACCCGTTGGGCGAAAGAGTAACGCACAGCAGGCTGCATTACACAGGGTAAGGTGATGGGGGTGGATGGGACAAGGGAGAGAGGGCAGAGAATGTGTGAAAGGAGGAGAGGGGGTAGAATGTGTACTGGGAAGAGTGCAGTGAAAGGAGGTTCTTATAAAGAGCGGTTGGAGGCATGGGTATCATGACATGATAGGGAAGCATGGGTGGGTGTCATGACATGACAAGGATGGTACCATAGAAAGGACAAGGATGGTACCATGACATGCCAAGGATGGTACCATGACATGACATGGATGGTACCATGACATGACAAGGATGGTACCATACCATGTCACGCTCCACCTCTCTTTCCCCCAACCCCTTAACCCCTTTCCCCTTCCCCTCCCCTATCCCGCGTTCCCATCGACAGAGCACGCTAGACATGATTTAGAGCGAGAAGCTGGGCTTTAACTCTCTCAACTCCTGGGTGGTGCACCACTTCCAAACCCCTTGTGGGGCACTCCCCTGAAGCACTCCTCACTCCCCATCTCTCCCCCTCCAGAGCACGCTAGACATGATTACGAGCGAGAAGATGGGCATCCTCTCCCTCAACACCTGGGTGGTGCACCACTTCCGCCACCTCGTGGCTCATTCATTCCCTCAGAACCTTATACACTCCGCCTCTCTCCCCCTTTCCCCCCCACTACAGAGCACGCTAGACATGATAAAGAGCGAGAAGCTGGGCATCCTCTCCCTCAACACCTGGGTGGTGCACCACTTCCGCCACCTCGTGGCTCATTCATTCCCTCAGAACCTTATACACTCCGCCTCTCTCCCCCTTTCCCCACCACTACAGAGCACGCTAGACATGATAAAGAGCGAGAAGTTGGGCATTCTGTCTCTCAACACCTGGGTGGTGCACCACTTTCGCCACCTCGTGGCGCAGGTTAACGCGCTGGAGCCAGCAATGCAGGCACTGACTGATAAGCAGGTGCGGATCGCAGGCGTCATGTGTGTGTACCACCGTGTGTGTTACTACTGTGTGCTTGGTTGGTTGGTTGGTTGGTTGGTGCACCACTTTTGTCACCTCGTGGCTGAGGTTATCACCCTGGAGCTGGAGAGGCAGGCACTGACGGACTCACGGATATGGCACAACAAGGCAGGAGTGTGAGTATCTCAGGGGTGACTGTGTGACTGTGTGACTGTATGGGTTTCTTGCCCTCATCTGCACTCCATGGCTCAGTCACTGATATCAGCCCTCTGTTTTCTCTTCCTCTGGATGTGCTGCAGCTGCGGCGCAAGACACGCGAGTTCAAGAAGCGGCTGAAGCAGGGAGAGACACTTGATGACATACAGGCAGGTAGGATTCGGTTCTGTGCGGTGCAGGCTGTTAAATTACATGTTCTGGATCTTGTCTATGATTACTGATTTCCTCGGTTTCTTCCCCACTGCAAGCGCTTATTGTGAACCTGATATCCCATTAAGTCAGAAAGCATGTTTAAGCATTGTTTAGACGTTCATAATGGCATCTGTGTTTCGAATTCGTGCACTTGCACCATTGTCAAACGATAAAGTGTGTGTGAGTGTGTGTGTGTGTGTGTGTGTGTGTGTGTGTGTGAGTGTGTGTGTGTGTGTGTGTGTGTGTGTGTTGTAACATTTCATGTGAACTTGTGGTGCAGTGCGCCTCTCTCATACTGCTCTTTCTGGACACGCCTCTCCCATACTGTTTTTTTACCATTCGCCTCCCCATCCCTATCTGCCCTGCCCATGGCCCCTCAGAGGCCTTTGCTGTGGTGCGCGAGGCGGCTCAGCGCACCCTCTGCATGCGCCACTTCGATGTGCAGGTGTGTGTGTGGGTGTGTGTGTGTGTGTGTGTGTGTGTGTGTGTGGGTGTGTGTGTGTGTGTGGGTGTGTGTGTGTGTGTGTGTGTGTGTGTGTGTGTGCGTGCGTGTGTGGGTGGGTGGGTGGGGCAAAGGGCGGTGGCAGCGAGAAGGGGTACCAATAGGTCGCACCTTCGCTGTGGTGCGCGAGGCGGCTCAGCGCACTATCAGTATGCGCCACTTTGACATGCAGGTGGGTGTGCGTGGTTTGGTGGTTGGGTGGGAGGAGTATATGTATCAGCAGTCATGGACACTGGATTCAGGATTTCTCTGGTGCGCACTCAATCCACCTCTACCCGTTCCTATCCCATCCCACTCCCCGTCACTCCTCTGCAACCCACCACTCTCTTGCAGATTGTGGGAGGGGCGGTGCTGCATGCAGGGGCAATCGCAGAGATGAAGACGGGTGAGGGGAAGACTCTGGTGTCCACGCTCGCAGCTTACCTCAACGCCCTCGTGGGCAAGGGCGTGCATGGTGAGGGATCATCTGCACCTTTTCCCCATCCCGTTCCCTTTCCCTTTCCCATTGAATGGTCTGCAAGTTGGTGCCGCCACTCCCGTTCAAGATGATCATCTTTAATTTCACTTCTTACCGTCCACTGTGGTTCCCTCTCTATGCCTCTCCCCACCCCAGTGGTAACGGTTAATGACTATTTGGCACGGAGGGATGCGGAGCGGATAGGACGGGTGCACGTACTTTCATGCCATCCCATGCCATCATGTCGTTCCCCCATCCCATAACTTTCCCCCACCACCCCAGTGGTAACTGTCAATGACTATCTGGCAAGGAGAGATGCGGAGTGGATGGGACGGGTGCACGGCTTTCTGGGGCTGTCAGTGGGGGTCATTCAGGTGAGCAAGACACAGAAAGGCCTTGGGTGTCATTCAGGTGAGCAAGACACAGAAAGGCCTGATTTTTGAGAATTCTCAAAAATCACTCGTCAGTGGGGGTCATTCAGGTAAGCAAGACACAGAAAGGCCTGATTTAGTCACATGGGTGTGGTTCTGATCAGTGTTGTTGCATTGAATGTGATTCCGAAGAGTGTGATGCGTGTGTGTGACTGATTCGATTTGCAGGCGCAAGTCATCTAGATCAGCTTAGAAGTCTGGCTTATTACCAGCTGAGAAGAACCCTGAGACATTTCTTTTTGTGGCATTCCTGAGCACCTCACTCACCTCCTTCCCCTTTCTCACTTGCTGGCACCGCTCTGCACCTAGATGCACCGCTTGTCTGATGTTTCCTACAACTGGATCTTCAATCTCTATCTCACCTCTCGTACTTTTCTGCACTCTCGCCGTTGTATCTTTTTGTTTGTTTCCGCATCTTTCTCCTTTTCCGCATCTTTCTCCCTTTCCGCATCTTTCTCCTTTTCTGCATCTTTTTGTTTCTTTCCTGCATGCCTTACACCATTGTGCAGCCCGGGCAGACTAAGGAGGAGAGACAGCTCGCATATGCTTGCGACATCACCTACGGCAGTAACAACGTGAGTGAGATGTAATGCATGTGACAGTCACATATGTATGTATGTATGTATGTATGTATGTATGTATGTATGTATGTATGTATGTATGTATGTATGTATGTATGTATGTATGTATGTATGTATGTATGTATGTATGTATGTATGTATGTATGTATGTATGTATGTATGTATGTATGTATGTATGTATGTATGTATGTATGTATGTATGTATGTATGTATGTATGTATGTATGTATGTATGTATGTATGGCATGTGGCAGGGACAACGTGATGTGACGTGACTGCCTGCTAGTGCAGGATCCAGGCAAACTGATGTTCTGACAAACATCAGTGGGGAGGTTCTGATATGGCCGGATGCTCCTCTACCCAGTGGGAAGGTTGACTTTTAAGTCGACTCAAAAGTCAACTTGCAGGATCCAGGCGAACTGATGTTCTGACGTGCACACTGATATGGCCGGATGCTCCTCCTCCTCCACCCAGTGGGAAGGTTTGAAGTCGACTTAAACCTCCCGCTCCCCTCCCTTGCCCACCTTTCAGGAGATCTGATTCGACTACCTGCGATATCACCTGGTGCGTGCCTGCAGGATCGGAACGAGACGGTCGGACGCGCTGCGCTACTCCACCCGGGCCGCTTTTGAGAATTCTCAAAAACGCTACTCCACCCGGGCGAGGTTGACTCCTGACAGACAACGATCGACTCTTGAGTGGCTCTTAGGCTCGTGGCTTAGCAGATGGTCACGAGCGGGAGCCTGTGTCCGTTGTGTTGCCCATGCCTTCTGGACTCATCTCTCCCCGCTTTCTTTCCCACATTTCAGGAGATTGGGTTCGACTACCTCAGAGATCACCTGGTGCAAGACCCAAGCGAACGCACACTGAGATGGCCGGACGCGCTCCACTACTCCATTGTGGACGAGATTGACTCGGTGCTTATTGATGAGGGCAGGAACCCCCTGCTCATCAGCAACATGGTGAGCATCTCTGTGCCTTAGTGCCTTATTGCCTCTGTGCCTCAGTGCTGCTGTCCGGGTCACTGCCACCTGCCTGCCTTCCTCTCATGCGCTCCACTACTCCATTGTGGACGAGATTGACTCGGTGCTTATTGACGAGGGCAGGAACCCCCTGCTCATCAGCAACATGGTGAGCATCTCTGTGCCTTAGTGCCTCATTGCCTCTGTGCCTCAGTGCTGCTGTCCGGGTCACTGCCACCTGCCTGCCTTCCTCTCATGCGCTCCACTACTCCATTGTGGACGAGATTGACTCGGTGCTTATTGATGAGGGCAGGAACCCCCTGCTCATCAGCAACATGGTCAGTGCTTCAGTGCCTCAGTGCCCTATGTGTCTCACTGCCGTCTGCCTGCCTGCCTGCCTCCTTCACGCGCTGCACTACTCCATCCATCGTGGACGAGATTGACTCTGTGCCCATTGACCAGGACAGGAACCCATTGCTCATCAGCATCATGGCCAGTCAGTGCTTCTGTGCTGCCTGCTTCCTTCCTTTGCTCCTGCGTTCTGGTCCAAAACCTTTGGCTCTGCCACTTTTCCCTTTGTAAGCCCTCCCCGCCCCGTCGCCCCTCCCCTGCCCCGTCTGTTCTTTCCTCTTGTGCAGTCCTCCTCCTATGTCATGCGCTTCCCAGTGGCGGCTAAAGTGGCAGAGATCCTTCGACGGGACATTGTGAGTGCGTCCATTCAATCAAGGCACGTGTAACATTACATGTCTAGAAACGTCGTCCATTAACAGGTGGTATTAGTGGAAGGAGAGCATGAATTGGCGCTATGGAGTTTTGCTCTCTCTCCCTCATCTCATGCAAACCCTCCCACCCCCACTTCTTCTCCCCTTCTCCACACCAGGACTACACAGTGTAGCTCACCAACTCAGGTGTTTCGGTCGTGGCAGAGACATGCCAAGTGTCCCGCTCTCCCCTCCTCCCTCCCTTATCTCAACAAACCCCGAACGCCCATCCGGGCCATCCCCCCACCAGGACTACACAGCGGATCTGAAGCTGCGCACAGTACAGCTGACAGACTCGGGGGTGGCGATTGTAGCAGAGAGCTTGAGGAGCGAGGATGCTGCAGCAGAGGGGGAGGGAGAAGGGGAAGTGGGGGGACTGGGGGAAGGAGGGGACAGCTCAGATTCAGATGATATCTTTGAGAGCAGCAACTCGTTTGCGCAGTAAGTGAGCTGCATCTTTGTTGCTCGATTCTGTGTTGAGCTGCATCAAGGGGTTTTTTAGATCTGTATTTTTTCACACTGATTTTCCGCTGTTAATCCTGTTGCTCAAGCGACACGTTCACGTACTGCTGCCCTTTGATTATGAGTCAAGAAGACCTTTGAGAGCAAGCAGTTTTGAGGCGCCTCAAAACAAGCGGCACCTTCACGTACTGCTGCCCTTTGATTATGAGTCAAGAAGACCTTTGAGAGCAAGCAGTTTTGAGGCGCCTCAAAACAAGTGGCACCTTCACGTACTGCTGCCCTTTGATTATGAGTCAAGAAGACCTTTGAGAGCAAGCAGTTTGAGGCGCCTCAAAACAAGCGGCACCTTCACGTACTGCTGCCCTTTGATTATGAGCCAAGAAGACCTTTGAGAGCAGCGACTTGTTTGCTCATTGAGTGAGCTGCATCTTGTGCTTCGAGATGTCTCAGAGTCCGGCTTTTATCACATGGCAATCTTTGAGAGCAGCGACTTGTTTGCTCAGTGAGTGAGCTGCATCTTGTGCTTCGAGATGTCTCAGAGTCCGGCTTTTATCACATGGCAATCTTTGAGAGCAGCGACTTGTTTGCTCAGTGAGTGAGCTGCATCTTGTGCTTCGAGATGTCTCAGAGTCCGGCTTTTATCACATGGCAATCTTTGAGAGCAGCGACTTGTTTGCTCAGTGAGTGAGCTGCATCTTGTGCTTCGAGATGTCTCAGAGTCCGGCTTTTATCACATGGCAATCTTTGAGAGCAGCGACTTGTTTGCTCAGTGAGTGAGCTGCATCTTGTGCTTCGGTTTGAATGTTGGCGGCATTGTTGTTTTGTGTGTATGTATGTGTGTGTGTGTGTGTGTGTGTGTGTGCGCGCGCGCGCGTGCGTGTGTGAGTGCGCGTGCGTGTGTGAGTGCGTGTGTGTGTGCGTGTGTGTGTGTGTGTGTGTGTGTGTGTGTGTGTGTGCAAATAGCAACTCGTTTGTTAGGAATGAGACCTGTCCTTCCTGCCATCCGTACTTTCAGTCCTTCCTTTCTGTCTCTCTGGCCTCTCACCCATCTTCTGTCTTCCGTTCCCTTTTCCTTGGAAAAAAGGTTTGTGCTGACAGTGCTCAAGGCGAAGGAGTTTTACCCGAGGGATCGGGATTCCGGACTACATTGATTCAAATGTCACCCCTCCATCCATTCTTTCCCCACTTTCACCCCTTTGTTTCCCGCCCAGGTTTGTGCTGACAGTGCTCAAGGCGAAGGAGTTTTACCTGAGGGATTGGGATTCGGGACTACATTGTGAAGGAGTTTCACATTGATTCAAATGTCACCCCTCCATCCATTCTTTCCCCACTTTCACCCCTTTGTTTCCCGCCCAGGTTTGTGCTGACAGTGCTCAAGGCGAAGGAGTTTTACCCGAGGGATCGGGATTCCGGACTACATTGATTCAAATGTCACCCCTCCATCCATTCTTTCCCCACTTTCACCCCTTTGTTTCCCGCCCAGGTTTGTGCTGACAGTGCTCAAGGCGAAGGAGTTTTACCCGAGGGATCGGGATTCCGGACTACATTGATCCCTCCATCCATTCTTTCCCCACTTTCACCCCTTTGTTTCCCGCCCAGGTTTGTGCTGACAGTGCTCAAGGCGAAGGAGTTTTACCTGAGGGATTGGGATTCGGGACTACGTTGTGAAGGAGTTTCACATTGATTCAAATGTCACCCCTCCATCCGCTCTTTCACCCACTTTCACCCCTTCGTTTCCCGCCCAGGTTTGTGCTGACAGCGCTCAAGGCGAAGGAGTTTTACCTGAGGGATCGGGACTACATTGTGAAGGACGGCCAAGTGATTATAGTGGACGAGGTACGCAATTCTCGCTGTGACTATAGCGGTTGAGATGGGGTTTGTGCTGACAGCGCTCAAGGCGAAGGAGTTTTACCTGAGGGATCGGGACTATATCGTGAAGGACGGCCAAGTGATTATAGTGGACGAGGTAGGAACTGTCGAAGTCGAACAGGTGGGCTGCGGAGGCCTTATTTCCATCAGTCTCTTGTTGTTTAGGACAGAGAAACAAACCCCATGCGATGATGAAAGAGAAGGGCCTGGTGTTGCGCTAGCTTAGATCGTTTCTTAGAGAGCCAGTGTGAAGGACGGCCAAGTGACTATAGTGGACGAGGTAGGAGATTATGGTGACTGCAGTGCAGTGGATGCAATGGAGTGTGCAACGATTGTGACTACAGTGGATGGGGGATGGAACCGTGCTGGGTGGACTGGACAGGGGACATACAGACAGCGGTTGAGTGAACCGCATGGAACCGCATTCCACAGGCTGGTTGTCGTCAAGCTCCATACCTGTGCCCGTGTCCAAACTCCCTCCCATTCTCCAAACATCCTCGCATCGCACCAACCCCCCAACCTGATGACTTTTGAGTCGACTCAAAAGTCACCTCATTCTCCAAACATCCTCGCATCGCACCAACCCCCCAACCTCCCACCCGCTCCCTCACCCTTCCTGCACCCACCCCTACCTCCGCCCACCTGCAGTTCCCGGGGGGGAGAACAGCAGACATGCGGCGGTGGAGCGACGGCGTTCACCAGGCTCAATTGCAAGGAGCTTCAACACAGTTCCTGCTCTTGTTCCTTTTCCCCTTCGCTTCCAACCTTCCCCCACCTTCCCCCACCTTTCCCCACCTTTCCCCACCTTTCCCCACCTTTCCCCGCCTCCCACCTCCCCTGCAGTTCACGGGGAGAACAGCAGACATGCGGCGGTGGAGCGACGGCATTCACCAGGCTGTTGAGGCGAAAGAGGGCGTGGAAATCAAGGTGAGTGAGAGGGAGAGTGTGTGAGGATTAAGGCGGGAGAAAGCAGGGTGTATGACTGATGCCACGTGTAGCGAGGGTGTTTTTGAGACGTCTCAAAAACACCCTCGCTACACGTAACTGATGCACTGTGGTGTGGATCCTGAGTGTCCCACTCTCCAATTCTCCTCATTTCATACCTATCCTGATCTCCCTCTTTCGCTGTTCCTTACCCACCCTCTGGCAGCCCGTGTCAGAAACAGTCGCCCAGGTGACCTACCAGTCGCTCTTCCGCCTTTACAGCAAGGTCTCTGGGATGACAGGCACTGCCAAGACGGAGGTGCGTTGCTTGAGTGCCTGCCTAGTGCCTGCCTAGTGCCTGCCTAGTGCCTTACCATACCAGTCGCTCTTCCTCCTCTCCTCTCCCTCTCTTTAAAACTCCCCATTTCTCGCCCTCTCCCCTACACAGCAGGAGGAGCACGAGCGCATATTCAAAATGCCAGTGGTCGCTCCTTGCTCTCCTCTTTTTTCTTTTCTGCCATCACACCCCCTCCGTCCCCTACCCTCTTTCTTCCCTCCCTTGTATGACAGGGGGAGGGGTTCAAGTGCATGTTCGGCATGCCAGTGTAGTTTTGAGACGTCTCAAAACACTTCTTCAAACAGTCGATTTTTGAGTCGACTCAAAAATCGACTAACTACACACATGACAGGGGGAGGGGTCCAAGTGCATGTTCGGCATGCCAGTGTAGTTTTGAGACGTCTCAAAACACTTCTTCAAACACGTGTCGATTTTTGAGTCGACTCAAAAATCGACTAACTACACGCATGACAGGGGGAGGGGTCCAAGTGCATGTTCGGCATGCCAGTGTAGTTTTGAGACGTCTCAAAACACTTCTTCAAACACATGTCGATTTTTGAGTCGACTCAAAAATCGACTAACTACACGCATGACAGGGGGAGGGGTCCAAGTGCATGTTCGGCATGCCAGTGTAGTTTTGAGACGTCTCAAAACACTTCTTCAAACACGTGTCGATTTTTGAGTCGACTCAAAAATCGACTAACTACACGCATGACAGGGGGAGGGGTCCAAGTGCATGTTCGGCATGCCAGTGGCAGTGGCCTCTTTCCCCTTCGTCTTGCCCTTTTTCCCCTTGCCACTTCCCCTCACACTTCCCCTTTTTCCTCCACCCCACACCACGACCCCTCCCCACCCCCCTCTCCCAGGAGGAGGAGTTCAAGCGAATATTCGGCATGCCAGTGGTGGTCATCCCCACCTCTTTCCCCTTGCTCTTACAGTCACACCCCCTCCTGTCCCCCCACCCCTTTCCCCCCCTTTCTCCCTTGCCTGCATTCCCTGCGTGGCAGGAGGAGGAGTTCAAGCGAATATTCGGCATGCCAGTGGTCGTCATCCCTACCAACCGCCCCAACATCAGAAAGGACCTGGACGTCGTTGTCTTCCTGGTGAGTCTCTTATCGTCACTGTTTTACCCATAAGTCACCTGTTGTGTCGTACTCATGAGCCTAGTTTTGAGTCGACTTAAAACTTGGATGTCGTAGTTTTCCTGGTGGGTCTCTTGACGTCCCTGGTTTACCCAGAAGTCACCTGTTGTGTCGTGCTCATGAGTCACCCACCAACCACCCCAACATCAGGAAGGACTTCGATGTCGTAGTTTTCCTTGTAAGTCTCTTCTTGCCATCTTTCAAGTCAACTCGGAGCGCTACAAACTGATAGTGATAACAATAACAATAACAATAGCAAGAATACTTGTTATTATTATTATTGATCAACAGCATGACTTGGAAACTCCCTTTTCCTTACTGCCCCTTCTCCCCCTTCTTCCCCCACAGCAAGCGCGCAACAAGGCGCACCATGTCATCCAGGAGATTGTCAAGATAACTGTTGAGGCTGCATTTAATAAAACCCTTTCCCTCTTCCCTCCTCTCCCCCCCCATTCCGTTCCCCCCCCCCAACCACTCACCCACAGCAAGCGCGCAACAGGGCGCACCATGTCATCCAGGAGATTGTCAAGATGACTGTTGTGGCGTCGCAGAAGCAGCCTCTTCCCCCTCTTCGCCGCCCCCCTCCCACACAATCCCCTTCGCAGCAAGCGCGCAACAAGGTGCACCATGTCATCCACGAGATTGTCATCAAGAATCCCCTTCTCCCCTCTCTGGCCACGTCTTCTCCCTCTCCCTCCCCTCCTCCCCCCACAGCAAGCGCGCAACAAGGTGCATCATGTCATCCAGGAGATTGTCAAAATGAACCAACTCGGCCGCCCCGTGCTTGTTGGCACATCCAGGTAGGCACATCATATCCACGTGGACACATCACACATCCACTCACGTGAGCACATCACATCCACTCACGTGAGCACCATGTAATGCAGCACACTCTGCTGACCTTCGCTTTTTACTTGGCTCATCCGCCCCTCCCCCACCCTATCCCCACCCCCTCTCTGCAGTGTGGACGAGTCAGAGCGCCTGTACGCCATGCTGCAGGTGGAGCATCCTCGTCGGTTTGCCCACATTCAAGTTCTCAACGCTCGGCCCGAAGTGAGCACAGTGCTTAAGGCGCCCCATAAGTAACATAGGTTTTGCTCGTTCAAGTACTTGCAACATCCATATGCTCACTTGCTCGGTAAAAACATATGTCCGTATCGGACCTTTCATCGGTCTCGGAGGACTCATTTAAGCAGCAATACGATAAGAGAATGCCGATTTTACAACGAAGCTACCCAAAATTGAGAAACACGCGTTCGAACGTTCGGCCTACCCTTGTAAATGTACGTGGAACTTCATGACGTCGTTCATATCCCATATGGTGTAATCAACATTCCTATGTTCGTGTCTCGCAGGCGTTGACAAAGAAATGTGAGTATCAGAGCAAGTACATACATTCGTGATCTGAAGGCATGCCTTAGTGATGCTGCAAAATCATACAACTTGAAGCGGACTGCAGGTAATCTATCTCGTGAATGTTTTCTTCCAATAGTGCCAATATACCGACTGACTTGTGTTGCAGACATCATGAAGTTCCACATACATTTACAAGGGTAGGCCGAACGTTAGTACGCGTGTTTCCCAATTTTGGGTAGCTTCGTTGCAAGATCGGCATTCCCTTGCCGTATTGCTCTTTAAATGGGTCCTGCAAGACGGATAAAAGGTCCGTGTCGGAGGTTTTTACCGAGCAAGTGAGCATATGGATATTGTTTGATCCAAGTAAGCATCCATCTGCCAATATGATTGGATGTGTGTGTGCACTGCACTGCACTGCACTGCACTGTGCAACACGTTCTGTCTCAAAGAACATGTAAAATTAGAGGTGGCCCAAAGCTTGGGTGGCGAAATTGAACTCTACTGCTCTGCCCTCCCTTTGGCATTTCCCTCCGCTACCTCTCTTTCGTCTCCCCCAGAATGCAGCGCGCGAGGCAGAGATCGTGGCTCAGGCAGGGCGGTTTAGAGGCATCGCATCTCTAACACTCTTGAGTCGACTAATAATGAATCTTGCCTCTCCCACATTCCCCCTTCTCTACTCCCCCCCTGCCCACCCCTTCTCCTCTCCAATACGCAGCGCGTGAGGCTGAGATCGTGGCGCAGGCGGGGCGGTTTGGAGGCATCACCATCTCATCTCCACCACACCAACACTTTTGAGTTGACTCAAAATTTCTTGCCTCTCCCACACTCACCCCCCTCGCCTCCTCCCCTCCCACCCTTCCCCCTGCCCCCCAGAATGCAGCGCGTGAGGCTGAGATCGTAGCGCAGGCGGGGCGGTTTGGAGGCATCACCATCTCCACCAACATGGCTGGTCGCGGCACTGACATTGTGCTGGGTGGCAATCCCGAGGTTGGTGTTGTGATGTGTGGGGTAATCCCTAGGAAGGAGTCCCAAGAGGCACTTGATGCAGGCTTGGTTTGGAGGCATCACCGTCTCCACCAACATGGCTGGTCGCGGCACTGACATTGTGCTGGGCGGCAATCCCGAGGTTGGTGTTGTGATGTGTGGGGTAATCCCTAGGAAGGAGTCCCAAGAGGCACTTGATGCAGGCTTGGTTGGAGGCATCACCGTCTCCACCAACATGGCTGGCCACAGCACGGCCACAGCACTGACTTTGTGCTGGGAGGCAATCCTGAGGTGAGTGTTGGTGTTTGGTGCAGGTCGGCTTGGAGGCATCACCATCTCCACCAACATGGCTGGCCGCGGCACTGACTTTGTGCTGGGCGGCAATCCCGAGGTTGGTGGCTGGGATACTGAGGTGCGGTTTGTGGGAGCCAGAAGGCAATCCCAAGGACTCCCAAGAGGCGCATGGTGCAGGCGGAATCTTTTTTTTTTTTTTTTTAACCAAAAGAAACAGATACTCCCAAGAGGCTCATGGTGCGGTTAGGAAGCATCACCATCATCTCCGCCAGCATGGCTGGCCGCGCCGCAGCACCGAAATTCTTAAATACATTCTCACCCCCTCATCTCACCCCCTCATCTCACCCCCTCCCTACTCCTTCCCTCCTCGCCATCTCCGAGCTCCTGAGAAAGGAGGTGGTTGAGTGGGCACTCTTTGAAACGTGCCTTAGCAAGTTGTCGGAGTCTCTCTCTTTCCCCCCATCGTCCGCTCCTGCTCCCCTCTTCCTTTCATCCTCCTCCCCTCACATCGCCTCGCCCAGCTCTTGAGCAAGGAGGTGGTGAAGTGGGCGCTCTTTGAAGCGCCAGCAGCTACAGCAGGGAATTACTCCGCTTTCAAGAAGGGCCCACATGCGGTGAGCCAACCAACCAGAGGGTTTCGACAACGTTTTCTTGAATCAATGCTGCTGCCTCCAGAAATATTGGCCAGGCTTTTTCTCTTTATGTAGTATTTCTCCTCTCATCTTGTTGTTCTTCTGATCTATCCAAAGTTCCCTGTCTCTCTTGCACTTTGAATGTTTTTTATCCACGAGCAGAGGCAGGGGTTCTGGCCAATTGAACTTCAAGAGGATACGTTGAAAGAGCTCTACGCCGCTCAGTTCTCATGTGAGTCCTGTCACAAAAGCAGCAAAAATCATTGTATAAAGGGGAGTTAAAATTCGAGTTTACTAAAATAAGTGTTTACTAAATCAGCTTGAGTGCCCTCACCAGGCTCATGCGCTACGTCCTCCTTGCCTTTGTGTTGCATCTGAAGCACCTCTTCCTTCCCCTTACCTCCCGATACAGGGCGCAGCGTGGCAGCTGATTGGTCGGAGGCGCAGCAGCAGGCAGTTCTAGAGCAGGCAGAGACACAGGCTTTAAGGCCCTCAGCCTCTCCTGGGGCCAGCGAGGGCAAGGAGGAGAGTTGGGAATGGGGAGAGAGCAGGAAGGAAGCGGGTGCAGGGGTGTGGGAAGGGGATCCTGCAGAGGACACAGGGATGAGCCCTCTGCCTTGGAAAACCGGTGACAGTGACAGCACCAGCACCAGCAGTATCATCAACGGTAGCGCTATCAGCAGCAGGAGTGGTGGTTTCAGCAGTAGCAGCAGTAGTGGGGAGGGGGAGGGGGATGAGAGTGACGAGGACGATGCAGACGTGTGGGGGGGAGGCGGAGGGGTGCTGGGGGTGCGGGCGGTGCCGCGGTCCATGCAGGAGATGGTGGTGCGGGTGGTGGGGCGGGCGCTGGGGCGGGTGAGCGCGGACTGCAAGGCGCACTGCCGGGAGGAGGGCGAGTATGTGCGCTCGCTGGGGGGGCTGCATGTCATTGGGACTGCTCTGAGCGAGTCAAGAAGAATCGACAACCAGGTAAGTGAGTGTGAGTTGGGTTATTCTGTCTGCGTTTAGAGGGAGTACTGCAGTGCATTGGGATGCAGGTAGATGGTGGTTCGGGATTGGGGAGTAGGGGAGAGTGCGACCCTGCAACGTCCCTCAATTTCTTGTAGCTTCCGCATGTCAAAATGCAATATGCTCAATTGCAGCTGTTCCAAGTTTCAATCTCCACGTGTGTTATGCCTTGTCTCGTTCATGTGTCTTTGCGTGCATGGCAGTTGAGGGGAAGAGCCGGTCGCCAGGGCGACCCTGGGTCAACTCAGTTTATCATCAGGTGAGAATCAGGTGACGGTCAGATGAGCCTCAGGTGACAGTAAGGGAAGGATCAGCCGAGAATCAGGTGAAAGGAGGGTGTGTGATCATGTGTCAGTCAGGTTCTCTCCCCCTCACCCTTCTTTCATTGAGGTGTTCTTTTCCCCCACCCCTCCCACTTCACCCATCCAGCATGGAGGACGATATGATGAGGGAAGTGCTCCCGGACTCCTCTCGAGCCATGCTGGAACCGCTGTTTGCTGAAGCTCTCTCTTGTTGTCCCCTCTGCTTCTCCCCTGTCCATCACCGCCCCACTCCCCGCCCTTCCCCTGTCTCCCCCCTCCCCCTGTCTCCCCCCTCCCCCTCTTCCCCCATCCAGCATGGAGGATGACATGATGAGGGAGGTGCTGCCAGACTCCTCTCGAGCCATGCTGGAGCAGCTATTGTACACGGGCGACTTCGACGAGGGATTTCCCCACATGGCGTTGACTCTTGCTGTGAGTACGGAGGTCTAACAATAGACCCTCCCCTCATTTAAAAGCTCTCCTCGGGCCATGCTAGAGCAGCTGCTGTATACAGGGGACTTTGACGAGGGATTTCCCCACATGGCCTTGACTCTCGCTGTAAGAACACCTTCTCTTACACGCCTAGCTGGGAGAACGCCGTGTTTTTGCCTTGCTGTCAGGATTGCCCACTCGATAAAAGGGTTCCTCCCGAGCCATACTGGAGCAGCTGCTGTATACAGGCGACTTTGATAAGGGATTTCCCCACATGGCCTTGACTCTTGCTGTGAGTATGGAGGTCTAACAATGGCCCCTCCCCTCGTTTAAAAGCTCTCCTCTCGGGCCCTGCTGGAGCAGCTGCTGTATACCGGCGACTTTGAAAAGGGATTTCCCCACATGGCGCTCACCCTCGCTGTAAGAAATTGCAGATTACTGCAAGAGCACCTGCAAGAGCGCCTGCAAGAGCGCCTACATTTCGCAATGACCCGAAAATCTCCCTCAGCTCTTCTCTTCGCACGACCTTTCAACCATGTCAACCTGTCTCAACCACTCTGTCTCTCACCCCCTCTACACACCTGCTTTTCTCTCGCCAGTTGGTGCAAACGCAGAAGACCATTGAAGCTGCCATGTTCGAGCGGCGGCGGCAAATGCTCGACTACGACCAGGTCTTTGAGGTGAGCGTGTGAGCATGTGAGCAGGTCTTTGAGGTGAGCGTGTGAGCATGTGAGCAGGTCTTTGAGGTGAGCGTGTGAGCATGTGACCAGGTCTTTGAGGTGAGCGTGTGAGCATGTGAGCAGGTCTTTGAGGTGAGCGTGTGAGCATGTGAGCAGGTCTTTGAGGTGAGCGTGTGAGCATGTGAGCAGGTCTTTGAGGTGAGCGTGTGAGCATGTGAGCAGGTCTTTGAGGTGAGCGTGTGAGCATGTGAGCAGGTCTTTGAGGTGAGCGTGTGAGCATGTGAGCAGGTCTTTGAGGTGAGCGTGTGAGCATGTGAGCAGGTCTTTGAGGTGAGCGTGTGAGCATGTGAGCAGGTCTTTGAGGTGAGCGTGTGAGCATGTGAGCAGGTCTTTGAGGTGAGCGTGTGAGCATGTGAGCAGGTCTTTGAGGTGAGCGTGTGAGCATGTGAGCAGGTCTTTGAGGTGAGCGTGTGAGCATGTGACCAGGTCTTTGAGGTGAGCGTGTGAGCATGTGACCAGGTCTTTGAGGTGAGCGTGTGAGCATGTGACCAGGTCTTTGAGGTGAGCGTGTGAGCATGTGACCAGGTCTTTGAGGTGAGCGTGTGAGCATGTGACCAGGTCTTTGAGGTGAGCGTGTGAGCATGTGACCAGGTCTTTGAGGTGAGCGTGTGAGCATGTGACCAGGTCTTTGAGGTGAGCGTGTGAGCATGTGACCAGGTCTTTGAGGTGATTGAGCTGCTTGTGCCCCTCTTTTTACACCTATCAATCAATAGAAAAGAGTCTTGAGGCGTCTCAAAACTCAACTTGATCATCAAAGCTGCCATGTTCAAGCAGCGGCGGCAAATGCTCGACTACAACCAGGTCTTTGAGGTGCGATGCTTTGGTCTTTGAGGTGATTAAGCTGCCCGGGCATTATTTCTGATTCATCTCCAAAAGTCCACAAGTAGAAAAGAAAAACGGGTGGCTGAGAATGAACAAGAGTCTTGCACTACCTTCAGCCATCCTATCGCTTCCTTCCTCCCTGTCTCCCTCCCTGCAGCTGCAGCGCAAGCACGTGTACGAGCTGAGAGAATCCATTCTGGAGGAGTCTCCTCAAGTCCGGCACACACGCGCACAACTGTGAGTCCCACTGCAAATTCTGGATGGCAAGGTGCACTGTGAGTCTCACCGCGAGTGTGGACGTCCCGTTGCTTGCACTGTAAGGCTCACTGCAAGTGTGCATGGCACGTTGCTTGCACTGTGTCTGTAGACAGAAGCACATGCTGCCTGGTGTAAGCATCCATTGATCCATCCATCAGTCCACCCGTCTGTCCGTCCACCCACCCATCCACCCTTCCGCCCATCGATAGGTGGAACCGAACCAAGCAGTCCATCGATCCACCTTCCAATCAGTGGTGGATTAGTTTCTCAAGGAATACCGCTCCTACATGTTTGAGATGTCATTATTATATTAAATAGAGTTGAGTCATAGACGTCACCCACCCGTACACCTTTCCACCCATCCACAGGTACATCCAAGCAGTGGTGGATGATGTGGTCGATGAATACTGCTCCTAGACTTGTAAGAGGCATTTTAATGGTTGTAAAGTTAATTATGCTAGTAAACTTCCAACCCCCCATCCACCTTTCCACCCATTCACAGGTACATCCAAGCAGTGGTGGATGATGTAGTCAAGGAATACTGCTCACCCTCTAAGGTAAGTCAACAAGAGTCAAGGGAAGTCAACACCAGTCGAGGCAAGTCAAGCAGTGGTGGATGATGTGGTCAAGGCATACTGCTCACCCTCCAAGGCAAGCCAACCAGAGTTTATATGCTGTCCGCACCGCATCTAAAGCATTTCACTTTGCGGTTTTGAGGCTCCTCAAAACAAGCCAACCAGAGTTTATATGCTGTCCGCACCGCATCTAAAGCATTTCACTGTGCGTGCAATTTTACCAAGCAAGAGTCTATGGAATCGAAGTGTCATTAACCATGCACCATCCAGCGGGGTCGAATCTGCATATTTGCATACTTACATGGCACCATCATCAACGCCATGCCAATATACGCCAACCTCTCAGTTCCGCCATTTCTCAGCACCCCCATATATCTCTCCCATATATTTTTTTGCAAATATATCTCTCCCATATATTTTTTTGCAAATATATCTCTCCCATATATTTTTTTGCAAATATATCTCTCCCATATATTTTTTTGCAAATATATCTCTCCCACTGCCTGCCTCTTCTTCCCCACCCCTCCCTCCCTGCCTGCCTGCCTGCCTCCGTTTCAACACCAGCCAGTGGCATCATGGCCTATAGATACCTTGCTCAAGCGCCTCTCTCGCACCACTGGCATAGGTACTGTTTGTTCACTGATACGATACTTTGTTGCTGTTGCAGTTGGTTTTTTGGGAATCCTTAAAAAAACCGCCTGCATTCTGTTCAAGCTCGTTTGTTCACTGATTAGGTACTGGCAGTTCACTACTCCTCCGGATGGCGGAGTTGTTTCTGCAGTTCACTACTCCGCTGGTGACATCCGCCTTTTTTGCCTCCCCCACCCTCCTCTCCCCACCCATTATTAGACATCTCCCATTATTAGACATCTCCCATTATTAGACATCTCCCATTATTAGACATCTCCCATTATTAGACATCTCCCATTATTAGACATCTCCCATTATTAGACATCTCCCATTATTAGACATCTCCCATTATTAGACATCTCCCATTATTAGACATCTCCCATTATTAGACATCTCCCATTATTAGACATCTCCCATTATTAGACATCTCCCATTATTAGACATCTCCCATTATTAGACATCTCCCATTATTAGACATCTCCCATTATTAGACATCTCCCATTATTAGACATCTCCCATTATTAGACATCTCCCATTATTAGACATCTCCCATTATTAGACATCTCCCATTATTAGACATCTCCCATTATTAGACATCTCCCATTATTAGACATCTCCCATTATTAGACATCTCCCATTATTAGACATCTCCCATTATTAGACATCTCCCATTATTAGACATCTCCCATTATTAGACATCTCCCATTATTAGACATCTCCCATTATTAGACATCTCCCATTATTAGACATCTCCCATTATTAGACATCTCCCATTATTAGACATCTCCCATTATTAGACATCTCCCATTATTAGACATCTCCCATTATTAGACATCTCCCATTATTAGACATCTCCCATTATTAGACATCTCCCATTATTAGACATCTCCCATTATTAGACATCTCCCATTATTAGACATCTCCCATTATTAGACATCTCCCATTATTAGACATCTCCCATTATTAGACATCTCCCATTATTAGACATCTCCCATTATTAGACATCTCCCATTATTAGACATCTCCCATTATTAGACATCTCCCATTATTAGACATCTCCCATTATTAGACATCTCCCATTATTAGACATCTCCCATTATTAGACATCTCCCATTATTAGACATCTCCCATTATTAGACATCTCCCATTATTAGACATCTCCCATTATTAGACATCTCCCATTATTAGACATCTCCCATTATTAGACATCTCCCATTATTAGACATCTCCCATTATTAGACATCTCCCATTATTAGACATCTCCCATTATTAGACATCTCCCATTATTAGACATCTCCCATTATTAGACATCTCCCATTATTAGACATCTCCCATTATTAGACATCTCCCATTATTAGACATCTCCCATTATTAGACATCTCCCATTATTAGACATCTCCCATTATTAGACATCTCCCATTATTAGACATCTCCCATTATTAGACATCTCCCATTATTAGACATCTCCCATTATTAGACATCTCCCATTATTAGACATCTCCCATTATTAGACATCTCCCATTATTAGACATCTCCCATTATTAGACATCTCCCATTATTAGACATCTCCCATTATTAGACATCTCCCATTATTAGACATCTCCCATTATTAGACATCTCCCATTATTAGACATCTCCCATTATTAGACATCTCCCATTATTAGACATCTCCCATTATTAGACATCTCCCATTATTAGACATCTCCCATTATTAGACATCTCCCATTATTAGACATCTCCCATTATTAGACATCTCCCATTATTAGACATCTCCCATTATTAGACATCTCCCATTATTAGACATCTCCCATTATTAGACATCTCCCATTATTAGACATCTCCCATTATTAGACATCTCCCATTATTAGACATCTCCCATTATTAGACATCTCCCATTATTAGACATCTCCCATTATTAGACATCTCCCATTATTAGACATCTCCCATTATTAGACATCTCCCATTATTAGACATCTCCCATTATTAGACATCTCCCATTATTAGACATCTCCCATTATTAGACATCTCCCATTATTAGACATCTCCCATTATTAGACATCTCCCATTATTAGACATCTCCCATTATTAGACATCTCCCATTATTAGACATCTCCCATTATTAGACATCTCCCATTATTAGACATCTCCCATTATTAGACATCTCCCATTATTAGACATCTCCCATTATTAGACATCTCCCATTATTAGACATCTCCCATTATTAGACATCTCCCATTATTAGACATCTCCCATTATTAGACATCTCCCATTATTAGACATCTCCCATTATTAGACATCTCCCATTATTAGACATCTCCCATTATTAGACATCTCCCATTATTAGACATCTCCCATTATTAGACATCTCCCATTATTAGACATCTCCCATTATTAGACATCTCCCATTATTAGACATCTCCCATTATTAGACATCTCCCATTATTAGACATCTCCCATTATTAGACATCTCCCATTATTAGACATCTCCCATTATTAGACATCTCCCATTATTAGACATCTCCCATTATTAGACATCTCCCATTATTAGACATCTCCCATTATTAGACATCTCCCATTATTAGACATCTCCCATTATTAGACATCTCCCATTATTAGACATCTCCCATTATTAGACATCTCCCATTATTAGACATCTCCCATTATTAGACATCTCCCATTATTAGACATCTCCCATTATTAGACATCTCCCATTATTAGACATCTCCCATTATTAGACATCTCCCATTATTAGACATCTCCCATTATTAGACATCTCCCATTATTAGACATCTCCCATTATTAGACATCTCCCATTATTAGACATCTCCCATTATTAGACATCTCCCATTATTAGACATCTCCCATTATTAGACATCTCCCATTATTAGACATCTCCCATTATTAGACATCTCCCATTATTAGACATCTCCCATTATTAGACATCTCCCATTATTAGACATCTCCCATTATTAGACATCTCCCATTATTAGACATCTCCCATTATTAGACATCTCCCATTATTAGACATCTCCCATTATTAGACATCTCCCATTATTAGACATCTCCCATTATTAGACATCTCCCATTATTAGACATCTCCCATTATTAGACATCTCCCATTATTAGACATCTCCCATTATTAGACATCTCCCATTATTAGACATCTCCCAGCACGTGGATTCCCCCACCCCACTCTCAGTTCCGCCCTTTCTTATGAGCCGCCTCGAAATCACGTTCCATATGTCCTCCCCCTTTTCCTCCCTGGCCCTGCACCTTTCTCCCTGTCCACTCCCTTACCAGACATTTCCCTGCACGTGGATGCAACCTCCCTCAGTTCCGCCCTGTCCCACTCCCCGCCGCCGAACGCCGGCCACCGATGGGACCTCAGAAAGCACCTTCCCCACGTCCTGCCTCCCCTGCCTGAGGTGCTGCCGCCCCTTGGGGTAGGCTCCAACTCTGCTGCTAGTGGCGCTGCTGCTGCTGCTGCTGCTGCTGCTGCTGCTGCTGCTGATGTCAGTGGTGGTGGTGGTTCTGCCGGTGCTGCTGGTGTTGGAAGTGAGAATAAGAGGGAAGAGGAGGAGGGGGGGGACGCAGAGGCAATGCGGGAGGAGCTGAGATGGCGAGAGATTCTGCGCGACACCTCTGACCTGTAAGGCAGTGTGGCATATTGACTGACCCCCTGATTGAACCCCCCGAAGGACCCTCCCTGATTGTCCTGTGAGAGGAGCTGAGATGGAGAGAGATTCTGCGCGACTCATCTGACCTGTAAGGCAGTGTGGCATATTGACTGACCCCCTGATTGAACCCCCCGAAGGACCCTCCCTGATTGTCCTGTGAGAGGAGCTGAGATGGAGAGAGATTCTGCGCGACTCATCTGACCTGTAAGGCTTGGTTGGTGGTAATGGTGCTGGTGGTGCTGCTGGTGTTGGAAGTGAGAATAAGAGGGAAGAGGAGGAGGGGGGAGACGCAGAGGCGATGCAGGAGGATTTGAGATGGCGAGAGATTCTGCGCGACACCTCTGACCTGTAAGGCTTGGTGGTGAGATGAGAGAGAGGTGTAGGTGTTCTTCACGAGCTGTAAGGACCTGTAAGAACACTTAAGGACCCGTAAGGACGCTTAAGGACTTGGTGGTGAGAGAGAGGTGTAGGTGTTCAGTGTGCGCCCCCATTTCTCCCCGCTGCCTTTCCCCCGCACGGGCGCACGGTGAGAGGTGTAGGTGTTCAGCGTGCGCCCCCATTTCTCCCCGCTGCCTTTCCCCCGCACGGGCGCACGGTGAGAGGTGTAGGTGTTCAGCGTGCGCCCCCATTTCTCCCCGCTGCCTTTCCCCCGCACGGGCGCACGGTGTAGTGTAGGTGTTCTTCGCGACCCGTAAGGACCCGGGGGACCCATAAGCACGTGCCAGCAACTCTTCATGAACCCAGCACCTCTTCGCCTCTGCTTTCCCTATGATTGTCGTCGCTTGCCTTTATTTCCCCTGCATGCTCTCCTCAGGAGGGGCAGGTCATCAAGGCACCTGGCAGCGCTGCGCAAGTACCTGGGGGACGTGGTGGTGACGAGCTACAGGGCCCACCTCGCTCTCTTTGTTGCATCGCCACAGCAGATGGAGTTTTTCGAGGTCAGAAAGGAAGGAATGAGACCTAATGAGCCGCCTGTTGAGAAGGAATCGTTTTCAAGTCCAACATTGCAGTGCTCACCTCGCCTTGAGCTGGTGGTGTGTTACAAGGCCCACCTAGCTCTCTTTGTTGCATCGCCACAGCAAACGGAGTTCTTCGTGGTCAAAAAGGGGTGTTTTCCGTTTTCTTCTTCTTCTTATTTACTTTTCTTTTTTTCCGCGAAGGAAAGAGGGGGGTTGGGTGGGTGTTTTGTCTAGTTTGTGTTTTGTTTCGTCATGTGAAATACTCATCCCTATTCCCTCCTTTCGTGCCACTGCTCGACTGTAACTCCGCCCTGTGCACAGGGCAGGGCAGATCTGTAACTCCCCAGATCTACCTGCGTCCATCAACTTCCCCCTTGCGCTCCCTATTCCCCCCTGCCCCCCTACGCCCCCCAACTCCGCCTGATGCCCTCCCCCTGCGCCCTCCTTGCCTCCTGTCGAGCAGAGAGAGTCGCTGCTCTCCACGCTGGACTGGCTGTGGAGATTTTTTTAAGCGTTACAAATTCCCCCGTGCGCCCTCATTTCTCCCCGGCGCCTTCCCCCTGCGCCCTCCTTGCCTTTTTCCGAGCAGAGAGAGTCAATGCTCTCCACGCTGGACCGCCTGTGGAGCGTGCACATCGCCAACATGGCACGTCTGAGGAACGCGGTTAGTGTTGTCATGGTTCCTTAAAGGTGCACGATGTTAATGTTTGTAAGCTCTTGAGGCACCTTGAAGGCACCTTGCAGTCAGAACCAGGTGTATGCTGGGTGTGTGTAGCTCTTCCCTTTTCCCTCCCTTCCCTTCCCATACGAATATACTCGTGTTCTGTGTGCATTTCTTTTGAGACGTCTCAAAACACTTCTTCAAACCCATACAAATATACTCGTGTTCTCACACGCTTCCCTTCTGTGTGCATTTCTCACACCCTTGAAAAGCGCTGTTTCTTGTACCGCCTCCTGTTTTCCTGCTCCTCCATAATTGTTTGATTTGTATTCCCAAAGGTGAGTGTGCAGGGCTTTGGGCGGGAGAACCCATTGGAAGAGTTCAAAATCGAAGGCTCGCGCTTCTTCATCTCATCTGTCTTTGCCTCGCCTGCTCCGTCCTCCTTTCCTATTACTGTATTGTTCCTGTATGCTTCCTGTCTGCACAGGTGAGCGTGCAGGGCTTTGGGCGAGAGAACCCATTGGAAGAGTTCAAAATCGAGGGCACACGCTTCTTCATCTCCACACTCTTCGCCATGAGGAGGGAGAGCGTGCAGGCGCTGCTGTCGGCCTTTTTGGCAGATACAGACGGGAACATAGAGGGTGGCAGTGGTGGGAATGTCTGAGTCAAAGTCTGGCAGATGTGGAGGGGGGCATCAATGGTGGTGCTGGCGATGTGTGATAGAGGGCAGGGCATGCGCTTGCCTCTTCATCTCTACACTCTTTGCCATGCAGAGAGAGAGCGTGCAGGCACTGCTCTCAGCCTTTTCGGCAGATACAGAGGGGAGCGTTGATGGTGGTGGGGGGAGTGTGGTGTAGGCTTGAGCTTTCCAGGGCCACACGCTGCTTCATCTCTACACTCTTTGCCATGCACAAGTAGAGCGTGCAGGCACTGCTCTTCGCCTTTTTGGCGGACTCAGGCGGGAGCACTGATGGTGGAGGCCTAGTTGTGATCTGCTTTATGAGAGACAGCGAGAGCACCATTGTCAGATATAACACTGGTCTAGTGTGTAGTGCACTATTGACTGCTTGCAGTCAACTTGTTTCCTCAACCAGAGTTCGAGCCTGAAATAGATACCCTCATAAGGGATGCTGTATCTCCTAGAACGTCTACTTTCAGCGACGTGCTTTTCCAAGCTTGATTTGTCGCTCTTCCAGGGATGCTGATCACAATGCCATCAGCGCCAGCAAGGAGGGGGGAGCAGACAGACAGCAAGGGAGAGGGGGGGGGGCGGAAAGGGGAGGGGAAGGGGGAGTGGAGGAGTGCCAGGAAGAATGTAGAAACAACAGGAACTTTGAAGGACGAAGGAAAAAAAAGTGTCACATGTAGATGTAGTAATTGAAGGTGTTGGAGGTTTAACACAGAAAAGAAAGTGAAAGGTGTACGATCGAAATACAACACCGATAGAAGAAACACAAATGACAAGTACAAACACGAAAGCTGCACAACTGGGAGATACTCTAGACTGCGATTTTTTAATGATTTGCCAAGAGCACCGATTCAATTGATTTCCCAAGTTCTGAGAATCGTCACTCACGTTCTCTTGGCCTTCGGTGCAGGGGGATGTGCGGCAGCTGCTTATGCTTCTCCGCCTTCCCACTCCCATCCTCTGCCGAGCCCACTCCTAGTGAAGCATCAGCAGTACCACAAGCAGAAGACTCTGCCACGTCAAGGGCAGACTGCAAGACGGAGCATCGGATGAGCGCTAAGTTGAGCTGCTGGCGGATGGACTGGCAGAACAGGCGCTTGGCGTCTGGTAGGGAGGGGAATGGTGGGGGACGGAGGAGCGGAAAAAAGCAGGTGGAGGAATGAGAGAAGGGGCATGGATCATCGGATGAGCGCTGCATAGAGCTGCTGGCGGATGGACGGGCAGAACAGGCGCTTGGCGTCTGGTGGGGAAGGGGGGCGAGAGACGGTCCAGAGAAGAGGGGACAGGTAGATGGGGGAAGGAGGAGGGTCAGGTAAGCGGGTGGGGGAATGGAGAGAGGGGGCAAGAGCATCGGATGAGTGCTGCATTGAGCAGCTGGCTGATGGATAAGCAGAACAGGAGTTTGAACAGGCACAGACAGGCACGGGGTGGCTTGCTGGCCTTGGCCCCACTGCATGCATGCACGAGTGCAACGCAACGCAACTCACTGGCAGAGCAGTGGAAGCGCAGGGAGGCAGGGAAGGCGCAGCGGTGCAGCACGAGCCCGTGGGGGTCAGCTGGGGCGTATTGCGGCTTGCTGGTGAAGGGCCCTCCGTGCACCGCTAGTAGCTCTGATACCACCTGCACAGCCCACGCAGGGGAGGGGAAGCAGCAGCTATTTTATTAGGGCGTGCCGTGCTGGGGCTTGCTGGTGAACGGCCCTCCGTGCACACCTAGCAGCTATAATACCACCAAAAGGAGTGACACGGAAAAAGACAAGGAGCTTCTTCTTCATGAAAGGCTTGCGCATGTGAGGGATCTGAACTGTGTAAAAGAGCAGGGCCAGGAAAAAAAATTCTTGGAGAGTTTGTGCATCAAATGTGGTTCTGCGATGCAACAAACCAATACTTACCTCGGGTTGCTCCTGCCCGCGCCCCACCATGAGCAGCACAGCCATCATACACCGAATCTGGTGCCACAGGAACGCCGTCCCTACCACCTGCAGCACCCACACTGACGGATGTTGGGGAGAATTGCTCGTGTTGCTTGGGCTGAAATCTCCCCCAGAAGAGCCTGCGGCAGGGTGGAGGAGAATGATCAGAATTAGCCGTGAGGCAGAATTAGCTGTGAGGCCGAATTAGCTGTGAGGCAGAATTAGCTGTGAGGCAGAATTAGCTGTGAGGCAGAATTAGCTGTGAGGCCGAATTAGCTGTGAGGCAGGTGCAGGAATTCGGTGCCACGGAAACGCCATCGAACCACTTGGACCACCGGCAGCGACGGAAGCCGCATTGGGGGAGTTTCTTGGATCAAACTCTCCCCCTGGAAGTAAGCTGCGCTGCGGTAGGGTGGAGGAGAATAAAGGATCCATTCATGTGGTAGAGAAACCTGCATCTACCCAAGAGAAGAAACTCAAAGGGCAGGCTTTTGAGGCGCCTCAAAGGTGGAGGAGAATAAAGCATCCGATGCATCCGATGCATCTACCCAAGAAGAGAAACTCAAAGGGCAGGACCCACTCACGTGATGACAGGGCGGCAAAGGGAGCAGCAAAGGGGACGATGGGGCTCACACACCGAAATATCCCTCTCAAATGACTTGACATTCTTTGCCTGCATCCATGCGGCAGAAGTAGCCTCCTCAAGAGACATGTCAAGACACTCACATGACGACATGGTGGCAAAGGGCACAATGCGGCACACTAAGATGTCCCTCTCAAACGACTTGACGTTCTCTGCATCCATGCGGCAGAAGTTCCGAAAGTCGTGGCGGCCCTTGAAGAGTGCTGCTGCCCGCTGCATGGCCTGATGATGAAGGGGAGAGAAGGTGGGAAGGGGAGCCAAGGGTGAACAGATACAGAAACAAGAGGCGACGCGGAAAAGAGAGGGAGATGGAGAAGAGGCGTCTGCTGCAGAGCGGGAAAAAAATAATCAATGGAAAACGTGGAAGGGAAGTTGAGAAAGAGGAGAAGAGGAATCACCGAAACATCAAGGCCAGGTTCGTCCACGAAGTAAAACCTGTACTCCCGCTCCAAACAGCTGAACCTGCAATTGCAGCAGCAGCAGGATGCACACAGAGCGTGCAGGGCCTCATTAGATGACAAAGAAAAATTAGCACCAACAAGAAAATTTAAGAAAATTTACCCCCCCCCCCCCCCCCCCCCCCCCCCCCCCCCCCCCAAAAAAAAAAAAAAAAAAAATCGTTTACAGACAGACAACAAAAAAGGGGGTAAGGCGGGCAGGACCAACGAAAGGGTTTAAAACAATTCGTTTGGCATTCACACAGATTGTCACAGATTGTAACTCATAAGAAAACAATCATCCTCACCTGGCGCTGAAGTCTGGAGGGGCAGGAGCCCATGCCAGCACACGGATGTCATCCGGAAGAGCTCTGTTGAGTGATGCTACGTAGTCAATTTCGCCTGCCACGTCAGCAGACTCCCTTGCCACGTCATCAGACCTCCTTGCCACATCAACTGCTGACAGATCGGCAGCAACGCTGCCAGTGGTGACGTTGCTCTGGCTGGCAGTTGGGTCCGCTGGGGTGGCAGCAGCTGTTGCACAGTCAGCAACTTCAAGATTGACGTCAGCCACTGTCATTCCTGCGTGCTGCTGACGTGGACGAACTGAGGAGCGCAGATGAAGCGCAACGACCTGACACGGTCCCAAAGTGGGGTTGAGAAGGCATGTTTAGGAGAAAAATCTTGATGCAAGCACTGGAATCTGAACTGGAAAAATCACCTGAAAAAGCACCTGACCATTCACCTGTACACTCACCTGGCCAATGGCGTTCACCCCTCGGTCCGTCCTCCCACATCTGGAGTATCCTGCTGCTCCATCCTTCATGATGTCTTTCAATATAGTCACACCTCCCTTGGCCCCAGCACCACCACCTTCGTTATGATCACACTCAGTAAAGGCACCCTCCAACCCTCTCTGTCTCGCAGCTCTCTTCTGCTTCCTTTGCAGCTTAGCATCCATTCCACCATTCGGTACAGTCACATCTTTTCCACCCTGCTCACGTGCCGTGCAGTTACCCCTCGCTACAGTCACATCCCAATCCATTTCTCTGCTATTGTTCATGATAGTAGCAGATGCGGCAGGTTCAGTGGCGGACGAAGGTGGTTGTGGGGAAGCAGGCGAAGCAGCGGCAGGGATCAGGAGTCTCGTGTGCAGAAGAGCTGAGACTAAGCGGCCCTGACAGTAGGACAGGGATGGGGGGGGGAAGCAGGGGAAGCAGCAAGGGAAGGCGTTTGATATTTTCTGAGAAAAAGGGAGCAGAGGAGGGGTGGCAGGGATCAGGAGTCTCGTGTGCAGAAGAGCTGACACTAGCCGGCCCGGCTCTGACAGTAGGACAGGGGACAAGGGGAGCAGGGGACGCAGCAAGGGAACACATTTGAGGAGGTGAGGGGGGAGCCATATGTGCCATGGTGCCTTGCCTGCAACCTGTGGCTGAGGCTGGAGCATGAAATGCAGCAGGAGCAGGAGGTGAGGGGGGGGTAACAGCTTCGTGTGCACCACAGCAGACACTAGCTGGCGGGGGGAGAAGGGGAAGCAGCAAGGGAAGGTACTTGAGACGTTTCGAATAAAACAAGGGAGCAGGGGAGGGGCGGGGATTTGCAGCTTTGTGTGTAGCAGGGCGGACACTAGCTGGCTGGCCCTGGCAGAGCGACAGGGACGAAGGCAGATTGTGAAACAATAGCTTTACAACGTATCAGATACATAAAATCAGCAGGGTTTTGAGACAAATAACAGGGCTCTGAGCAGTGAATGGGTGTGCGACAGCATCGAAATTGGCAGTGCGTGGGTGCAGTGCAGTGCAGTGCAGTGCAGTGCGGTGCAGTGCAGCAACGCCTTACTTACTTCTACAGTAGGCCCCACGACGCCTTGAGATGCAAAGCCCAGGTACCTGCAGGGAACAAGAGGGAAGAAAGGAATGGAGGATAAGAGAGGAGAGGAATAGGGGGCAATGCATAAGTTTGGAAAATGAAGGAGGAGAGCAGGGAAAGAGGAGGGGCGGATGAAAGGAAGAGGAGAGCAGGAGTGATAGCACCATACAATCACGTTCATCTTATTGTCACACCTCCATACCTACATACTCACCTCCATACATACATACTCACCTCCATTCCATTAAAACTCCTCCCCACTCACCCAGATCCTCCGTTCGCACTCACTTCACCTCACCAATGACTGACACTCACCTCGAACCCATTTTAACCGCTTCACACCCACCTCGACCCCAGGTACATGATCTGCAGCGCCACGTGTCGAGTCCTGAAGTTCTCCAGCGCATTCCCACGAACCTTCCTCCCTCCCTTTCCCCTCATCCCGCCGCTCTGTAAATCATCTCCACCACCACCGCCCCCACTACCCGCACCACCTGCACCTCCACACCCACCATCGTCATCCCCTGCCTCTTGAGCCAACTCCTCGTCCCTTTCCCCGCGAGTATCTTGAAGAACCGCCTCATTTCCCTTACCAGACTTACCCCCCGCACTCTCCTCCTTTTTCACATGTTCCACCCCTTCTTCCGCTTCCCCACTTCCCCCCCCCCATGGCGGAACCACCCCCTGCGCGCGCAGCAACGCTTCCGCCTGCGCGAGGCGGAGCTGCGCTTCCGCCAGCGACTGCTCCAGATGCTGGGCGGGCGGGGGGAAGGAGCGGCGGAATGGGTGGGGACGGAGGGAGGGGGCAGATGGGGAAGAGGCAAAGCGGGAGGTGCGGGAAGAGCGGGAGGAGTGGAAGGGAGAGACGGGGGAGATGGGACTGGACGGAGGGGTAGCAATGTGTGTAAATGCAGCCTCAATCCAACCTTGTCGCACGGATTACCCAACCTGTCGAAGCCAGCGAAACTGGAGGACGGACGGAGGGGTAGCAATGTGTCTTTTGAGTCGACTCAAAAGTCACCAAATGCAGCCTCAATCCAACCTTGTCGCACGGATTACCCAACCTGTTGTCAAATCGAGCCAAACTGGAGGACGGATAGATATCACTTACGGTGTAGCTACGGTCAGTCGGTACCTACCTTCAAACGGTCACTACACGAGCACTTGCAGCCTGACGCTTCATCCATGATCTCTTTCCTCCTCAATTTCAAACAATTTTTACACAATCATCCGCTGCTCCAGGGTTTCAGGTCCCGCACGCGCCTGCGAGATAACTCGCGGTTTTATCAACCGCTGGGCGGATTTGACGGGGAATATCGACGGTCAAGGGATGTTGGGTTGATGGGAAAGGGGGGTTTAGCGAAAGTCGCGAGAGTGCAGGAAAGAACGGATGCGGTTGGTTGCGAAAGTTGTGGAAATCGCCACAAATGAATTGGGATTCGGGAACGGGTACTGTGATCGAAATCGCTGAGGTGGTTTTGAAAATTCAGCGCTCGGCCTGGTTGGCGGGAACGAGATGGGAGGGTCATCCAAGAGATGCTTTTCGTCATTACTCGAAATCGCGGGCATGGTAACTTTCTCGTCACTGTGCACTCGTGGCTCTCGAAACTCAGTTGACGAAAATTAACTGCTCGTCACCCCCCTGTTTCGCCCAGCCGACAATCCGTCATTCAACTGGTTACGGGAATTTTCGCACGGGAATAACAAATTCCCGCGAAGCTCCGAACTCATCCATTCCCAACGTAGTTCTCATCCAAGTATCGCGTGGAGAATGGCTGATGTTTCGCACACCACGATTGACGCCGCAAAAGGCGCCGCGACTGCCGCCGGTGAACAGCCTCCTCTGAAGATTGTAGTTGCCGTGGTTACGGCGTCCTCTCGAGTCGGTAAAGCCACAATACGTCACCTCCTTGGCAAGTTCAGCGATAAGGTCCACATTCGCGCCGTGTTTCGCGGGACGAGCAAGACAAGAGAGGATTTCCTTCGCGACCTCGTACAGCCCGAAGGCACCGGAAACTGCGCTAATGGGGACGAAAATCTTGTATCAAATCTCGCAAATGTCGAGGTCGTCTGCGGTTTCGACGTCGCGGATCCGCTTACACACGCAGCCGCGTTTTCCGGCGTGGATCGCGCTCTGATCATCGCCCCACAGCTAGAAAACCGTCACGAAATCGTCAACTCAATTTTAACGGCCGGCAAGTCGTACGGCGTGCGACGCGTGGTGCTTATAGGCGGCGTGTTTCAAGAAGAGGAGAGGTTCATCTTCCACCGCCAATGGCAGAGCTCAAGGCGACACGCAGATGAAACCCTAGGCCTGTCCTGGACCCAGCTCGAATGCGGTGATTTCATGGAGAACGTACTGCGCAGCAAAGAGACGATCTGCAACGAGGATAAAGTGTACGGCGCTGGAGGAGACCCTGGTGCCTGCTCGCTTCCCGTTGCTCTGGATGACATCGGTAAAGCAGCAGCCGTGATTTTAGCGAGCGACGATGACGTGGCACACGATCGCCGGCCATATCGGATCGTGGGACCAGATCTGCTGAGTCAGCATGATATTGTGAGAATAATCGGCGAAAAGACTGGCAAGGAGGTGACATTTGTCGACCTGGGATTGGAGGGGGCCATGGAGAGAGCTATTTCTATAGGCGGCTCGGCCAGGTGGCAGGCTGAGGGTTTCCGTGATTGGATGCGTTTATACTACACCATTGGAAGGTTCAAGGAAGTTACGTCTGATCTTCCCCTGCTTGGGATCCAACCTCAGCGATTTGATGAGTGGCTGGACCAGCACATGGGAGAACTTTTAGCTAAGGGTGACTTTTAAAGCTTGTGCAATTATGTAAAGATGTTGATAATTACCAAGTGGTGCCAGTTACCGATACCTGATTGTTAAGGAACGAAGAGAAGGGGCCTTGGAGTCACTTGGTGCTTCAGACAGCAGGGAAGGGGGGTGTGAGGTAGAGGGAGGGGTGGGTCTGAGCGGGAAAAAGAGAGGGAGAAATGGGACAAGTGCTCCACGCCACAGGTGTGGGAGTGGGTGCTGCTGAGTTTGGGTAGAGGGTTGATGAGTGGAAACAGGTTTAGGTGTGGGTACCATACCATATGAATGGGGGTGAGAGCCAGCGTGGGGCAAGGGAAGTTGCCCTTTCAATGCAGCCAGGTTCACTGTATCCCCTAAGAACAAGTCAGCCTAAGCTTGATCGAGATCCCTTCGAACCCTATCCTATGGCGTCAAAACATCAATGGAAAAACCCATGCATCCCCTTATTTCTTTTGCAGAGCCTCTTTGTCAAATCCTGTTTAACCGTATGTTTGTCAACAAGACAGTTTAGACACTCTACTCTATCAACCGCTGTTGCCTCATAGCCTTTCCTCGCGCCTTCTAGGAGCATTGGTGATGATGTCATCAACACGCAGGATCATCTCCACTGCCTCCGTTGCTGACATCAGCACGGCCTGCTTCACCTTGAGAGACTCGTAGATCCCACACACCTCCATGTCACCAGCCTGACACGCACATGGGAGAGAGAGAGGGGAAAGAGGAGATGAAAAGAAGGACGAGCCACGAAGCATTGCCTCCCCATGAACACTTAAACCCCATGACGGCAATGCCTGCATGGCTGTTCTCATCAGCATGACCCGCCCGCAGCTGAGCCACCAGCTCTGCACTTGAGCCACCAGCTGAAGTGAATTCGGAGTCAATAGGGAACATCTTTCACATGTTCTCCCCCTGTCTCTCACCTGTCCCGTGATAACGTCAATGCCAGCACGGCTGTTCTCATCAGCATGGGCTGCCCGCAGGTGAGCCACCAGCTCCGCACTGTCGAGCCCAGCGTTGTCGGCAATAATGGTGGGGATGGCGCGAAGGGCAGACGCGAATGCCTCCACTGCTAGAGCGCGCTTTCCTGCACAGGGGGGAGTAAGGGTGGGGTAGGAAGGGAGGCATGGAGGGAAGGAGGGCCAGTTGAGGGGTATGAGCCACCAGCTCTGCACTGTTGAGGCCAGCATTGTCAGCAATGATGGTCGAGATGGCAGGAAGGGCAGACGCGAATGCCTCCACTGCTAGAGCTCGCTTTCCTGCATGGAGGGGATGAGAGTTGGGGTATGAAGGGGTGTGTGAGGGTGTGATGAGCCAGCACCTATGCACGTTCAGTCAGCAATCAGTCAGCAATCAGTCAACCGTCAGTCAGCTGTCAGTCAACTCACCGGATGTGCGACGGGCAAGGACATCAACTCGAGTCGCCATAATGACTTCAGGCCAGACCCCTCCCAACACCACTCTGCTGCCCCTTCAACCGTCAGTCAGTCAACAATCAGTCAACGTCAGTCAGCAGTCAGTCAACAGTCCGTCAACTCACCCGGTGTGCTGCGAGCAAGGTCATCGACCCGCGTGGCCATCATGACTTCTGGCCAGCCCCCGCCCCACACCACTCTGCTATCCGCCACTGCCCTCCCAGGGCGCTCCCTCCCCTATTCCACACAGAATTCGTCCTCAGTCAACAGCCAGTCAACGTCAGTCAGCAGTCAGTCAACAGTCAGTCAACTCACCCGGTGTGCGGCGAGCAAGGTCGTCAACTCGGGTTGCCATCATGACTTCAGGCCAGCCCCCGCCCCACACCACTCTGCTATCTGCCACTGTTGCTGTCAGAACACACAGCGCATCGTGCAGCGACCTCTCTGCTTCATCCAAGACGTGTGAACTGCCAGGGGGGGCAACAGGGGAGGAGGGAGGGATAGATATCAGTGAACGAGTGGGCTTCTGAAGTTGTCAACACACACAGCGCATCGTGCAGCGACCTCTCTGCTTCGTCCAACACGTTTGAACTGTGAGGGACGGCAAGTGCAGGGGAGAGTAGGAGGAAAGTTGTGTGTGTGGAAGAATGGGGCAAGAATGATAGGAGGAAAGTTGTGTGTGTGGAAGAATGCACAAGGAGGAAAGGGGGGCCATTCCCCGCCCCACACCACTCTGCTGTCCGCCACTGTTGCTGTCAGCACACTCAGCGCATCGTGCAGGGATCCCTCTGCCTCGTCCAACACGTGTGAGCTGGCAGGGAGAGAAAGGAGGAAGGAATAGGACATGAAAGTTGCTGAGGAGGAACGGGTGAGTGTTGCTGTCGGCACTCACTCACAGCCCATCGTGCAGCAATCCACAACTTTCTAACCATTCTTGCTCACCTGACAACATTCTTGCTCACCCTAAACTCTAACTCTTCTTCCTAACCATTCTTGCCCACCTGGCGCCGCGATGCACGATGGTGCACGCCTCTCTCAGCACCAAACCCAAAACCCTGAACGCGAAACCTGACCCCTCATAATTTCTCACCTTGCACCTCGCAGCACGATAGTGCACACCTCTCCCAGCGCCGCCCTTGTGAAGTTCATATCTCAATCTTTTAGAGCCCGAATTCCCGAATCCTCACAATTCCTCTGACCCTCATAATTTCTCACCTCGCCGTGTTCTGAATCGACCCGAAACTCACCTGGCGCAGAGCAGAACGATGGTGCATGCCTCGCGCACCGCCACCACTTTTTGACAACCCTAGCCCTCATACCCACCTCCTATCTCGCAAGCTTGCTCACCTGGCGCCGCGCAACACGATGGTGCACGCCTCGCCGAGCGCCACCCCCGAGAAGTGGATCAGGCGGTCCTCTCCAATCATGATCTCCTCGATCACCTTGCACTGCCCCAGCTTCACTCCAGCCGGGTTTTCAAACGTGCTCGCAATCTCGCCCCCCGTCACCAGCGCCAGCCTCTCAATCCCCTCACTACCAACCCTCACAAGATTTTCATTCTGGGCTTTCAAGGACAGAAACCCCTATCCCAAAACCCTAAACCCTGCACCTGATCCTCATAGTTTCTCACCTGGCACCTCGGAGCACGATGGTGCATGCCTCCCCCAGCGCCACCCCCGAGAAGTGGATCAGGCGGTCCTCTCCAATCATGATCTCCTCGATCACCTTGCACTGCCCCAGCTTCACTCCAGCCGGGTCCTCAAACGTGCTCGCAATCTCGCCCCCCGTCACCAGCGCCAGCCTCTCAATCCCCTCAAAATCCGCGTGCTCTATTGCCATCACCCCCGCGTCCGAAAAGAGCTCTTCCGGAAAGTTGTAAATCAGCTGCCGATTAATGAAGCAGTTGATTCCATGTGCGATGATTTTCTCCACCTTTTGCCGCATCTTGGCCTTCTCGGCTGCTTCGATCTCGGCGACTTTCGCCATACCGTCGACGCGCACGCGGGCGCCGTAGATCTTCACCTTATCCGTGTCCATCGCCGTGTTTGCAACGAGGATTTTTGCGTTTTCGATCCGCTTTGGCTGCCCCACCCCTATTTTCTTGTCCAGAATAAAGCTGTTGTCGGGTGGGGTGTTGGGGAGGGACGGTGGGAGGAGGGGGGAGAAGGGGAGGAGGAGGGACAAGAGGTGGGGGGGGAGGGAGGGGGAGGAGAGAAGGCAGGAGGGGAGGGAGAAGGGAGGGAGGGGAAGGAGGGGTTTAAGCAAACTTGCCATGTTGTCCATGCGCACGCAGGCTGTGCTTGCAACAAGGATATTTGCGTTCTCGATTCTCTTCAGCTGCCCCACCCCAATCGTCTTGTCCAGAATGAGGGGAGAACGGGAGTTGGCTCACTGCTCACTAAACCCCAGAACTTTGTAAAACACTGGTAAAAAAACCTTGAGAAGCCCGGAAAAAAAAAAAAAAAAAAACTTTAAAATGACCCGGATAACTCTGGAGAAAAAAATTGGCCCTAGAAAAAGGGTAGCTCACCTCACCCTTCATCAATATCAAGTCAGAGAGGGCACCACCCACTTTCTTGATAATCTGAATGGCTGCTGCCCTTGAGACGCAGCACCGCATCCACTGCTCCTATAGCTCACAAAACCCGAAACCCTCGAAAAACCCTAGACAAACCCTGATGGAACCCTGGTCGACACTCGCTCACCCTTCATCAAGGTACGAGTCGGACAGGGCGCCACCGGCCTTCTTGATGATCTGAATGGCCTCCAGGTTGGTGCTGCCCTTGAGACGCAACACTGCATCCACTGCCAGCGAGGCGAAGTGCTCCTTGTCCTGGGACAGAATCTTGGAGCTCAGAGTGGTCTTGGCAATGCGCAGAAGATCCTCACGGAATTTAGCTGCAAGCATGGGACACGCGGGGAAATCGCATGAGGAGTGTCAAACAGCACGAGTGAGTGAGACAAATGGTGTCAAGCAGCACTGCATCCTCTGCGAGCGAGGCAGAGTGCTCCTTGTCGTGCGAGAGGATCTTGGAACTCAGAGTGGTCTTGGTGATGCGCAGCACATCCTCGCGGAATTTGCCTGCATGCACACACGGGGTTACAAGGGGGATGTGCATGAGAGTGGTTTGTGAGGCGCTTCATAAGTCACATACGGGGTGACAATGAGGAGGGGCGCACGAGTGAGGCAAAGTGCTCCTTGTCCTGCAAGGGAATCTTGGAACTCAGGGTGGTCTTGGCAGCCCTCAGCAGGTCCTCCCTGAATTTGGCTGCATAGCAGAGAAAATCAGACAGAGAAGCATTGGTGGGTGGGAAAAGCGCCCTGAACACATTTTCCCTAAACAATTTTCCCTAACATTTTCACATACAAACATGGAATTGAACAAGATTGCGATAGGCTTACCTGGGTCGTCCTTATTGTCTCTGCTCTTGCTGATGAGCACCTCCCGGGCACAATCCAGAGCCATGCGGTAACCTGCATGTTTCAATGACAATGGGCACACATCAGACAATGGAAAACAAAAGTAAATCAATTCAACATGGTGGATCTGGTTGTTTGTTTGTATTTGTTATTTTCTTCTCTCTTTCAAACTTTCTTTCAACTCCCACCCTAATTCCTCGCCCCTGGAAATGATTGATTGAAACCCCTAAAAAATCTCGCATTCCTCGCCCTGCTCCCCTCCTAAAATGATGGACATGGAAAGGGTCCTTGCAGTAAGTAACCAGCTTCTCCGCCTCCTTCAACAGCTCCGCTGCCAGGACCACCACTCCCATTCCTCGCCCGTTTTCCAAAAGCAGCGACTCATTCATCCATGGTCATCGCCCTGCTTCCCACCTGCTGGAGCGGCACATCCCATGACCATCATCTCAGGTGGGAAGCAGGGTGATGACCATCAATGGATGAGCCCTGCTTCCCACCTGAGAAGATGGTCATGGGGTGGATTCTTGCAGTAACCAGCTTCTCCGCCTCTCTCAACAGTTCCCCCTACAATTCCTCATCCACGTTCCTCCCCCATGTCAAAGAGACCTTACATTTCTGGCCCTAATTCTCAGTCTCACCTGAAATGATGGTCATGGGGTGGATTCTTGCAGTAACCAGCTTCTCCGCCTCTCTCAACAGTCCCCCCAACAATTCCTCATCCACGTTCCTCCCCCATGTCAAAGAGACCTTACATTTCTGGCCCTAATTCTCAGTCTCACCTGAAATGATGGTCATGGGGTTGATTCTTGCAGTAACCAGCTTCTCCGCCTCTCTCAACAGTTCCCCCAACAATTCCTAATCCACGTTCCTCCCCCATGTCAAAGAGACCTTACATTTCTGGCCCTAATTCTCAGTCTCACCTGAAATGATGGTCATGGGGTGGATTCTTGCAGTAACCAGCTTCTCCGCCTCTCTCAGCAATTCACCCGCCAGTACCACCACTGACGTCGTGCCGTCGCCCACCTCATCATCCTGCACCTTGGAGATATCTGGAGATGGCAAAAACGGGGATACAAGGAGATAAGCAACGGTTCAATGCGGCAACCTATTTTTCTTCCTCTCTCAGCAATCACCCCGTCAGCACCACGACTTGCTGCGTGCCACTGCCCACCTCATCGTCCTGACGTTGGAGGCTGGTGGGACGAGTGGCACTACAAGAAAGGTAGGGTTACAGGGTAACACTAACCGACTAGTGATGGCTTGACACTGGAAATAGCATGTAAATACGAGCAACACTGACCCACGAGCACTTTGGCAGCGGGGTTGTCAATGTGTAGCGCCTCGGGAATGGTGGCTGCAGGGTGGCTTTTGAGTCGACTCAAACGCAAAACTTACCAACGAGCACTTTGGCAGCGGGGTTGTCGATGTGTAGAGCCTTGAGAATAGTGGCTCCGTCGTTGGTGACCATCAGCCCACCTCCACGGCTGGTGGACTGCAGAATCTTGTCCTGTAGTGCAAAAAAGGTGCAGGAAAAATTCCAGAGTTTTGAACAAATGTTTGGAAAAGACACCACACATATAACTCGCACGACACCACACCATATATCCCAACTACTTGGATCACAGCACACTCCACTGCCTTGGTAAACGACAGAACGTTTTGGCCAAACGGAGCGCGACCATCCGTCCCTGCATTCGATTCTACTTTTCGCCTTTAAGAAACATTTTTTTTTTTTTCTTATCCACTCCTCTACTCACTCTAATCCCTTGGGCCCCTCTTAGTCTGATACAGCAAAACTTCTTGGTTGTTCAGAATCCCTGGATCCCTCTAATACCCTGGCCGAATCCGCTACCATCGTCCGTCTGCCTGGTCGTATCAAATTCAATTCCCTTGTCAGATCTCCTGATCGCTCTATTCCCTACCTAATCGCATGGTCAAATCGGATCTATTCCACTAGTTAAATCCCTGGCCGCAACTATCCCTCGGTCGCTCTCACCATTCCTTTGGGTCCGAGAGTCGACTTGACAAGATCCGAGATGGCCATGGCGCCCACAAACGACGACTGATGAAAGGTTGGGGGGGGGAAGTAAGGGGGGGGGGTTGAAAAGGAGGGGGGGGGGGGGGTAATATTGTGGGGAAAGGGAGGGGGGAAGAACTGAGAGAGTCGACTTGACGAGATCCGAGATAGCCTTGGCGCCCACAAACGACGACTGATGAAAGTAAGGGGGACGGAAGGGGGAGAAGAGGCGAGGGGGAGGGGAAAGGTGGGGATTCTTGTGGGGGAAGGGAGAGGGGAAGAGCCGAGAGCGACGACTAGACGAGATCCGGGATGGAAATGGCGCCCACAAATGACGACGATGAAAGGTGGAGGGGTTGGGGGGCGGAAGAGGGAGATGTTGTGAAGAAAGGGAGAGGGGAAGAACCAAGAGAATCGACTTGAGGAGATCCGAAATGGCCACGGTTGCAAGAGGCACGGATCGGAGACAAGATGGACGGGAGGGAAGGAAGAGAAGGAGAGAGATGGAGGGGAAGGGAACAGGGGACAGGGGACGGGGCACAGGACCGAGAGAGTTGCTGAGTCGAGATATGACATGGACACGGCTGCAACAAGCACTGACTAATGGGATCGCGGGGAAAAAGAGGACGAAAGTAATGTCACTTCCCAAAAAACTTCCAAAAACTAGGGGACAGGGACAGGGAGGGCAATAAGTAATTGAAGGGGTCTGGGGCAGGGAAGGGAAGGGGGGAGTCGGAGGGGGCTTAGAAAATATTGATGAATGCACGGACAAGCGAAGAGACAGTCGAAAGAACGTGGACTGGGGGATGGACGGCAAGAGAGGCAAAACTGATGGAATTCAACACTGTTGAAACGGCTGCGGGCCGATCGTTAAAAAAAAAAACGGATCGAGAAAAAGTGGACCGAGGAATGCGATGAGAGTTCAACGAAGGTAGACAGGTCGAGTTCATTAATGCTGAACGACGACCGCAGATTGTCCCAAACAACGGATCGGCTTTCATATATCAGTCTGAGGTTAGACGGATCGATTTGCACCGGTCATTCGTCGAGTTCAGCAACGTACCAGACGAGCGCGTTCGCCTTTCTCCTCCGTCGCCGCTTCATTGAAAAGTCGATCACCCTGAACAAAGCAGAACGAGCGGGAAACTAATTCAGCACGAAGGCAACAAAATACTGTCCTACGCGTGCTTCTGAACTGTAAGATCGACAGAATCTGACAACTCTGAGCGAATCCGCACCCCGGGAAGGCGACCGTCTCCCATTCCTGAGACTGCCATGGCTGAAGCTTAGAAGCAACGCCGGATCGCGATTCGAGCACTAAGAAGAATGAAACCTAGTCGAAGCTCAGGCCAGCCAACTTCGGACTAGACGCGGGTCAGATCAGATCCCGTTCTCTGCCAAGGTGAACAGCTCGAATTTGGCCGTGAATGGCGAAAGCACTGAAATTTATCAGGTACTGGCAAGTGTGAGTTCCCAGGAAAAGCAGATCTCACAGACCACTTTGTTCCAAGGTAGAGAAGCCGTAAGAGAGGTGGATGTATAGAAGGTACACCGAACTACCGCCTTTCAGTTTTGCTTCGTTAAATGTAAATAAGCTACACTGTTTTGATCAATCAGCGATAAACACAAGCTTCAACTGTCCCCACCTTCACTGCGGTCCACGTCAGCCCATACCTTCGGCCAAATCTATGAGAGATCTCTTGGCACGGGTTCGTCCACGCCAGCCTAGCTCAATTGGTTGACAGAATTCAGTTTTTCCAGGCCTCGCAATCAGGCTCGACATGGCCCACACAGCCTGCGCGCTCCCCTCACAACCAAACCAGCGTTTGGGTCCCCGACTTCCGAAACGCTCCGAGCCTCAGGTTTTGGGAATCCCAAGGTTGTCTATTTGTCAAATCCGCCAGTTTTCCCTATCCCTTGTTTCCACCAGTTCATGCATCAATGTTCAGGCAGGTAATTAGCGGTTTTGAGCGGTGTGAAAAAAACCGCTCCCGAACGTACGGCATCCGACTCAACCGCTCATCGTGAATGAGGATGTGTATTTCAGACAGTCCACTCTGTCGAAGAACATCTCTATTTCCTCCTCTATTTCCTCCTCGACCAGGGAGAGTTGGCATTTCTCCTCGCCTCGATTCCTTGCTGTTCTGCAACCAGCCAGCAGCACCCGTGCCACCATGGCCGCCATTCACGCCTCGACAGCAGCTCGCCTTGTGACGTCGTCACCGTCGGTGATCGTCGCATCGAGTAGTCGCTCAGAAAGCATCTCATTGTCCTGTTCAGCGTTCTTTTCTGGCTCCTCTCGTTCCTTGGTTCTCTACGCCGAGGTAACTCCACCCACGCGCTCGTTCGTCCCCTTCGTAGGTGAATTCCCACGCTTTCTTGAGAATTTTCCGTTAATTCTTTGGTACGCCTGGATAACCAAAAGATTCGTTGTGTCCTTCGTTGAGTTCCCACCCGCTCCCGTTGCCTCTCTCCCTCTCTCCCCGCCTTTTCTCACCCCTTCTTTCACCCTCCTCTGCAGAACCACGGACCCCTCTCCTCTGCCCTTCCAGCGCTCACCTCCTCACAGCCCGCCTCGTTCGGGTTGGCGTCTTGCAACGCTCGCCGCTTGACCGTTTCAGCGCAAGCTGCGGGCTCAGGTGCAGCAAAAGTGAGTGGGAGTTGGTGCATGGCGTCACTGGTAAGTTTAGCAATGTGTGTGCCTTTGCGAAAACGGTTTTTTTATTCTTTACCCCATGTCAAAATGTGCAATTCTCGCGCGGCCGCTCCTCCGTCTGCTTATTTCTCTGAAACCACGGATTTCAATTCAATGCTCTTTACATTGCATGACCTTCAGGTTAGTGCTTGTTGCATGACCTTCAGGCGTTCTGTTCTGTTTCTCGCTTCTCGTCAGGTTGGCCCAGTGGCAGTGGTCGGAGGCACTGGATTTGTTGGCTCTGCACTCGTTAAAGCTCTCCTCGCAGGTGCTTATAACATGGATGATAATACAGTACCCGTTGTAATCTGTTGTGCAATGCGATTCATGTTCTGATATTTTCGTTCCCCTCCATTCCCATCCCAACCCATCCCAACCGCTGCCACTCCCTTCTCACATATTCACCCTCCCCTGGTGCCTCTCTTCATGTGCTCAATAGGTCGCACCAACGAGGTCACCCATCCATCATTCCTATAGCCCTTCATACCCATCCATCCCGACCCATCTCAACCTATCTATTAATCCTTTACTGCCATCCCCCCGTCTACGTACGCAACCCCCCTGTTGCAGAGGGCGAGCAGGTGAAGGTGCTCACACGCTCCGTGGATAGGGCCAAGGAGGTCTTTGCAGGTGAGGAGGACGGGCAGGTCTTTGAAGGTGCAGATGGGTTTTGAGAATTCTCAAAACTCACCTGCAACGACAACGGCGAGCAGGTGAAGGTGCTCACACGCTCCGTGAATCGTGCCAAGGAGGTCTTTGCAGGTACAGGAGGGTGGGCGGCGTGCCTTTTCAAGGTCTTTGAAGGTGTTTAGAGGTGTTGGCAGGTAATCAAGGGAGGAATTTTGAGGCACCTTATATAGTGTGGTTTGTTGTGCTGTGTGCACCCTTTCCCCCAAACCACAGCTAGCAGTGCTCCTCATGCTGCAATCGTTTCTCCCCTTCTGCTGCTTCAATCCCCACTAGCCCCTTATCTCCCATTGCCACACACACCCACTCCAGGCACGGAAGGAATGGAGCTGGTGGGGCCGGAGGGCTGGGAAGCAGCCGTGGCAGGCATTGGGTTGGTGGTGAAACTGACCCCTCTGTACCCTCCCCTCCCATCCCCCTGTGTACCCTGCGCAACCCCACCCCAGGCACGGAGGGAGTGGAGCTGGTGGGGCCGGAGGGCTGGGCAGCAGCCGTGGCAGGCAGTGGGTCGGTGGTAAATCTGGCTGGCACACCCATCAGCACCCGGTGGAGCCCAGCGGTGGGTTGGCGGAGAGTGAGGGCTTCAGGTCTAAGGTCTAAGGTGTACCTGCGTGGGCCATCAGGGGAGCCGTGGCAGGCAGTGGGTCGGTGGTGAACATGGCCGGCACACCCATCAGCACACGGTAGAGCCCAGCGGTGGGTTGTGAGCGGGGAAAAGGGCGTTGGGTTTTTAAAGGGGGCTTAAAATTCAAGGTCTAGGGTGTATATGGGTCGGTGGTGAATCTGGCCGGCACACCCATCAGCACTCGATGAAGCCTTTCGGTGGGTGGGGATTTGAGTTCCATCTGATTCAATGGTGCCATCAAGCCAAGGCCCCGTCAGAACAAATCCCGTCAGAACAAGGCCCCGTCAGAAGAAGGCCCCGTCAGAACAAGGCCCCGTCAGAAGAAGGCCCCATCAGAACAAGGCCCTGTCAGAACAAGGCCCCGTCAGAAGAAGGCCCCGTCAGAACAAGGCCCTGTCAGAAGAAGGCCCCGTCAGAACAAGGCCCTGTCAGAACAAGGCCCCGTCAGAACAAGGCCCCGTCAGAACAAGGCTCCGTCAGAACAAGGCTCCGTCAGAACAAGGCTCCGTCAGAACAAGGCTCCGTCAGAACAAGGCTCCGTCAGGGCAAGGTGCCATTCTGGGAAGGTGGTAAGTGTGCCGCTATTAACCCTTGAAATGCTCCCACTGCCCCTCAACGTTTCCCATTTCCTTCCCTTCCCCACCCATCCCTTGTTAATTTCGCTGCTTCATATCAAGGCTGAGATAATTTCCAGCCGAGTGGACAAGACTGCTAAGATCGTAGAGGCCATCAACTCGCTTTCCCACACTGCCTCCTACCCCTTCCCCTCCTTTGTTCCACCCCTGTTCCTACTCTGTCCTTCATCTGTTCCTGCTGCGTCAGATCAAGGCTGAGATTATATCCAGCCGAGTGGACACGACGAGTAAGATCGTAGAGGCGATCAACTCGCTTCCAAAGGACAAGCGCCCCTCTGTTTTGGTCAACACATCTGCTGTTGGCTTCTATGGTGCGTGATTGGTTACTGTTTGGGGTAGGGAGTGGTTGAGGGAGAGCGGGGGGGAAGGGTTTGGTTTGGGGATACGAGATCGTTTCTCTATGGAAAAGCTCATGCTTCTGTTTTTTGTAAGACCTTTAGCTGTGACCTTCTATGGTGTGGTGGTTGGTGACGGTGAGTGGGCTGGGGTTTGAGAGGGAGAGGGGGGAAACTGCATCGTTTTAAGATTGTGGGTTCTATTCGACCGGTCTTTAAGGTGAAACAAGCGCCCTCTGTTCTCTTCAATGGTTTCCAAGTCCCTATGTTTTCGTCTTGTGTTCGGCAGGGACGAGTGAGACGGCTACCTTTGATGAGAGCAGCCCGGCTGGCAATGATTTCCTGGCAGAGGTAAGAGGTTTGAGAAGGTAAGAGGGTAAGAGGTTTGAGAAGGTAAGAGGGTAAGAGGTTTGAGAAGGTAAGAGGTTTGAGAAGGTAAGAGGTTTGAGAAGGTAAGAGGTTTGAGAAGGTAAGAGGTTTGAGAAGGTAAGAGGTTTGAGAAGCCCGTGCTATATGGAAATCACTTTTGAGATTTCCTGCACCACTATATGGAAATCACCACTATATGGAAATCACCACTATATGGAAATCACCACTATATGGAAATCACCACTATATGGAAATCACCACTATATGGAAAAGTGATTTCCTTTTGAGAATTCTCAAGAGGTTTGAGAAGCCCGTGCCCTCAAGGTCTTCTGCCACTTTCCAATGGCAAGCTATTGGTTATTGAGCCTCCGGCTCTGGCTCTTGACGCTCAGGCCAAGATGACCTTCTTGTGCTGGACAGGGGCAGGGGAGCGCGCATTGGGAAAGATGGAAGGCAGAGACGCGGCAGAGAGAGAGCCCCTTCTTGCTTAACCGAACCCCCAGCACCCGACTCACTATTTTTCTCCACTAATCAGCGATAAGGAGGTGCAAAAAATCTCTCCAAATGCATCTTCCCCTCTCGTTCTCGCTTGAAATCTCAACTTGCCCGTCTTCCCCTCTTCTTTCCTATCCTAACCACTGCCCTCCCACCTGGTGTGCATCAAATGCAAGGCAGAGGCCTTTTGAGACGTCTCAAAAGCCTGCTTCTCTCCGTACCTCCCCCCCCCCTCACCACACCAGGTGTGCACCAAGCGGGAGGCAGAGGCGCAGAAGGTCTACTTTTGGGTCGATTCAAAAGCAGACTCAAAGTCGTCCCCACCTCTCCCTTTCCCCCTCTCACCACATCAGGTGTGCACCAAGTGGGAGGCAGAGGCGCAAAAGGTCTCGCCCGAGTCAACCCGCCTCGCAATAATCCGCTTCGGTGTGGTGCTGGATAAGGGCGGGGGAGCGCTGGGCAAGATGCTGCCCATCTTCCAGCTGTTCGCTGGCGGGCCCCTTGGGACAGGGCAGCAATGGTACGCCATTTTCTTGTGGGTGGGAGTTGGGCTTGTTGGCAGTGCTTCACTTCAGACAAGGGCGGGGGAGCGCTGGGCAAGATGCTGCCCATCTTCCAGCTCTTTGCTGGATGTCCACTTGGGACAGGGCAGCAATGGTAGGTGAATCCTCACAACGTGTTAGGGACACGTGAAGTGGCTGGCAGCCTGGCAGGGCAGTGCTTTATACCAAACAAGGGCGGTGGAGCGCAGGGCAACATGCTGCCCATCTTCCAGCTCTTTGCTGGCGCCCCCCTTGGCCCAGGGCAGCAGTGGTGAGTTCCCCATGCCATGTTCCCTCAACCATTTCCCTGTACCGGCGTCCTCCCTCACTAACCACCCTCAACAACCACCCGCAAGAGATGCCGTGGTCGAGCTTCTAATGCCCATAACCCATGACTCACTACCCATGACCCGCTACCCATGACTCACTACCCATGACCCGCTACCCATGACCCGCTACCTCCCCCACCCAACCCCCATCACCCATCAGGATGTCGTGGGTGCTTAGGGACGATCTTGTTTCCTCTAATGACCATGCTCTGCCTGCTTCTGCCACACTTCCTACATTATGCACTGCCCATACCACCCCACCCACCCAACCCTCATCCCACCCATCAGGATGTCGTGGGTGCATAGGGATAATCTCGTCGCCCTCATCATCGAAACGCTGCACAGTACGGGGTTCAAAGGGGTGCTGAACGGTATTGCGGCCAGATTCTTATACCCCAACACCCTTCAACATCTCCTCCCTCCCCACCCCTCATCCCCACCCCTCATCCCCACCCATCAGGATGTCGTGGGTGCATAGGGACGATCTCGTCGCACTCATCATTGAAACGCTGCGCAACAAGGAGTTCAAAGGGGTGCTGAACGGTACTGCGCCCAGCCCCGCCCGCATGGCGCAGTTCTGTGAGGCGCTGGGCTCGGCCATCGGCCGGCCCTCATGGCTTCCCGTGCCCAACTTCGCTGTGCAGACTCTTTTAGGAGAAGGCGCGATGGTGGTGAGTGCTTATAGGGGAGAGTGGTTCTAAGGGAGGGAGGCATGGCGGTCGGTGGGAGCTTCTAGGTACAGCGCCCAGCCTGTGAGGCGCTGGGCTCTGCCATCGGCCGGCCCTCGTGGCTTCCCGTGCCCAACTTTGCCGTGCAGACCCTGCTAGGGGAGGGAGCGACGGTGGTAAGTGCTTATGGGGGAGGGTGGTCCTTGGGGACGGAGACAGCTGAATGGTGTTTCTAGGCGTTCTTCGAGCTCCTAGGGGAGGGAGGCATGGTGGTGGAAAGGAAGGGAGCGATGGTGGTGGTGGTGGTGGTAGGCCCTTAGAGGGACCTAACTGTCTCTCCCCCGTCCCGCCGTTTTTTCCTTTCAGGTTCTGGACGGGCAGCGGGTGCTGCCCAAGCGTACAGAGAGCCTTGGGTTCCGCTTCAAATACAGGAACATCCAAAATGCCCTCGCTGCTATCTTCTCTTCCAGCTGATCCGCCTTTGTTAGAAGAGGTTTTTCTATCTACTAGCGCATGAGGACAAGCATTGGCTTTACCTCACGAGAGCTTTCCACTCACCATCTCATTCTCGGCTCACCAGCAGATCACGGGACAAGAGAACGAGTGCTAGTCAAATTCCCAATGCCTTCTGGTTCCTAGTGAGCCACGAAACAAGAGTTTGGTGCTTGCGTTGCGTGCTTTTACCATGTCAAGATGACCACTTGGGCAGTTTTGTGGGCTGCGCAGTCCAATTGTGTGGCTAATACAGTAAAGCCTATAACAGAGCCTTATGCATCAGCTGTAGCTATTTCGTTTAGCTAATCTAGCGATTGTTGAATGATTCTTCGCTCTCAGCATAACTACAGTAGAAAAAACAGGCATGGATCAGGGTTTGATGGCAGATTAACATGTATTCAAGGCTCTTAAATCATTTAACAATATAGAGAACCAGGTACATTACTATTCCCTCTTGTCAGGCACTCCTGCTTTTGCTGTGCTGCACCTATCCTGCTCCTCCAACATAGAAATCTCTCCTGCCATCCCATCTTCTCCTTCCTTCCCCTGCTGCGCTTACACCAGCTCAATGAAGCACATGGGTGCATTATCCCCCCGTCGCGGCATCGTCCTGATAATCCTCGTATACCCTCCCTCCCGCTCCGCATACCTCTCCGGAGCATCCGAGAAAATCGCGTGCACCAGAGTCTTATCGTACACAAACCCTAGCGCCTGCCTCCTCTCGTGCAGGCTCCCTCCCTTGGCGAGTGTAATCATGTGGTCGACGTATTTGCGCATGGCTTTCGCGCGGGCCGCGGTGGTTTTGATTCTGCCGTGGCGGAGCAGCTCGGTGGTGAGGCCGCGCAGGAGGGCTTTCCGCTGGTCCGCGGGACGGCCCAGCCGCGCGATCCGACGGCCGTGGCGCATCGCGAAGACGCGAGAGCCGTTGCATGGGAGGACGGAGGAGAGGGGGGAGAGGTCTGCGGCGCGGGAAGGGGATGGGAGGAGCGAGGGAGGGAACGGGACGGGGAAAAACGGGGAGGAGATATGATGCACGGGAAGAATAAGAGATCACGCGAGAGCCGACGGCCACGGCGCATCGCGAAGACGCGAGAGCCGTTGGATGGGAGGACGGAGGAGAGGGGGGAGAGGTCTGTGGGGAGAGGAGGGAGGAGCGGGGGAGGGGAATGGACGGGAAGAATGGGGGAAGAGATATGACGCCCAGGGAAAAATGGGGGGAAAATGCGGGGAAGGGGAAATGGGGAGAGGAAGGGGAGAACGGGGGGAGAAGAGACGAAGACGGTTAAGGTAAGAAAGGGACCCGTTAAGGAGAGAATAGTCAAAGAGGGGGAGGGTTGAAACAGGAGACGTCTTGACGTGAGAACGGTTAAAGGAAAGGACGGTGGGCATATTCCGACATAGAGCGGGGAGACGAAAAGTCTGATGCCGTGAGTTCGATGGGTTGAGGGAGTGGTGATGGTCCACGGGAGAAAAGGGGAAGAAGGGGAAGAAGGGGAAGAAGGGGAAGAAGGGGAGAAAGGGGGAAGAAGGGGAGAAAAGAGGAAGAAGGGGAGAAAAGAGGAAGAAGGGGAGAAAAGAGGAAGAAGGGGAGAAAAGAGGAAGAAGGGGAGAAAAGAGGAAGAAGGGGAGAAAAGGAAGAGAAGGATCACAAGAATGCGGGGAGTGAAGACGAGAGGAGAGGGGAAGAGTTTGAGGCGTCTTCATGGTATGGACGGCGTGGGAGGGGGACGAGTCATGAGAAGCATAGGAAGGATGCCATGCCAGTATGAAGGGGGAAGAGAGGGGGGGGGGGGGGGGGGGGGAGGGGAGGGGGGAGGGGTGGAAGAGTTATGTTATGGATTAAAGACAGATCAATAAAATTTCGTTTACGAGTTTTGCAACTGAAGGTGGCAGCTCTGCATCACTACCATAATTCGTTCCAATATTGCAGTACGAGTTTCCCTGTAACCTTACCAGTGTCCGCACGCTACTAAAGCTGTATTTCCATGCCTGTACCCAAGTGCGCAGTCGACCTACCGTCTGCATATTACCCCGCTCTTTTGTAAAGCATTGCAGTCTCAGTGTGTCCCGACGGACCCCGAGGGAAACTACCAGACGACTTTCCAGAAAGCCGAAGATTTCTACCGAAACGCAGCAGCTTCCCCTGTGTAACCCTGTCCTGCTTAGTAGCCTATCCAACTTCTGAAGCGCCTCGACTTGTGTGTCCCGCTGGACGATCGACGCTATCCCAACAGCCGCCAGGCCGTTCATTCAGCCGGTTTGGAGGCACAGCAGTGCTTGTATAACTCTTACGAGCCTAAAAAAACCACGAAATGTGTAACTCCCTTAACCGAAACGACGACCGTCGGACGAGCTACTGATTATGCGGACACGCGAGGAGAAATATTTGGCAACCACAGCGGCAGTCCGTACTTGTGCCCTTGCGTCTTCAAACGAAATGGTGAGCTAGCAGTATCCGTGTGTCTCCATAACCCTAAACTACCGGATTCTGAAATGCCCCAAAAAAAAATCCACCGAATGTTCAGCGGAGATGAAACAGCAGTTTCAGCGTTTTCCCGTGATCCTAGACTTCAGGTGCACCCAAGCAGCTCCTATTGACTGCTTCTAACCCTAATCCTGACCACCCTTGACCGGTTGTAACCCTACCCGAAGACTGGCTGACGAGGCTATCGCGGCGGAGGCCGTTGAATGACGCGGAGAGGCGCGACGACGACGCGCCCATGGCGGACACGACGGGCTTGCGCGCGGGGGAAGCGACCGCGGACTGCGAGAGGGAGACACGCGGAAGCGCGCATTGGAGCGACGCCATCGAGAATGCCGCCATTGTTGGCAGCCTGATAAGGAGCAATTAGCGGAAACAGGCACCTCGGGCCAATTACACCTAACCTCCACAGCCTGAATTTCACTGCTTTGTTAGAACAGGTTACAGGAGCTAAGGCCCTGCAGATACAGAGAGAGGAAGGAACAAGGCGTGGGCAGAGGCGAAGAAGCAAGAGGAGGAGCAAGGTTCAGCGTGTGACAACGTTACTAGGTGCTGTGCGTTTCACAGAGATTTTGTTGAGACTTGACGTGTTTGGGTAAGGTTCAGAGGGAGAAAGTGCAAACCTGACGTTCATAACCTGGTGCTGATAAAAACAGTTCGGTTTATTACGATTTAGTGTCTTTCGGTTTGTTTTAGTTTGGTTCACATGGTTTTGACTGTTCGGAGGAGCAGCTTCAGCAGGCCAAGGGACATCACCGATCAAGGGCTAGGCGCGCGGACACGGGAAGCGGGAATGTAGCAAGGCGCGGGGGTCGGACTTCGGCAGAGCCTTGATGGGCGCGGGGAGGAACTGACGGTGCCCGCCAAATCGGAATTCAGGCCCAGAATTTTTGACGTGGCGTAGGTGCTGCGGTGCCAGTAACGCCTGCTGCGGTGCAGCGTGGCGCACAATGACGTAACCACGTCGAACAAAACTTTCTGGTCATTGCTCTCCTCCCATCTGAATGAGAGTTGTTAACAACCAATACACGCGAAAAAATGTGGTACGTGCTGCGAAAAGCTGTGGAGGGTGTCCAAATCAGTAAATTTCTAGCCACCGAAGTTTGATTGAGATTTGGATATGCTCTACTTTAAGCAGGAGCCTTCCTAGCAGAGAAGTAACAGCAATTGATCAGCACATTGTGCGAAGCATACAAAGAATCATGAGACTTCCAGTGCAGAAAACTCTTGCTTTACGTCTAGTAAACTGCATGTAAAAAACGTCTCCACTGTATATCCACTATCTCCATCCAAGACCCCCTCTCCACATTTAACGCTTGGAGTACTGAGGAGCCTTGCGGGCCTTCTTGAGACCGTACTTTTTGCGCTCTACCGAGCGGGCATCACGCGTGAGCATGCCCTGGGCCTTGAGGGGCGGACGGTTGGCAGCGCTGGCAGCAACAAGAGCGCGGGCAATCCCCAGAACCATGGCCTGCGCCTGGGCGTTAAGGCCCCCCCCGTGTGCCTTCACCACCACATCATACTTGCCCTCGTAGCCCAGGGAGGACAACGGCAGCTTCACAGCCTGGTAGAAGCATTGGTAGATAAAGGGATGGAGGGAGAGAGGGAAAAAAAAGGGTGTTGAAAAAGTGGGCATCACGAGTGAGCATGCCCTGGGCCTTGAGGAGCGGCCGGTTGGCAGCACTGGCGGCAACGAGAGAGCAGGCAATTCCCAGAACCATGGCCTGCGCCTGGGCGTTGAGGCCCCCTCCGTGTGCCTTCACCATCACATCATACTTTCCCTAATAGCCCAGCGATGACAGCGGCAGCTTCACAGCCTGATAGGGGCAGTTGGGGTTAGGGAAAGGTGGGGAAGGGAATGAGATGGCAAACGACCTCTACCTTCCGTGTGCCTTCACCACCACATCATACTTGCCCTCATAGCCCAGAGACGACAGCGGCAGCTTGACAGCCTGGCGGGTGATTAAGATTTGTTGGGAGAGATGGTGAGAAAAAAATCAGATGAAACGAAGGCATGGCATAGGCATCATCACCACGGGGCATCATCACTGGGTGATGGGGGGCAGAGGGGGGGAGGAAGGATGGTGGAAGAGATGGTTGGAGAGACAGTGGGAGAGATGGTGATGGTGGAAAGGAGATAGAGAGGCTAGTCAGTCAATCAAGCACCGGTGCGAAGGGAATGAGTGCTAGAAGAAACAGTAACCTCCCTGTGCCGTCTCTCACTCGCCACTCTCTCCTTCCCACGTATCACCTCCCCCTCCCTTCTCCTGTCCCCCTCCCTCCCCCTCCTCTTCCCGCCCTCCCCCCCGTTCTTCTTCATTACTCGAAGTGCTTCTGCTCCTTCTCACTCGCCACCCTTCAAGTCCTTCTGCTCCACTCCTCCCCACCACTTCCCACCCACATGCATCCCACAACACCTCCGGCATCCCACAGCATCTCACCAAGAACGTCTCCCTTCTTTTTGACCCTCTGGCGTTGATTGATCGAATCTCAAGACTGTGGACTAGCTTAGCAACAATTCACCCACTCTTCGCCCACTTCCCTGTGCATTTCCTGCGCATTTCCTGCGCATTTCCCACCCATTTCCCGCCCATTTCCTGCCCACTTCCTGCCCATCATCCACCCACTTTCTGCCCGCTTCACGTCCGCCCGTCCGCTGTTCCTACCTGGATCATGAGCGCCTGATTCTGGAAATATTCGTTCAGGGGCAGCCCGTTCACGAAAATTTCGCCGTTGCCCTCGATGAGCCCCACGCGCGCCACGGCCGTCTTTCTCCTGCCCGTGCCGTGGATCCGAAACGCCGCGAATGGCGGGTAACGCCGGCTTGACGCGTCCACGTCATCATCGAGCGCTAGCGACGCGGCGACAGCGGGAGCTGCGGCGGAGACCGCGGCGGCGGCGGGGGGAGCGGCTGACGCGACCGCGGCGCGGCGGCGGATGGAGGGCGCCGCGGCGACGAGAGGCGAGGAGAGTGTGAGAGCACGGCCGTCAAAGTCGGACTTGAGGCACGCTGATGGCCTGCGATGACGGGTGTGGTTGCGGGGACGGAGAGAGAGGGAGGGGGGTGGGAGGGAGAGGGGGCCCGGGGGATGGAGTGACGCCTCACTGCTGGTCAAAGGCGGTCTTGCGCATGCTGATGGCCTGAGACGCGGTGGGAGTGGGGATGGGATGATTTAGGGAATGGAGGAGCGATACCGGGGAATGGGTTACAATGAGGGGCGCATGATGCGGCGTGGATGAAGGTGGGGCCGGCGAAGTGGACAGCGGAGAGTGTGAGGGCACGGCCGTGGGAAATAACACCAGGGCGGTGACGTGGGTCGTACCGTACCGTGAGTGGACAAATGAGGAATGAGTGGACAAGGTGACGAAACGGAGGGCACAAACGAAAGCTCCTCGTGGTGAAATCAGTTGCCTTTACTCTTATTTGGAAATAACTCTTAAAACACGGCTGCAATACGAAGTGGAGCGGCGGAGATGCTTTTTGGCCCGTGGCTGTATGGGCTGCCTGTCCGGCGTTCGTCGCACGTCTGTTATTCCCCTACCTTCCCTTCCTACAAACGGGGACTGAACGGCTTAGGATAAACACAACAACTGACTCGGAAGAGCTGCGCGAGTGGGCCATGAGAGGAGTGCGACGCGCGAAGGACAATGGGTGGGAGCGAGCATGGATACAATCTGCGGAAGCGGCAAAAAGCCTAAACCGCGCGGTGGAGACGCGAACCCTAATCTCCCCATTCATTATAAAGCTTCGATTTCCTCGTCCTGAGCGTCCCTAATGACTCGGCATTAGACTAAGCGAGCTGCTTACTTCGTCAGCAGACCGAACTGGCCAAGCAGCAACTGACTAATGCATGCGAGTATACATTGCTGCGGATACCCATTAGCCAATGCACGCGATCAACGGAGTCGCATCAACACAGCCCCAAACTAGGCCTTTCAGAGAAGCCAAGGGAGCGACGTTTTGTATAGCAAAGAGAAATGACCGGCACTTCGAGCTAACCTGATGCTCAGTGAAGCGATCTGATTCGTCAGCAACGAAGCGGCAGCAGCCATTTTCGCCACGCGGAATCAAGCCTCCTCTAGGAAAAGAAGCACAGGAAAGACCGTTCCTGCTCTGACACCTGCCTTCACGTGCTGCTGCTCTGCTGCGGCGTTTGAATCACCAACTAATCTGCTCCCACATTCCCAAGCATTGATGACTAGAACGGATAAGGAGCAGGCATAGGAAGAGTGCAGGAGGAGGCGTGTCTGCAAGGATGACGGGCGGAAGAGCGGAGTGGAAGGGTGGAGTGGGGGAAAAAAAAGGGGAAAGGGGGGAGGATGGCGGAAAAAAAGGCGGTGATCCCAAGGGGGCGAGAGGGGAAGGGGAAGCGGAAAGGGAGGGGGGGAGAAGAAGGGGAGGAAGTGGAAATGGCACAGCGTACGGCGGGAGTGGCGTTGTCCACGTTGCGCATCGCCCTTGGTTTTCCATCTAGTGGCGCAAACCAATCTGCCACGCTTGAAGACGTGATTGGCCAGCCTGTCGAGCTGTCGAAACAAAATTGCGAGTCAACTACAGGTAGTCGTTACACGCACATCCTTTTCAATTCAAACGAATTACTGCAGATAATCAGTACAAAATTGCGAGACTCTACTTAGTAAACAAGCAAATTCCTTGTTGATGGGAGGCCTACTTCTTGCCACCCCCAGAGACATTGAACTTAAAGAAGATAATATCTCCATCTTGAACCACGTATGTCTTCCCTTCTTGCTTGTACTTGCCAGCAGCCTGTCATGATATACCACACAAACAGTATGTCACCAGATGCAAATTCGATCAAGGTACATATAGGGCAGCTTGTGTGAAGGGGTCATGATACAGGGAATGCAATCGACATACCTTGACGGCAGCTTCGGATCCAAGCTCTTTCAGGTCTTCAAACTTCATCACCTGGGAAAAACAGGATAAGCAGAATAAATGTCTAACATGGTCAAAACCACTGAACCAATTAAGAAAACAATTGCAAGGGAATGGAACATGAACCAAGACACCACAGAAATCAAGGTGACAAAAAAGTTGAAACAAAGTGTACAGAAATTAGGTGCAGAGGTGACAGGCAGCTGACCTCAGCACAAATAAAGCCCTTCTCGAAATCGGTGTGAATGGCCCCTGCTGCTTGCGGTGCCTTGGTCTGCTTGCGAATCTGCCAGCACCGCACCTGGTGTGTGCAGAAGGGAGCAGAGAGAAGAGAGGGGAACAGAGGGAAAAGTGGGGAGAAGAATAAGAGGGGAGCAGACGGGAAAGAGGGGATCAATGGCCACTGCGATCTACCCTGCTTCTTGTGACACCTTGGACAGCTTGCGGAATTACAGGCGCCCTCCATAACCCTAAACCAGGATTTTGAGGTGTGTGTAAAAAATGGTCACCTTGCAAAAAAGTGCCGAAATCTGCCCACACTGCTGCAACAGGCCTGGTGCAAGGGGGTGAGCGGACCTGGTGCAAGGAACTACACTGACCTTGTCAGGCCCTGGTGTGAAGAAGTAGATGAGGTTGATGTCCTCACAGCAACAGTTACTCTAAGTGCACGTGTTTAAGTTGGTCAGCACACCTCGTCAGGCCCTGCAGTAAAGAAGTAGATCAGGTTGATGGCTGCAAAGCCCGTCTTAATGATCTTCGGCAGGGCACTGTGCGGTGTGGAGGGGCAGAAAGGTGGGGAAGAGCCGGAGAAAAAGGGGGGAACGAGGGGGGGTGGGGAGAGGAGAGGGGGGGAAAGGGGAGGGTGGAGGAAGGAGAAGGAGGGGGAAAGGGGGAAAACAGGGAGTGAGATGACCTTGTCAGGCGCTGCAGTAAAGAAATAGATGAGGTTGATGGCTGCAAAAGGTCGTCTTGATGATCTTTGGAAGGGAATTGTGTGGATCACAACGGGGGAAGGGGCGGAAAGGGGGTGGGACAGGGGGAGAATGGGGGGAAAGAGGAAGGGGAGGAGAAAGGGGTGGGTTGAGGGGGCGAAGTAGAGGGAGAAGGGGGGAAACAAGAAAAGTTTGAAGGAAGGGGACGTTTGTGTGCATGAGCTGAAATCAGCTGGGGGATTCAACGAGGGGGTGTGGTGGGAGGAAAAGGGGGGCAGCAGAAAATCTGAAGGGAGGAGTGGGAACGTGGAGGGGTGAAGAAAAACTTACGAAAAAAAAAAAAAAAGTAACTTTGTTTCTACTTCCTCCCTCTCCAGACACATCTCACCCCTTGTCACCGCTCACCTCTGAATGTCATTCTCCTTGCAGTACTCACCTCCTCCTCGCATCCCTCACCGAATCCCACCCCTCGTCACCGCTGACCTCTGGATGTCGTTGTCCTTGCAGTACTTGGCAGCCTCGTCGGCCGGCATGTCAGCCAGCTTCGACTCCAACACTCCGCTGAACGGAATGATGGGGTCCTGCCCGTGCTCCTGCACCCTGCACAGCGAAGAGAGGGAGATGGTATTTGGGTCACCAATTTGAAACGTGATGTGATTACGGTTTGAGTTATAGCGCAAGTCATGGTGTAGCGCACACCGCTGAACCGGATGATGGGGTCCTGCCCGTGCTCCTGCACCTTGTAAGGAGAAGAAGGGATGAGGATTTACAGGAAGAGAGTCGTATTTGACGGGTTAGGCATGATGGAAGCATTGCCAGCTTCGATTCCAACACACCGCTGAACGGAATAATGGGGTCCTGCCTGTGCTCCTGCACCCTGCGCGTGCTAAAGAGAATGTGGGTCGTGATTCGAGTCGACATTTGGGTCACAATGTGACACATGAAACAAAGAGAAATTTTGGGCCACAATTTTGAACCATGTACGTGCATTTTGCGGGCAATAGAAAAAGTAGAGAATGCATGCAGGAATCATATTTCTGCAATTTGCAGGGAGGAAGATCGACTCCTTTAAGGCACGCCGCTTGCGCATACAGGCATGACTTGCAATCTATAAAGGGAGAAAAATGTACATAAGATTGGCCACTTACCAGCCATGGATCTTGGCAAGCCACTTGTTCTTCTTGCGCTGATAATCCTTCTCTGTTAAATTCACCTGCCATTGGTGAACCATTAAAGTGACACAAGCGAGTCAGTCAACAACACCTTGTTACACTGTGAGGCGTTGTGAATTTGGGAATTTGTTGACCAAGAGTCAAGCAGATGCACGTCTGACATCCATTTACTCGTTCATGATCAATTGTTCATACCAGGTAGACAACTGGCTTGGCAGAGAGCAGCTGGAAGGTGTTGAGAACCTCAATGTCAGCGGCCTTCCAGTCGCCCAGACGCACATCCTTTCCCTCGTTCAGATGCGCCAGCACCTGCCAGTGGTATATGCAGGTGTGGCATGGTGGGGAGGGGTGCAGGTGGCGTTAACACGCACCTCTCACGTCGCACATCCTTGCCCTCGTTCAGATGCGCCAGCACCTGGAATTGGGAAGAAAAAGAGAGGGACGGGAAGGGAGAAAGGATGGGAGCCACAGCGCTTGTTCTTCCCACAGCGTGATCATTAATGAGATGCTCGTCCCTACTCCCTACTCCCTGGATGGAGAAAGGATGGGGGGCACAGCGCTTGTTCTCCCCACTACTCCCTGACGCACAGTGCTAGAACAGACACACACCCTGCAGCAGAGCTCAAAACCAGCAGAGCTCAAAACCAGCAGAGATCAAAACCAGCAGAGCTCGTGGTCGATCTTGAGCTGCTGCCGTTGCTGCGCTGCAGCAGCTTCTCGTAGCCTCTTTGCCCCATTGACCCGCATAACCTCAGGCACAGAACCACTAGGCACACACCCTGAGGCACACGCACCCTGAGGCACACACGCCCTGAGGCACAAGCGCCCTACAGCACAGATCGTGGTAAATTTCGAGCTGCTTGTCATTGCTTCCCCTCCCTTTCTCCCCCATCCCGTTCTCCCTTTACCCCGTGGACCCACCCACCCTGCAGCAGAGCTCACGGTCAATCTTGAGCTGCTTGTCGTTGCTGCGCTTGCGCTGGCCTCTGCTATAGGGGTAGAGCGCAGCGTCACACACACACATACCCTGCAGCAGAGCTCAAAACCAGCAGAGCTCGTGGTCGATTTTGAGCTGCTTGTCATTGCTGCGCTTGAGCTGCCCGCCCCACTGCTGCCTCATCAGACTAACACACATCACTGAAACCAACTCTCCAGCACACACATACCCTGCAGCAGAGCTCGTGGTCGATTTTGAGCTGCTTGTCATTGCTGCGCTTGAGCTGCTTCTCATAGTCCTCCCTGGCTCGCTCCATGAACTCAACGTCCTTCAGCCGCAGCTCATTGTGAATGATCTCCAGGTCCCTAATCGGGTCAACGGTATCCTCCACGTGGATCACATCCGCGTCGTCGAATGCACCTGGTGTGTGCGTGTGTATGTATGGATGTGGGAAATGTGTGGAAAGGCATGAGTGCAGTGCAGGGGTAAAGGCAGCCACAGCTCGTTGTGAATTATCTCCAGGTCCCTAATGGGGTCGACTGTGTCCTCCTCCACGTGGATCACATCCGCGTCGTCAAACGCACCTGGTTGAAAGTGGTGAGAAGGGGTGAAAAAGGATGAAAGGGGTGAACTGCTGGGAACTGCATGAAACTGCTGAAAACTTCAGGGAACTTCTGGGGAAGGATCGGACGACTAGGAAAGACTGGGGAAGACTGGGCTCGGATGATGCCATGGACGGCTCGGATGTGCGAAAGGGAAACTATATTTAAGCAACATTGGGAAGGTCAAAGGCTGGGAACTGCGGAACGGCTGGGAGAGGCTGGGTGCGGTTGGGAAAGGCTGTGAGATGTAGCACTCACGGCACACGTGGAAGATGCCATCAACAGCTCTGATGTGCGAGAGGAGATCTATCACTAAGCCACATTGGAAAGATCAACGGCTGGGAACTGCTGGGAGAAGCTGGGTGCGGTTGGAAGGGGCTGGGAGCGGTTAGGAAAGGCTGGGAGGTGTGCCACTCACGGCACACATGGAAGATGCCATCAACGGCTCGGATGTGCGAGAGGAACGCATTGCCCAATCCCTCCCCTTCGTTGGCTCCACGCACCAGCCCTGCAATGTCGTTCACCTCCAAAAAGGCGGACACCTGGGAGAGAGAAATGGGAAGAGGGAAACAGCGGTTCAGAGAAATTACAAGTGGGAAAACCTGAGAAACTCGTCCACAAGCCCTGCAATGCCGTTCCCTTCCAAGAAGGCCGAGATGTGAATTATCAGTTTGGCTCACATCACTCTTGGGTTTGATCAGCTGGCAGAGCCAGCTGGGTGACTGACTGATCACTGGACTTGAGGCTGAGACCTATCATCACTGAATCCGTTACAGTCTGACTCCCTAAACTCACACTCGGAGCCACTACACGCCTCGGCTCACCTCGCTCTTGGGCTTGAACAGCTGGCAGAGCCAGTTAGTAAGTGACTGGATGTCTGAACGGTCTACTACTCGTTATAATCTCACTGCTGACCATCACATATCTCGGCTCACCTCGCTCTTGGGCTTGAACAGCTGGCAGAGCCAGTCGAAGCGGTCGTCAGGCACGTTGACGCGAGCCTCGTTGGGGTTGATGGTGCAAAAGGGGAAGTTCTCAGCGGGGATGGAGAGCTTGGTGAGCGTGTTGAAGAGTGTTGACTTGCCAACATTGGGCAGACCGACCTGGTTTGGAGAATATACAGTGGTGGTTGGGGTGATAGTTGTAAAAGAGGAAGTTCTTAGGGGGGATGGAGAGCTTGGTGAGCCTGTTGAAGAGCGTTGACTTGCCGACATTGGGTAGACCGACCTGGTTTGAAAAATATGTACAGGAGGTTGGGGTGATAGGTGCAGAAAAGGAGGTCCTTGGCGGGGGTGGAGAGTTTTGTCAGCGTGTTGAAGAGCGTTGACTTGCCGACATTGGGTAGACCGACCTGGTTTGGAGCAGAAAGAGGTGTGGATGGAATTGTTCCAAAGGAGAAGGACTTAGTGGGGATAGAGGGGTTGGGAGAGATTGGTGAGCGTGTTAAAGGGTGCTGGGTTGCCGACATTGCGCAGACTGACCTAATGCTGTAAAACGAGCAACGAGCAAAGTGGAGATTAGGGTGACAAACCAACTGGAATATGGAGTCGGTCCAGGATGCGTATTGAACGGGAACTTGAATTCAGCAGCACCAGGGAATGCATTATCGAGATGTGTCGCATCCAACAGGGTACGGAAACACGGATTGGAGCGGGATCTTCAGAATACGTGAAGGGTGTTTTTGAGAATTCTCAAAACACCTTGCAACATCATGAAATATAGAGGATGAGTCGCATCCAACAGGGTACGGAAACACGGATTGGAGCGGGACCTTCGGAATACGTGAAGACATGGCGAACTCGTGAAGCAGGATCGGAAACTCGCATGACGGTCGTAACGGCGGTAAGGAGACTCGCATGGCGGTCGTCACGGCGATAAGGAGACTCTTGAGGCGCATCAAAAGGCGAGAACAGTAAATGAGGTAGATGAGGTGGAACACGCACCATAACGAACTTAGGAAAGCAAGTGAGGAGTCATGGCAGGGGACGCACAATACCGATCTTAAGATGAGAGGAGAATCTACCGAGGATCGGCCTCTCAACTGAAGCCTCCTTCTTCGACTTAGGAGGCATTTTCCTGGACTGATGCAACGGCTTCTTCGACCGAATGCAAAATCTCGCTTGCTACGAAGAGCAAGATGCGCGTTCCACGCGAAGGACGGGGGAAGCGCGAGGTGAGAGAGTGATTCTAATGATCTAGAAGTTAGCTAGGCACATGGCCTAGTTCAGGCTAGCAGGACGTAAATACGTCCGTCGAGAAAAGGAACGGTAATCGCTGGGGTGTGGGCTTTTGAAGGTTCAGGCTGGATCTCCGCTATTGCGTAACTTGATTTTGCAATCTGAACAGGTGATTACCATTGGCCTTATCGACATAGATTTATCTAGTTCCGGACTTGGTATTGGTACAATGACAAGGCTTATGCTGAAATTCCATATTTTGCATTACATGCTAGCTACACTTCTTGATGAAGGCTTTGCATTCGCCTTTTTTTATTTTCCCAAACACCCCCCCTCCCCCCCCCCCCCCCCCCCTTCCACCCCGCTCCTCCCTACCTCCGCCCAACCAATCCTATTACCAAGTCAAATACTAAAACACTATATCATCATCACTCATTGCAAGCACCCTTCGGTTTGGGGGTTCACTTCTTCGCAGGGTACCAGAGCGCATGAACAAAGTCTTCATACACGTAGTTCCTCTCAATGAACCCCTTCAACCAGTGAGCAGCGGCACCACACACCACCGCAGCCACCGCTGCAAAAACAGGACCCGTGGGGCCCGCAGCTTGCCGAACAGCAGGTGGGGCGAGGGGAAACAGGGCGGTGGCGGCGAGGAGGAGGAGGGCGGCAGCCCAGAGGGCGATGCGGAGGCGGTCAGACCAGCGCTGCACCCGCTGGCAGTCGGGGCACAGCCGCACGTGGAAGCGCTGCCTGCAGGGGGGAAGGGGGGGTGGGAAAACGCGCATCCATGTGCCAAACAAGCATTACGCCCCCTCAGATATCCACCTCCAGATATGCATATCAATCGCCTGTCAAGCATCATGACACCTGATATCATGCTGACACATGCTTATCACCTGTCATGAATCTCACCTGTCAAGAATCTCCCGTCGGGACTTGGCAGGAGGCAGCTTCGGATCCACATAGGTGGGGAAACGGGCCTTGCTGCCCGCAAATCTGGTCAGCCAGGAGCGGTACGCCGAGACAAACGAGTCGGCCGATATGGGAGTGTAGTAGCTCTTTATTCCCTGCACTGCCCCTCACTCCTCCTCCAGCCGCCGCTCCTGCAGTGAAAGGGAAGGTACAGGGGGACATGTTAGACACGGAAGTAGGTCGAGACAAACGAGTCGGACGATGTGGGAGTGTAGTAGCTCTTTACCCCCTACACCACCCTTCCCTCCTCCTCCAGCCGCCGCTCCTGCAAGGGCAGACAGGGAGAAAGATAGGCATAGAGACATGGAGAATGGTAAGAGAGGTGCGAGGAGCAATAGGCTGAGACAAACGAGTCGGCCGATGTGGGGGGATAGTAGCCTCGTACCCCCTGCACTGCCCCTCCCTCTTCCTCAAGCCTTTGCTCCTGCATTGGCGGAAGGGGTTGGGGGTGGGGGGTTGATAAGGAGTTGGATGGGAGTACGGTACTGCTTGATGCCCTGCACTGCCCCTCCCTCCTCCAGCCGCCGCTCCTGTATTGAGGGAAGAAGTTGGGGTAGGTGGTAAGGGGAGACAAAGGAGTTGGATGAGGTGGGAGTACGGTACTGCTCTGTGACCTGCACTGCCCCTCCCTCCCCCTCTAGCCGCCGCTCCTGCATTCGGGAAAAGGTGCATTGGGGGAAGGGGTGCAATGGGGAATGGGAGAGTGAATACGGGCGAGTAAGTTTCAAGGGGTGAATCTTGTGTCATCCTTGTCAGTTGCACGGACAACTTCGGAGGGGAGAGGCCACGCTTTTCCCGTTACACACCAGAAGTAAGAGATTCAGTACATTAGTGAGAGCTGGGAAAGTTCTGAGATACCTCAAACCAAGAAAGAGAGTTTTGCGATGTTTAAAAAAAAGTAACAGAGGCAGGATATTAGAGAGAGCCTGTTGGAAATGCATACCGTGAGGTGCAGCAAAGGGTGGTCTGTGTCGAGACTCGAGCACTCTCATGCGAATCAAGTGCATGAACCACTCCGGGGGCAGCGGCACCCATGGGGGGATAATGCTGTTCAGTAGGGAGACTCAAACAGGGTCTATGGAAGGGGCATACCGTGAGGTGCAGCAAAGGGTGGTCGGTGTCGAGCACTTTCATCCTTGTCAGGTGCACGAACCACTCCGGGGGCATGGGCATCCAGGGGGGGAGGATGTTGTTGAGGAAGAACCAGATGAGGCGGCTTTGCCCCGGCAGGCGGGGGATGCAGTGGAAGAAGAGGATAAACGTCTTTTGCTTCTTGCCCGACCCCTCTGGCTGCTCAGAATAAGATGTGGTGAGTGTGGGACGTGGGGTGGGGGTGAGGGTGGGGGTGAGGGTGGGGTTGGGGGTGGCGGAGGGGGGAAATCGGGGGAGAAGGGCAGAGAACAGCAAGAGAAGGGTGTGATTTTCAAGTTGGCACAAGGAGCGAGCCACTCAGGGGCCATGGGAACCTGGGGGGGAGGATGTTGTTGAGGAAGAACCAGATGATGCGGCTTTGCCCCGGCAGGTGGGGAATGCAGTGAAAGAAAGAATTGCTATCCGCGGCTTCTTGCCCGACCCACCTGGCTGCTCGGAATTGCATGTGGTGTGGGAGGAATACAGGCAAACCCGGGGTAGAGAGAGGGGAGTGAGACAGGACGGATGAAAGGCTGCAAATATGAGGAAAAAAGGAATTAAAAGTGACAGCAATAAAGCTGAGAAGGAAGCGTGGGAGGCTGTCAGAAGGTGGAACCACACCGCTCAAAAACCTTAACGATGAATCGCTTTTGAGAATTCTCAAAAGTGTTATCAGCATTGGCCCCACCGCTTAAAAACTTTCACGATGAATGACGTTGGTTGCTTGTAGCGAGTACGTACGGCACCTCATCACTCTCCCGCCGATGATGATGAGCATGCCCGTACTCGTTACAAGGGGCTGAAGGGTGTTTTTGAGAATTCTCAAAAACACCCTTCAGCATCAAAAACACCCTTTTGAGAATTCTCAAAAACACCCTTCACTCTCCCGCCGACGATGATGAGCATGCCCGTACTCGTTACAGGGGGCTTTTGAACGAGCGTGCAGGGAGGTGGCGACACCACATCAGCTGGGCCAATTTTTAAGCAACTGTGATTATAATTGAACCGACGCTTCCCCCCCGATCAGCAGCTTCTGAATGAGAGTGCAGGTGGGGACCACACCTGCTGGGGCGAAATCTGTTGGCACCTAAACAGAGCGATTGTGCTTATAACGAAGGGAGCTCACCACTTTCCCCCCGATGAAGAGCTTCTGAATGAGCGTGCAGAGGGGAACCACAGCAGCTGGGCCACTTAGTGCTTATACAATACAATTGTGACTGTAGAGAGTTGAACTCACCACTTTCCCCCCGATGAAGAGCTTCTGAATGAGTGTGCAGGGGGGGACTACAGCCGCTGGGCCGTCCGAAAAGCTCGTTCCCTCAATGCCCCGTGGGGTGATGCTGGTTACCACCATGGACGGCAGTGGCCTCGCCTTGTTGCGATCACCCTGTGGGAGGTATTTGGGTGGGTGGTGAGGAGGATAAAAGGTTTGTTCTCTCAAATCCCCATGGGGTGATGCTGGTTACCACCATGGACGGCAGTGGCCTCGCCTTGTTACAATCAGCCCGGGGATAAAGATTGGGAATGTGGAAGGGCATACGGTGGAAGACAGAGGAAGACACGAGGCTTGTCTGGGGTGATGCTGGTTACCACCATGGAGAGCAGTGGCCAAGTTTTGTTATGATTGCCTGGTGGAGAGGGGGTTGGGACGGTGTTTCGTCATAAGTGATGTGGATAACATAAATGGTTCTACCGTAATTGGATGATTTTTGAGGCGCCTCAAAATACACCTCACTGCTTGGGATGGAGTTTCTTCATAAGTGACGTGGATAACAAGAATGGTTCTACCAAAATTGGATGTAACAAGATTGGTTGGACCCAACAAGAATGGATTTCAGACCCTCACGTGGTTTCTAGCCTCTACAGCCCCACCTGGTACTTGTGATGGCGAGGCGAAGAGCACATATGCTGGGTGCAGACATACAGACAGACAGGTGATGAGGATCTCAAGGTGGACCCAACAAGAATGGATTCCAGAACCTAACATGGATTCTTGCTTCTGCGTCCCCACCTGGTACTTGTGATGAGCGAAGGGCACATGTGCTGGGTCCAGAAGATTCTCCATCAGCATCTCGTAGCTGTGGAGGGAAGGGGCGAGGGTGGAGACGCATAGGGACGTGGGGAAGGGAGGGAATGGGGCGTCTGAGACAGAAACACACGGAGGGCACATGTGCTGGGTCCAGAAGATTCTCCATCAGCATCTCGTAGCTGTGGAGAGGGGGGACGGATATGGACTGGGCACGGGTAGGGGAGTGGGCAAGGGCAGCAACTCGGGGAAAGGAATGGGGCGTCTGAGACAGAAACACACAGAGGGCACATGTGCTGGGTCCAGAAGATTCTCCATCAGCATCTCGTAGCTGTGGGGAGTGGACAGGAATGGGCATGGGAGTAGGGACGGGTGGGGAGTGGACTAAGGCAGCGACATGGGGAAAGGATTGGAGCGTCTGAGGCAGACCTGCAACCCAACCCTGCAACCCAACCCTGCAACCCAACCCTGCAACCCAACCCTGCAACTCGAAGCTCAATCATATTCAAGGTCATGAAGAATGGCAGCAGTAGGCTGGGTCGTGCTAGCAAGAACTTAAGTCACTAGAAAACATTGTAGTTCTTAAAAATATAGTAAAATCTGAAAGTGCAGCTCTATTCGAATTCTGGAATTAGGCACAAACAGCGACCCGTGGCTCACCCATGTTCAATGTCCGCCTTGCCCTTGTCGTATCAAAAGGTTGGGACTTGAGGCGCCTCAAATGCCCCAACACACTTTTCACGCAGCTCACCCATATTCAAGGTCTGCCATGCCGGTGTCGTATCGAAAGCTTGGATCGTCAAACTCAGGGAGAGTCGGGGGAGGCGGGGCAGCAGCAGCTTCAGCAGCAGCGGAGAGGGAGCAGTCCGGCCAGAACCAGATGATGCCTTGATGCACCCGACTGGGGTACACACGCGCACACGCTCGAGGGGACGCGTTCACCTGGGAGGGAGTGGACAGGAAAGAAGGGGCAATGACAGGAAGGAAAGGGGCAAGGGCAGGGGGGAAAGGGGTTTGAGCATGGGCACGGGGATTAAGGGGAAAAGAAAAGGGCAACGGCATGGTTGCAGGGGCAAGGTTAGGGGGAAGGGATAACGGAAAGGGGGGAGGGGGCAAGGGCAGGGGGAAGGAGGGGAATCAGTGCTGATGGAAGGCGAGAAACGGGAGGGGGAAGGGAGCACAGGTAGGGGGAAGGGAGCACAGGAAGAGGGAAGGGAGCACAGGTAGGGGGAAAGGGGAAGGATAGTCATTCGTCTCCCACTTCTAATCTTCCTTCCCTCCACCCTCCTTCCCTCCTCCATACCCCCCTCCCGCCCTCTAACTACTCACTCGCGTTTTCCACACACCGCTGGCCCGTCCGTGGGAGCCTGAGGAATGAACCCGCACGAGCCTTCCCCTAATCCTACAAAACGACCTTGGGAATTCTTTAGAGAACGTCCATCCGTGGTAGGAGCACTGCAGCTGGCCTGACTCGCGTATCCCACTCACCACCCTCTCCCCTCTCTCACACACACCACTCCTCACCGCTGGTCCGTCCGTGGGAGCCTGGGGAATGAACCCGCACGAGCCTTCTCCTGAGAACGTCCATCCGTGGTAGGAGCACTGCAGCTGGCCTGACTCGTGAATCCGCCCCTCTGATAGCGGGGCTAGCCTGGGAGGAGGGGAGGAAGAACGAGGAGGGAAATGGGAAAAAAAAGGAAGAATCATGCGACACGGGCATTTTAAGGACATTCAACCGTGGTAGGAGCACTGCAGCTGGCCTGACTCATGGATCCGCCCCTCTGATAACGGGGCTAGTCTGGGAGTGGGGTGGAGGGATGGCAGGACGAAGCAAAAAGAGAACTGAGAGAAACGAGAGGGGAAAGGAGAGAAACGGGTAGTAACAGGACGTAGATTTGTGGCAGGAGCACTAACGAGGAAGGGTGGTTATTGTTTAAGAGTACCTGTGAGGGCAGAGGTCATGGAAGACCCGCCATTGGTCGGACACCTGATCGAACCAGATGACCAATGGACGGCCGAGAATGGTCACAGGCTCGGGAACGCGCTTGTTCAGAGTCTTGGTGAGCGCTGGCAGGTGCGGTAAGGGGGAGTGTGAGGGGAGGAAAGTGTGCTTAACACAATGGAGTTAGGGGAATGGAATGATTCTAGGGACGGGGACAGCAGAGGAGTTGAGATAAGGGGTGGGATGGGAATTTACTCAACACATTGGAGTAAATGGGTGAAATTATGTGCGTGGGAAAGGGGTAGTGAGGTAAAGAAGATAAGCGAGAAATGGCGGAGAGATTCGCGGCTGAAGGAAGGGGTAAAGAGAAATAGGAGACAATGGAACGGCGATGGAGGAATGGAGAGGAAATCTGAGAATAAACGAGGAGATGCACTATGACCGCTTTCCTCATATCTAAGCTAAGAATGTCATATGACGATCAAACGTGTTGAGCATGCAACTGAAATGTTTCAAAAAATGCTCAAAACAACAATGTTTGATTATCAAGCCCTACATTTATCCGCATGTGCTCCATGAACCTTCTGAGGTCAGGCTAGTAGCTTCTTCTATTTAAGCTTCATGCCCTTCTCTAACAATCTCGGACCAGGAAACGTCACATATTAACAGGTATCAATCTCGGACCAGTAAACGTCATATATCAACAGGTATCAATCTCGGACCAGGAAACGTCATATATTAACAGGTATCAATCTCGCCCTTTCCTTACTTGTACCTGTTAATATATGACGTTTCCTGGTCCGCGCTTACTGTCATGATGCCGCCGCTCTAAATACATATCATTCACGTACCTACTGGATACCAGGCTTTGTCCCAATCGAACATCTCTTCCTCTGCGCCGGTTTTCTCTTCCGTGGCCGTCGCCAAGCCACCCTCTACAGTCACAGCCGCTGCTGTCACGCCATCACGCGACGCATAGCAGCCGCGACCTTGAGACTCCAAGTCCTGGACGAGTGGAGCTCCATTTCTTTGCGTGGATGCTACGAAATGTCGCCCCCCCGCGAATCGTGACCCATTTGACCTCGAAAAGAATGTGTTTACGTGGCTTACACTAGCCCTTAGAGAAATTGAGCAGTTTGAAGCGCGTGAAACAGTTTTAGCATGGTTGATTGTTCCAGATATCGTGTTGCTCGCGTAATATGAAGCAGCGGAAGCCATTGGAAAGGGCTTCTCTACTCGGGAGGGAAGCGTCACAACCGTAGTGAATCTGAGTCTGTCTCTCCGCCACTGCTCCGTGCAATGCTAAGTCTCTCTAGGTGAAATGTGGAGACTGATTTCTGATTATGGGAAGAATCTATCGACTCGCGGGAAATGTGGTTGTAGAGTGGACAAAAAAACTGTATGCACCGTTACGCGCAAATATGTACCCGCTGCTATCTGAAACGTGATTGGTCGCGCTTGTTTGTCTAACAATGTGTATGTATCGCAAGGACAGGCGTGGGATGACAATATCGAAACACATTGAATCTGTGACACTGGTCATTTACTTTCCTCTACATAAAGAAACAAGTACAAGTCGAACTTATAATTGAAAGTTTGTGGCGCACCACCACAGCAAACCTTACATTCTTCCTCGATATAATTTAGGAATTCGCGATCCATTACTCTTCGCTTCCCCACTACTGTGCCCCCACACCCCACTTCACTCCTTCCGCTTTCTTTCTCCTCCCGCGATACTCCAACCCCCCCATCATTCCCCCTCCTTCCCTTGCCCGCCGCTTCCCCTTTCACCGCCCGTTCTCGTTTCTCCGCCTCCCGGTTGCGCCCCTGCGTCTTCCCCTGCTTTCCCTTCACTTTTCCGCACCCCCCCAGTGCTCCGCTGCTCCCATGCTCCCTCCTCCTGTCCTGCCGTGCCTGCGTGTCCCTTTCACCTCTCAGCCCTTCTTCTTCCTCTTCCTCCTCATAGTCTCTCCCTTTCCCCTTGGGACGCTCCTTCTCCCTGCGTCACAGCAGCAGCAGAGTGCCACAGAAACAGCAGCAGCAGCAGCAGCAGCAGTTAACACAGGCTAGGGTTCCCATTCCAAAAATCCCAAAATGAAGGGCCATGGATTGCGCTCGCGGACCCGCGACATGTTTTCGCGCGGGTTTCGCAAGCATGGTTACATCCCCGTTTCGACGTACCTGCGTACGTACAAGCTCGGCGACCTGGTGGACATTAAGGTCAATTCCGCCGTACAGAAGGGCATGCCGTTCAAGTTCTACCAGGGAAAGACTGGTCGTGTCTGGAACGTCACCAAGCGCGCTCTTGGCGTGGAGGTCAACAAGCAGGTCCGTGGGATTGCATCGGCTCATTCTGGTTCGATCCCTGCTGGATTGACTCGTGCGAACAGGAGAAACTGGACCGCGATCGGTTGGGGCTGAGAATCGGGATAAACATTGTCGGCTGCAAGCTGGGCGTGAGCTGACTTTTGAGTCAACTCAAAAGTCAGCCCGGCTTGACTCGTGCGAACAGGAGAAACTGAACCGCGATTGTTTGGGGCTGAGATTCGGGATAAACATTGTCGGCCGCAAGCTGGGCGTGACTTAGGTCGTTTAAGTCGGCAAGCACTCGGGATTAGCACTGCAACGTCTTAGCGCGCGCGAACTTCGCACTGGCGACAAACTAGCAAGCAGCTCTCTGAACCGATTCCGCTGGGGAATGATTGGCGGATTCTTAGCGTATTCGGCTAGTCTTCACACAAGTAGAGGCTAGTTGAGGCGGAGATCAACTCGCGAAAACGAGCAAATTCTTTTCTCTTCTAGAACTTAGTCACAGCATGAGCGCGTGTGTGCTAGTTCGGTCTCTGCAGGTTAAACTCGGTTTAGAGTATGATCAGTTTATGGAGATAGGTGGATATCGTCACGTTTTCTGGAGCTCAAGTTCAGTGATAGTGCGTCAAAGTTTCGCAGAGAACGATGGCTTCTCTTGACTCACGCTTTAGATCACGCAACAGAAATGCTTAGTTATTCCGCTTCATTCTCTCGTTTCGAGGCCTCTGCAAGCGAAGCATTCCGTCACTGTGAGATTACGGAGGCTGGGAGATGCGAGACTGCGAGACTGCGGAGCTGGGGAAATAGGGGACTGAGGTACTGGGGTGCTGGAGGACTGGTGGTTTGTGGGGCTGGGGAACACGGGGGCTGGGGGATTGCGGGGCTGGGGGACTGCAGGGCTGGGGGATTGCGGGGCTGGGGGATTGCGGGGCTGGGGGACTGCAGGGCTGAGGGACTGCGGGGCTGGGGGACTGCAGGGCTGGGGGACTGCGAGGCTGGGGGACTGCGGGGCTGGGGGACTACGGGCTTGGGGGACCACGGGGTTGGGGGACTGCGGGGACTGCGGGCCTCGAGGACTGCGTTACTGGAAGAATGCGTGGGGGGGGAAAGGGAAAGGGGAGGCGGGTGTGCTTGAAGAGTTTCAAACCGGTGGTGAGAAACGGGCCGTTACCGGACGGAAGGTTATATGCTGTATGGGCATTACCGGGGGTTGTACGGATGTAGGCTGTGAGACTGAGCCTTAGCAAGCGCGGGAAATCTATTGGGCTGCGAGCGTGCGGTGTGGCACAGGCCGATTGAACTAGAGCATTGTGAGCGTAGATGATAGGAATTCAGATCCTGGAGCAGCGTTGCGTAGAGATTCAGGAAAATCGGGCCGCTAGGGATCGCTCGAAGGTTTCATGTTACACCAGGACTCCGTGATGCTCTGTTGCATATGAGTCGTGGGACGGGTGTTTTTCGCGCTCACGATTCTAATGCTGGGGCAGGCGGAGTCGGGCTAACGAAACCCTAGAGGATACTTTCCGTGGGTGTTTTGCAGCAAATGTACGTACTTAGTTCATCATCAGAGTGATTCTAACTGTTTTTTCATCACCACATCCTCCCTCCCCCTCCGTACCACATCTTCCCGTTCCCTCCCCTTCTTCCAGCACTTCATTTCCCCGTCCCCCAGCTCCTCCCTCCGTCCCCCACCTCTTCCCCTCATTTCCCTGTCCTCCTTCCCAAGATGCAGTAGAAGAGGACCTGCATTGTACGTTGTGCACACTGGCGTTGATAGCTGAACTGTGCTCGTGCTCCACTCCACTTTGGTATCTAACCCTAATCCCAAGCCTCTTACCACCTTCTCCCCCCTACCACGTGCAGGTGAGTACCCGCATTGTGCGCAAGCGAGGTGAATTGTGAATCTACTCAAAAGTCACCTTGCTCCCATGTCTCCTTCCACCCACTCCCCTCTTTCTGCGTCTCCAGCAAGTGTAACAACCACATAGTGCGCAAAGGCCTTCATGTGCTCAATCGAGCTCCTGGCCCCGTCACACTGCAGCATGCCCCTCTTGTACCTCAATTCTCCTGGTTTATCCTGTTATATGTATCCCCTCCTGCAGGTGAACACCCGCATTGTGCGCAAGCGCCTGCACGTGCGCATCGAGCACCTGACCCCCTCGCGGTGCAACGTAGACTTCAAGGCGCGGGTGAAGGCCAACGAGGAGCACAAGGCAGCCAACGCCGAGGCCCGCAAGGCTGCCGGTGGTGCTGCCAAGGAGAAGAAGTACAAGAAGCCGGCGCCCATGACCCTCGAGTACCTGCAGGCTCTGGAGAAGCGCAACGCGCGCCCGAAAAAGTCGGATGAGGAGAAGGCGAAGCTGCATGAAGAGGACAGGAAGAAGCGGGCGGTGAAGGCGCTGGAGCCTCCTGCTCCGGCGGTGGTGGGTGGCAAGAGGAAGCCCCTGGGTCCCCGGCCAGGGTTCCTTGTGCCTGGCACGACTATGGAGACGGTGACGCCTATTCCGTACGATGTGGTTAACGATCTTAAGGGAGGGTATTAAGGAGGAATGGGTAAGATGGTGCAAAGTCGTGTGTGGAGTTTGGAGCAGCAGTAGGACCGGTGTGCTAGGGTGCTGGAGCTTTTGCCTTGGCATTCACCTGAGTGTATTTTGTACTACGGTATTTCAAATTGGCTGTTGGTCTCTGCTGGCTGTGTTTCCATTCAATATTAACAATTTCAAAGAAGTTGCCAAACCATCTCTCCTAGCCGTGCAATAGGCTGAACCATTTTTAGGGTGCTACTGTACTCCTCACTTCAACTTGTTTAAAGCTTTCTACAATTTTTAAAGTGAAAAGTCAAGGACAATCGATATTTGTGTGACGAAGAGCAAAAGTTCTCTTGGGCAGAGGCGCACTAGCGAGTACTTTGTCCCTCTGTTGCTGCCCTTCGCTGGGAGGCAAGAGATGCCACTCATTTCGAGAATCGGAATTCCAAGCCCTCTGCGACACAAGGCAGAGCCCCTGCTCTGCAAAAATTTCCGTCCTTTCCCTGTTGCTCCGTTATCCTTTGGTCTCTTTTGAGGGAGCCATTGCGTGGCCGTGTACTCGCCTTCCTTCGAGCTTCCGCTTTGCTTCTAGCCGGATCTTAGGATGTCTACCTTTGAGGACGCTGAGAAGGAGAGCGAGTATGGATACATCAAGAAGGTCTGGAAGATCCGTCGTTTTTTTTTTTCGTTGAACATAAAAAAATGCGTTAGAGGCCTGATCTGGCTGATGTCGTCCGCTTTCAGGTCTCGGGGCCTGTCGTGATAGCAGATAACATGGGAGGAGCTGCTATGTACGAGCTTGTCCGTGTGGGAAATGATAGGCTTATTGGAGAGATCATTCGTCTCGAGGGCGACTCCGCAACGATTCAAGGTTATTATTTCCTGTCAATGCATTCCATTCATTCTGCAGTATGTCGGGTGTCCGTAAGCATGTCAGTGATTTAAAATAGTCGATCCTTTTTTCCTGGTCTCCTTCAGTGTACGAGGAAACATCTGGTCTGACTGTTCGAGATCCGGTGCTTCGAACTCACAAGGTCAGATGGCATTCTTGTTTTCGGCATGCATTTGCCTTTCCTCCTTAAACGTCTTCGTTTTTCTTAACTTTCTGGACCATGTCTTCTTGTTTCAGCCACTTTCGGTCGAGCTCGGCCCTGGTATTCTCAGCAACATTTTCGACGGTATCCAGGTGAAACCACTATCTAGTTTCGCCGTTGTGAAAGCATGTCAGATCCGTAGATTATGTCCTAACGAGCCGGGTATTGCGTTTTTGCAGCGGCCGTTGAAAACCATCGCCCTTAGGTCTGGCAATGTGTACATTCCGCGTGGTGTTGCCGTGCCGGCGCTTGACAAGGACATCCTCTGGGAGTTCCAGCCCAGGGCTCTGAGTAAGATTCGTTCGAATTAGATGATCGGTGATTGAGCTGCTCCTGTCAAAGTTAGTATTGATGAGTGACATTTTCCCGCTTCGTGGTTGCAGATGTTGGAGATATCATTGCGGGTGGTGACATTTTCGGGGTATGTATGTTTGCGGGCCCGTTCTTTCCTTGCGTTTCTGTGAAGGTCCGTAACCTGATTTGCTTGCATTGTTTTCATGCAGACTGTCATCGAAAACAGCCTTATGACACAGAAGATCTGTGCTCCTCCGAAAGCTATGGGGAAGGTCACTTACGTCGCACCCCCTGGTCAATACAGTTTGAAGGTAATAGAATGGCATAATGAGTTCCGCAGCTAATACTTTTTTCGCTGATGGGAGTGTTGGATCACGAGAACCTTTTTCTCCTTCTGAGCAGGATAAAGTCCTTGAACTTGAGTTCCAAGGGCAGACAAAGCAGTATACTATGCTTCAGGTATGATGCCAAGCTTTTAATATGTCGATATCTGGTTGCCGCGGAAAGTGCTCATTTCAATGTACCTCTTGCCATGCGTGCCAGACATGGCCCGTCCGTTCTCCCCGTCCTGTGGCACGGAAACTTCCAGCAGACACTCCTCTCTTAACTGGCCAGGTATGTGTTTATGTCACTTCATCATTTCGTTGTGCGCCCTTGACCAATGTCTGGGCTCACTGATCACTACGGTATTATTTCTTGTGGCAGCGAATTTTGGACGCCCTGTTCCCCTCAGTGCTTGGTGGTACTTGTGCTATCCCCGGTGCTTTCGGTTGCGGAAAGACTGTCATCAGTCAGGCGCTTTCCAAGGTGAGTAGGCACATCATGAAATACATGTGTCCTTTGTTACTATGTAAAATCATGCCCTGATTTTGGTCGTCACTGTCACTGCAGTTTTCGAACGCCGACGGTGTCATTTACGTTGGTTGCGGAGAGCGTGGAAATGAAATGGCTGAGGTGAGTGCGTCTTCTAATTTAGTGCACTTTTTTCTGCTCTTGTGAATAGTATCTAGGTAACGACTGGCTGGAATTCCTTGCAGGTGCTGATGGACTTTCCGAAGCTTACCATGACACTTCCTGATGGCCGTGAAGAGTCTGTGATGAAGCGTACCACCCTTGTGGCTAACACATCCAACATGCCTGTGGCTGCTCGAGAGGCATCCATCTACACCGGTAAGACCTCCCAGTTTGTTTCTCAACAGTGAAACGGTTAATGTGGATTCGTTCTACAGGTCCTAACAATTGTACTGCTTGACAGGTATTACCCTTGCTGAGTACTTCCGAGACATGGGATACAACATGGCCATGATGGCTGACTCCACGTCTCGATGGGCTGAAGCTCTTCGTGAAATTTCTGGGCGTCTTGTAAGTTGGACCAAGCTGTTCAACTTGTTGGACATCTTAGGTTTTCTTTTTACATCAAGCAAACACCAATGGTTTCTAATTGTGATATGTCCTCTGTTTCCTATGCCTCAGGCTGAAATGCCTGCTGACAGTGGTTACCCCGCCTACCTGGCTGCCAGGCTGGCATCTTTCTATGAGCGTGCTGGCAAGGTTCAGTGCCTCGGCAGCCCTGACCGCACAGGAAGTGTCACCATTGTCGGTGCCGTGTCTCCTCCTGGTGGTGATTTCTCGGATCCTGTCACAGCTGCTACTCTCGGTATCGTCCAGGTTAGTGGCGCTTCCATTTGGCTTATCTGTACATGTGTTTTGGCCGTTAACCAATTACTCTTGCAATGAATGAACTGGGCAGGTGTTCTGGGGTCTGGATAAGAAGCTCGCTCAAAGAAAGCATTTCCCTGCTGTTAACTGGCTCATTTCCTATTCCAAGTACACCAATGTAAGTTGCCTCACTTACCATATAATACTTCTTAGCCTGTTAACCTTTTGTGAACATTTTTAAGTGTGGAGTCATCTTGAGGTTGGGTAAGCAAATGTCTCTTGCCTACCCAGTTTGCCAGTGGGTTGATTGTGTACCCTTGCTTTTACAACATGTTTTCCCTGGGGCTGTTGCTTGTGTGTTTTCGTTTCAGGCGTTGGAGTCTTTCTATGATGTGGAATCGCCTGATTTCATTTCCCTTCGTACCAAGGCCCGTGAGGTTCTTCAACGTGAGGATGACCTGAATGAGATTGTGCAGGTAAGATTCTGATGCATTCAGTTGTCTTGCCTCTTGTTGTTGTCCAAATATACAATTCATGTTGCCACATTTTTTTTCTGTGGTATAGAAAGCGGTCTTATAGCCTTGTTTTTGCGTTACAGCTTGTCGGAAAGGATGCTCTTGCTGAAGGTGACAAGATTATTCTGGAGACAGCTCGTCTGCTGCGTGAAGACTACCTGGCTCAGAACGCCTTTTCCTCGTATGTCCCCTTGCTGCTTGACTTTCCCAGCTTATGCTCATTCCTGGTGGCATTCGTATTTTTCCCCTTACGGGATTCACAATCTGGTTTGTGTTCAGGCATGACAAGTTCTGTCCTTTCTACAAGTCCGTATGGATGCTTCGCAACATCATCCTGTTCTATCAGCTTGCAACCCAGGTATGTTTTCTCTTGCTTGGCTGCCAGATGTATCACAGAGCAAAGCGTCTTGCTTCACTTCTGTCAGCTGTGGATTTCTATCACTGACTCTTGTCTTTGTTCTTGCTTCAGGCTGTGGAGAGGGCAGCAGGTTCAGAGGGCCAGAAGATTACTCTCAATGTCATCAAGCAGAGGCTTGGTGACCTTATCTACAAGATTGTGTATGTGTTGCACTTTGCTCCCGCTAATGCCCCATCTTCGTTCTGGCTTCAAGCACTTACCAGTCAACCTAGTTCCGGGCTTCACAAGATGTGTTCTTCTCATTGCAGGTCCCAGAAGTTCGAGGACCCTGCAGACGGGAAGGCGGTGCTGGAGGCCAAGTATCAGAAGCTGAGCGAAGAGCTCACAGCTGCTTTCCGCAGCCTGGAGGATGATTACAGGTGAAATGCTTCAAGATGATGACTGCATGGATGCAGGCAACGCATTTAGACAATGACTCGCAACCAACCAACCTTGCGTTTGTATGCAAACAAACCTTCAGTACAATATTGGTAGCTGTAGCTTGGCTTATACGCTTTTTTTGTGGGGAGATTCTAGACGTGTATTGTAAACATGTGGATACATGAGATTTGAACCTAGACTATCAAGTTTGGTACTACTGGTATGTGAAGTCAGCTTTCGATAGCAGCAATTCAACCTGTTGGACAACTTCAAGGTACAAAGCCAGACTGGACCATCGCCGTCAAGCACCCATGCAGCTACCTGCGCTCCTCGCCGCCTTCACCAGCCGTCACGGGCTGCCCACATTACTCAGTTGCGTGCTGGAAGTTCTCAAGTTTCCTTCCCGGAAACTGAGCATCGTTTAGCAATTTTTCTTCACGTTCGCACCTAGTGCGTGCTGCGGTTACTGCTGCCCCGACTCCAAGTGCGGTCGTCCGGCGCGCTCGTCCAGTGCGCTTGTTCCGAGCTGCTCTAAGCTGTTCCGACTTAATTCTTGCAGCTTCGAGCTGCTCCTCACGACATGGGTGTGGAGACGGCGCGCGTGGTCCATAGCGAGCTGCTAGAAGGGCTGTTGAGGGAGCTCATCTGCGTGTACTGCACGGACCTCGTCGACCCCACCGACGCTCTCCAGGTAAGTTTTCAGTCGACCCATAGCGAGTTGTTGGAAGGGTTGCTGCGGGAGCTCATCTGCGGGAGCTCATCTCGTTGATCCCACCGACGCTCTCCAGGTGACTCGCCAGGGGTTGGAATATATTTATTAGTTTACTTTAATTTTCTTATCTACAAGAGGAAATGTTGCGCATGGACCAATATCAAGCCGCTACTTACGCTCATTTTGATGCTAATGATTTGCAAGCATGTTATGCGTCGCTTTTCCCGCATGTTGTACGTGGTGTCCCCTGCAGGCTGCATGTGGACATGTGTTCTGCTCGCCATGTGTGCATGAAGCCATTGAGAAGAAATGCGTGACGTGCCCCACGGTGAGTGAGGGATACCTCCCCCCTGTGTCTTCCGCTTTTTATTTTCTCAAATCACATCTATTGTTTTCTGAGAATAAGTTCTCTTCATTCTACATTGCTCCACATGCATCTGTTAGTCCACCCATCCTTCCTTCAGTTCATCCACTACCCGTCAACCCATCCCAACCGTCCACCACCCTACCAACAGGATAAGTCGCCTGTGCAAGAGCATCTCCGCCCATTAAGGGAAGCCAATCCTATCGTTTTCCGCCAGCTTGGCAGGTCAGCTACTGTCCACCTCTCCCCGCTCTTCTTTCCCGTTTTCTTTGTCTCCTTCTCCTCTCCTCCCGTCACCTGACGGATCTGTCATCGCCCTTCTACCCGTCATCTGCTCATACTTCCCCTGTAAACTGTCATTTTTCCCTCTTCCCCCTCCGTACCAGCAATGAGGTTCGCTGTACGAACTACGAGGATGAGTGTGGGTGGAGGGGGGAGCTGTTGGACGTGAAGCAGCACACTCACTCTCCCTTTACCCTACATAATCAACCGTTTTCCCTTCTTTTGAGACGTCTCAAAACTCTCTCTCCCTTTACCCTACATTATCAACCGTTTTCCCTTCTTTTGAGACGTCTCAAAACTCACTCTCCCTTTACCCTACATAATCAACCGTTTTCCCTTCTTTTGAGACGTCTCAAAACTCACTCTCCCTTTACCCTACATAATCAACCGTTTTCCCTTCTTTTGAGACGTCTCAAAACTCACTCTCCCTTTACCCTACACAATCAACCGTTTTCCCTTCTTTTGAGACGTCTCAAAACTCACTCTCCCTTTACCCTACAAAATCAACCGTTTTCCCTTCTTGTCTACCTCTTTCGTCCTGTTCTTTCCCTGTACCAGCACGGAGGTTTGGTGTGCAAATCACGCGGATGGGTGTAATTGGAGGGAAGAGCTGCTATACGTGAAGCAGCACACTCGCTTTCCTCATTCACACCCTTAATCCCCTCTTATATCCGCTTCCACCGCCGTTCCTTCTTCTTACCACCAGCACGGAGGTCCGGTGTGCAAACTGCGCAGATGGGTGTAATTGGAGGGGAGAGCTGCTAGACGTGAAGCAGCACTTGCTACAGTGCAAGACAAAGCCCCGCCACTGCCAGGTCAGCACACGAGGTGCATTGCCACGTCACCACACCAGGTGCATTGCCACGTCAGCACACCAGGTGCATCGCCTTGTACCGATCCTTTGAGAAATTTCAAGAGCTGATAATGGGGTAAGAGCATCTGGTGTGGGCTTTGCAGTTGGAGGGGGGTAACAGCAGCATCTGGTGTGAGACTTGCTGGTGGATGGTGGGGGAGAGCATCTGGTGTGAGATCTGCTAGTGACAGGGGGAGCTGCTAGGCGTGAAGCAGAACATGTTGCAGAAGGAAGGGGGGGGGAGACCTGGCACTGCCAGGTCAGTCAGCATGCAAGATGTATTGCCAGGTCAGCACACGAGGCGTACTGCCAGGTCTGCATTCCAGGTGTTGCTCCTCTGTGCAATCTTAGCTGTGATAAGCCATGGAGCTAATACTCAGGTATGAGCAACTGGTGTCAGACCTGCAAGGAAATCGCCTGATTGGAAAAATCCAAGCTCTGATTAGAAAATTGCCTGAAATCATACTCTGCTTGGTTTTTGCAGAAACATACGCTTCTTCCTCAGCTCATCCTCCCCATTTCCTACTTTTCCGGACCTTTTTTGTGCTTTCCCTGCAGTGCTGCTCCCTTCTAAAGCTGACCTGCTTCGGGGCAAGGAGCTAGTAGTGGGGTATGAGCACCTTGTGTCGGACCCTTGTGCGGGTTTCGCCCCTTGAAGCACCTGGTGTCGGACCTTCAAGGGGGAATTTTACACTCTTCTTGTTCGCACATCCCCTGATCATTCCTTGCCCAAAACGTGTTGCTCCTCGTCCGCAGCTGACCTGAGACGAGCCAAGGAGCTGATAGTGGGGTACAATTCAAGCACCTGCTGGTCTCGGACCTTCAGAGGGGTTCTGGTTGTGCAAGTGGGGCCGCTGAAACATACTTTGAAAATTTCTCATCTTTCCTCCACCCTTCCATCCCTTCCCCTACAGTGTTGCTCCTCTGCTCGGGCTGACCTAAGAAGAGCCAAGGAGCTAATAGTGGGGTACGAGCACCTGGTGGCAGACCTGCAGGGGGAAATTCAGGCGCTTACTGAGGAGGTGGGGGCACTAAAGGGGCAGGTGCAGGAGAAAGCGCGGATGCTGCTTGCTGCAGGAGGTGCGGATCTTGCAGGAGCCGTGAGAAGCCTCCAGGTGAAATCTCAGGTGGGATCTCAGGTGGGATCTCAGGTGGTTTCTCAGGTGAAATCCGAACCTACTTCCAAGTCACCTCAGCCTGCTGCCAAAGGAAAAGCACCACCAGCAACAGGCTCAGCAGCAGCAGCAACTGAAGCCGCTGCTTCTTCTAAAAAGCCTCCTGCACCACACTCGCTCACCTCTCGGTCATTTGCGAAATCGCAGATGGCTATAGTGAGGCAGCCATGGCAGGGGGGGTTTCTTGTGGGCAGCCTTCCGGGGCACACGGACCGCGTGACAAAAATTATCGTCTGCCCGAGAGGCGAGATTATATTCTCGGGCAGCCTGGACGGCACGATTCGCCTGTGGCGGAGGAATCAGATCTCGGCTCATCTGCTAGATACGATTGTGTGCAGCGGCGGAGGGGGAGGAGCTGGATGGGACAGTGCTGCTGGCAACAGTGGTGAGTATAGGACGGGTGAATTTAGATCGGGCGAGCAAGGGAGTAGGGGAAGTGGAGCCGCTGCTGCTGTCTTTGATTTGGTCCTAGACCCTGTTTCAGGCACCCTGTTTTCGTGCAGTGAGGATGGGAAAATCAGAATGTGGAGGGATGGGAGGTGTGTGGGGTGCACTGGGTGCAGGAGAGGCGGAGAGAGGGGGGGAGAGAGGGGGAGAGGAGGAGGAGCGGGTGGGGATGTGGAGGGGGGGTTTGAGTTTGGGTCACTGCCGCTGCGCATGGCATGGCACGACGGGGTGCTTCTAGTGGCGTTTAGTGATGGCGAGGTGAGTGCTTGGGCGGTAGTGGAGGATGCTTCCTCGTTGGGGATTACACCAGCACAGCAGCAGCAGCAGCAGCAGCAGCAAGGCAGAGGGCAGGGACAGACGGGTGTGTTGCGTCGAGTGGGTGTGTTACGAGCTGGCACAAGCACCCCGTCTCATTTGACCATCACCAACAGCAGCAGCGGCGGCAGCGGCGGCGGCAGCGGCGGCGGGAGAGGTGGCAGCGGAACCAGTGGAAGCAGGGACTGGGATAGAGACTGGGATAGGGACCACACTGGTGGTGGCCGGGGTGGTGGTGACAGCACCAACGCTTCCCCCTTCAAGCACGGGTATGCCGATGTGGTAACCGCACCCGATGGAACCATCTACTTCACGGCCAATCACGAGCCACTGAGGGAGAGCAGCGGTGGCATGGGCAGCAGGGGGAGCGGCGGAAGCATGGGCAGCAGAGGAGGAGCGGAGCAGTGGCAGGAGTATCCCATCTGTGTGTATAGGGGCGGTGCTGTGGCGGCGTCACTCAGAGGGCACAAGGCACAAGTAATCTCTCTTGCTGTCGGCCCTCCCCTTCTGTTCTCCGGCGAGGATAATTGCAGCAGCAGTGGTGGTGGGAGTGGCAAGGGTGGTGGTACTGCTGCTGGTACTGCTGGCTCCAGTCCCTACTTTGCAGCTGGACCCACACTCTATTCCCTCTCTCTCGACGGCGAGGTGAGGATTTGGAGCGGCGGGAAGTGCGTGGATGTGCGGCATGATTGGGCGGCAAGAAATTGTCTTGTTGTGGGTCCAGATTCTGCGGTTTATTGCCCTGGGGGTGGGAAGTATACTGGCAGTGGTGGGAGTGGTGTTAACAGTGGTGGTGGTGGGTTTGAGGGCTGGGGAGGGGTTGACAGCACTGGCAGGGGAATTACTTTTGCCTGGCGTGGGCGGCGGCTTTTGGCAGCATTTGAGGATGGGATGGTCCCCGGAGGGGAGGAGGTGTGTGCGTTGGCCTTGGGGAGGGATGGGACTCTGTATTGTGGTGAGAGGAGGGGGACAATCAGGGTGTGGCATGCTAGTGAGGACTAATCAAGGCATGCTAGTGAGGACTAATGGGTCGACTCAAAAGACTATTCAGACCATGGAAGGGCGTGGAGTAATGTGCATTAGTTGAGAAATTAGTTGAGAAATTGGGGTGTAGGGAAAGTGTTTTGACATGTTGCAGCCATGCATCGACACCATGGCATAGCATGGCACCTTCTTTGTGTTTTGTATCCTTCATTGGTGTAGAATGTCAACTGATGATGCTTATATTCTCGTTGGGGAAGCTTACCTATATTCATGTTAAGTGGTAGTGAGCAGATTTTGCATCGCAATAAGTTGTCTGCTGATGCTTAGCTCGTTCCCTGCAGCTTCTGGAATTTTCCGTGCAATACCAGACAGCAAATGTAATAAAATATTAGATCATTGGGTGCCTGGAACTTGCAGCAAGACATTAGAGTTACCGTAGGCCATCCCAATCGCTTGTTAGATGCAGCTCTTGCCGGTAGCTATTTCACCAGCACCTGTAGCTACTGTCGGCATCATCACAAGCCAAAACTGGTTGTAAAGGAACAACCATCTACACCTATCAATATCCTCTTATCTGGTCTACTAAAACCCCCTACCCCTTAAACCCCTTCCCCTCACACGCACCAGCTTACACTGGCAGCTAAAGCAAACCCCGCGCTTGTCCCTAGCCGATCCCGCATATTATGGGCGTTCTTGAGAATTCCCACACATCACTGCCCTTGGTAGTAAGCCCTGCGATAGTCTCTGCAGTGCAGATCTGGGCACCTGCCAGCACAAACCCCCCACCGCTCCCAGTCCAACCACCTTCCCCAGCCCCAGCAGCAGCTGCTGAATGCCTGTAGGGTTTGCATACAGATGGAAGAACATGTCCACCCATGCATCTGGCACTCCCCCCCCCCCCCCCCCCCCCCACTACAGCAGTGTTGTCCCTCCGCTCCACCTAGCAATTCGTTCCGCCTAGTAATACCCTGCAACGGTTTGAGCCGATCCAGGCACCTGCCAGCACACATCTCCCACCGCGCCCGCCCCAACCACATTCCCCAGCCCCAGCAGCAGCTGCTGAATCCCCGTCGGACTCGCATACAGATGGAAAAACATGTCCACCCAAGAATCTGGCACTCCTGGTAAGCACCATCCGCTGCAATCCAAGGCCCCCATTCCTCCCTTTGAACCATACCTTGCCACGTGTCCATCCGGTCGGTACATCGCCGAGCCTAGAATGTCCAGGAGCTGGATTCCCGAGCCTGCGAGCGCGGCTCGTTCCGAGGCTGTCCACGCAGCTTCGGCGCTGTGGCTCACGGCGTAGGCCTGGTCTGGTTCGGAGAGAGGCTCGGCGAAGACCCCACAGGTGGTGTCTTGGTAGCGGAATGTGTTGGGGGTGTGGGCGGGGGGGAGCGAGAGGAAGAAGGTGCGTGGGAAGGTTCCTTTGAATTGACCACTGCTGCTGCTGCTGCTACTGCTGCTGGTGGTGATTCCGGTGGTAGTTGAATCACCACCAGCAGCAGCTGATGACAGTAACTGCTTTCTGGTTACCCCTGCTCCTCCTGCTGCTGCTGATCCTCCTGCTGCTGCTGATCCTCCTGCTGCTGCTGCTCCTCCTGCTGCTGCTTTTCCTCCTGCCGCTCCTCCCGCTCCTGCTTTCCCCACTCCTCCTCCTGCTGCTCCTGATGCTGCTTGAGTGTCAGCCAAAGCTCCGCCGCCCGACCTGAGCTGAGCCAGATAGTCCGACAGAACGCCAAGCACAGCACTGTGCGCCTGTAGGCCGCTGATCTGGGCGGCGAGCGGGCGGCCGTTTTTGTAGTATGTGCGGCCGGGCGGCATGAACCAGGATCCAGATGAGAAGATGACGGCATGAGCGTCTGGCAGGATTTGGCGGAGAGTTGGGTGTAGTACGTCTAGATGCACGTTCCATGCACTGGACTTATATTGTAGGGCCTGAAGGGCGTCAAGCAAGAAAGACAAGCGGAGGAAAGGGAAGTAGAGGCTTTGTTGGGTTTGGGTTAGCGGAGAGTTGGGTGTAGCACGTCTAGATGCACGTTCCATGCACTGGACTTATATTGTAGGGTCTGAAGGGCGTCAAGCAAGAAAGACAAGTGGAGGAAAGGGAAGGAAAGGCTTTGTTGGGTTTGGGTTAGTGGAGAGTTGAGTGTAGCCCGTCCAGATGCACGTTACATGCACTGGCATAGAAGGGGATGAAGAGAAGAAGGGACAATAGGCACGAGGGGGAAGAGCGAGGGGGAAGAGCGAGGGGGAAGAGCGAGGGGGAAGAGCGAGGGGGAAGAGCGAGGGGGAAGAGCGAGGGGGAAGAGCGAGGGGGAAGAGCGAGGGGGAAGAGCGAGGGGGAAGAGCGAGGGGGAAGAGCGAGGGGGAAGAGCGAGGGGGAAGAGCGAGGGGGAAGAGCGAGGGGGAAGAGCGAGGGGGAAGAGCGAGGGGGAAGAGCGAGGGGGAAGAGCGAGGGGGAAGAGCGAGGGGGAAGAGCGAGGGGGAAGAGCGAGGGGGAAGAGCGAGGGGGAAGAGCGAGGGGGAAGAGCGAGGGGGAAGAGCGAGGGGGAAGAGCGAGGGGGAAGAGCGAGGGGGAAGAGCGAGGGGGAAGAGCGAGGGGGAAGAGCGAGGGGGAAGAGCGAGGGGGAAGAGCGAGGGGGAAGAGCGAGGGGGAAGAGCGAGGGGGAAGAGCGAGGGGGAAGGAAGTGGGTTGAGAGAGAAGGGGGATTCAGCGGAGTATTGTAGGGGGGCAGCGAATGACAAGAAGGGTGCTATCAACGAGCAGCAAGAGAGCTGAAAAGCGGGAATAGCACTCGCACTGCACTTACCGGCACGGCAGGAGCGTAGGACAGAAAGGGCGCGACAACGAGCAGCACGAGAGCTGAAAGTCTGCGCTAAAGTAAGCCCCCATACCAGACACTTGCACTTTTAGGAGCGACAGGAGCAGCATAGGACAGGAAGGGCGCGTCAACGAGCAGCGTGAGAGCTGAAAGTCTGCGCTAAAGTAAGCCCCCATACCAGACACTTGCACTTACAGGAGCGACAGGAGCAGCGTAGGACAGGAAGGGCGCGTCAACAAGCAACACGAGGGTGTTGGAGCTTATCACTCTAAACGCCTCTGCCCCTGCGGTTGTCGTGTTCACGCTCTGCAAGTGGGGTGAGAAGAGGGAGTGGAGAAAGTCGGAAAAAAAAAAGGATGCATTGAACGAGCAGCGCGAGGGTGTTGGTGGGAGCTTATCACTCGAAACGCATCCACTCCCGCCGTTGTCGTATTCACACTCTGCAAGTGAGGTGAGGGAACGCAGTGGAACAGGCGGGACGTGTGTTGAGACAAGAGGCAGCAGTACGAGGGTGTTGGAGGTTATCCCTCTAAACGCATCCACTCCCGCCATTGTCGTTTTCACATTCTGGTATGTCTCAGTGTATAGCTCATATAAGCAAAAAAAAAAAAAAATAAAAAAAAAAAGGTATTCGCAGTCTGGAAAAGGGGGTTGTTGAGGCGCCTCAAAAATCTTCACAGTCTGCAAAAGGGGGTGAGCAAAGGGGTGAAAAATGGAGTAGAATAGGCAGGATGAATGAACGAGGAGCGCGAGAGTGCTGGACCCACTCCTGCTCTAAATGCTTCAACTCCGGGCGTTGTTGCATTCACGGTCGGGAGGGAGGAGAGGAGGAGAGGAGGATAGGAGGATAGGAGGATAGGAGGATAGGAGGAGAGGAGGTTAGGAGGAGAGGAGGATAGGAGAGGAGGAGAGGAGGAGAGGAGGAGAGGAGGAGAGGAGGAGAGGAGGAGAGGAGGTGGAATATCAGGGCGTGAACAACTGAGACGCAACATGAAGCATCGTCCACTCGAAGCCACGTGTATAGAGTGAATTTTTGAGACGTCTCAAAAATTCACTTCATACACCCAGGGAGAGGAGGAGAGGAGGAGAGGAGGAGAGGTGGAACGTCAGGGCGTGAACAAACGAGACGCAGCATCGAGAAGCAACATGAAGCACTGTTTACTTGAAGCAGCATGCAGCACCGTCCACTCGAAGCAGAACGAGGTTGTGGGACCCAATCAACTCGAAACGGCCTTTGTTTTGAGACATCTCAAAACAACTCTTTTATCAACTCGAAACGGCCTTCGCTTTAACTCGGAAGCTGCGTACTCCGCACCCCTGGGAGAGTAGGAGAGGAGGTGGAACATGAGATCAGGGGGTGAACAAACGAGCCGCAGCATGCTGCGCCGTCCACTCGAAGCAGCATGAAGTTATGGGGCCCGATCCACTCGGAAGCTGCGTACTCCGCAACACAATCATTAGCGCAACTCGGTTTCCAGACCTGTGCTGAGCTGTCAGCGCGCAGCAGAAGCATTGGCGACAACCACCAGTAACGCAACCACCAGTAACGCTTAGATACACACTGTCGACCCGCACCCCACTGTTCACTCACCTCGGTTTCGAGGCCTGTGCTGAGCTGGCAGCGCATCGACTGGAAAAGGTACTCCGCGTTCGAGTCGCCCACGAGCGCGAGCGTCTTGTCTTGAAACATGAGCGCGAAGTGTAGTGGGGAAAAGCTGACGGAGGGAGGGGGTGGGTGAAAGGGAGGGCGAGAGGGGATTGAGAGGCGAGAAGGCGGGAGGGATTCTCCGCGAGTCGCCCACGAGCGCGAGTGTCTTGTCTTGAAACATGAGCGCGAAGTGCAGTGGGGAAAAGCTGCGGGGGCGAAGGCAAAGGTCATGGGGGATAGCAGGAGGTGACTGAAGTCAACTCCAACGGTGAAGTGCAGCGAGGTGGGAATAAGGGAGGGCGGAAGGATGGCGGAAGGATGGCGGAAGGAGGGAAAGAGAGGGACCAGAGGGTGGAAGGAGGGAGATAGGAAGAGGAAAAGCCAACGTTAAGACCATCTGTAACACTCACAGTGTCATGTTGCAGTCGCGCGGTTGCCACATCAGATGCTGGTAACCACCGTCGGGCCGCCCGTTCTGCACGCAGTTGAACTTGCTCGAGATGTACGGACACGTGGACGCGTACGCGGGCCGCGTGCTGCTGGGAATCCACCTGAGATACGACAAACGCGGCGGGTGGGGACGGGAAGGGACAGACAACGAGAGGTTGCGGGAAGGCTCATTGAACTTACACGTGGATGCGGACACGTGGATGAGGACACGCGGATGGGCGGACACATCGATGGACGGACACGTGGATGGATGGACTCGTGAGCCTTCTCATCCAGTCAATTCAAGATAACCTTGTTCAAAGCGAACAAAACTTTCGCGACAAGAAATCCCCTGTTGTGGTAACTCACGTGCCGACAGAGATGTCGCACGTCGCGCCGCCGTTTTGCACCAGCCACGACGCGGAGCCTCCCTGCCCGGCTGCGCTGATACGCGCACCGACCATTCGCTGCCGCTGATTCTCAATTGCACCGCTTGGCACTGTCACTGGCTTCTTCGCACTCGGAGCCGTGGCCCCTGCCGGCTTCGCGGCCGTCTTATCCGCCGGCTTTGCCGCCGTCTTATCCGCCGGCTTTGCCGGACTCTTCTTGTTCGTGGGAGCGGCGGTAGAGTTAGTCTTTTCCGCAGGCTTGGTGGGGCTGGGGCTGCCACTGTTAGGTTTGGTGCCGGTAGGTTTAGGGTTGGCTCCACTGGGATTGAGGCCGTTAGTTTTGTTGCCAGTAGGGTCGGGGCCGGTCGGCTTGGAGCCGGTAGGTTTGACGCCGGTAGATTTGACGGTTGCTGGTATAGTTGATGGAGCGTTTGGCTTTGGCACCGCGCCGCTTCCGCCGCCGCCGCCAGCACTGCTGCCGCGGAGACGTGATGCGGGAGTTCCACTAGTAGGGGAAGCGGCAGGGGCCGACGCGGTTGGGATCGGCGACGCTCCGGATGAAGCAATGAAAAGAGCGAGAATCGCAACCGCGTAGAGGAAACGCGACATGGATCTTGTCTCTCTCGCTGTTATGGATGTAGGATCTGATTTCCCTGTCATTCTTTACGTTGGTAAAAGATCGACAGGCTGTGAGGATCTATGCTTTTCAGGCGCCTGAAATACTGAAACTCAGAGCATGCGATAAAGAAGGCGAGCGGAAGGATCAGACGAGGCTTTGCGTTGTAAGTGACCTCTGCGCAGAGAGTCGCGCAATTTCTGAGGCGCGCCAACAAGCGGGTCCGTGGGTGTAACCAGTATCGAGTTCGTAAGTTACTTGTAGCGAGACGGACGAAGGGTGTAGCGATGAGATTAATCGACGCACGGACGTGAAATACGGTAGAAGCCAAGAGAAAATGCCGAGGGACTAGCTTCTAACGCTAGAGTCTTTGGAGTCTAGACTTTACAGCGGATTCCTCCCTCCGTGCACTGTAAGCGGACTTTCAGCTCACAATGAGCGCAACAGCTGTCGGCGCAATCAGTAGCAACGAACAGAAATCGATGATCAAGAGGGAGGCAAACATAGAGAGCTCCTGTGCAGTACCGCCTTATAAGGCGCCGTTATTCTCTGTTGACCGAGTCGGGGCCGTTAGGGGCGCCTCCAAATTCGACGGCTGCATTCCTGTGCTCTTTAGTGGGGTTGTACACGGCTGAAAGCCGTTTATCTACACGACCGTTTTGAACCGTAGCATGACGATACAAAACCGTGGGGTTTGATCAGGAAAAGGGTACACCTTCCTTGGTGGCGGAAGGACGAAACTCACGCCGAATGTCGAGGGCCCTTGGTCCCAAATTCCAGAGATTTCGAAATTCGACATTTTCGTCCCACACATTCGCAAAATGGAAGAGCCGTTGCGCCTCGCTGTTTTCGCGTAGTATTGCGCTTCGAGGTGGCCAATCGTTGAGCCTTCCGCGAGCGGGTCGAGCTTCCCCATTCGAGGAAGTAGCCGTAATTGCCAGGCGAGGATGTTTACGGTGAGTAACGTTTTCGAAACAGCTCGCAGAGCATCGCGAATGCGATGAATTCGAGTCGCATGAGCCAATATTTCTGGTTCTCCGATTCTATGGAAATGGTGAAAGCACGCAGAAAGTGGATCCCGCTCGGACACTACACTATCACCTTCATATCTCGCTTACTGTAAGGAATTTTCCCGAATTCCTTATCGGGGTTGACTGCTTCGCGTACAACCCGATTTTCGGACTTCGCACGTTCGGCCGATTTCAACGCTGCCGAGGCTCCTCGCGTCGCCTTCGGCATTTCCCATCGCCAAACCTGCACCCAACCTCGCTCGTCCGAGGTTCCCTCCTAGCTAGGCTAGCCCTACATTAGTCTGTGCATTCATTGTATTCGCAGTTGATTCAGTCACTGCCTCGTTATTCGTTTACCTGCGCACTCTCTTTTACAACTCATAACACTTACAATGGAGAAACATTTATATAAAAGGAGCAGTCATGTGCAACAAGGTGTTGCTCATGAACCAATTCTTATTCTCCGTCGTAAGTATCACATGCAATTTCCTTCTGCAGGCGCAGCCGTCTTCGGCGACGCTGCAGTACATTCTCTCCCCATCGATGTATGCTTTTAGCCAGCTTGCCAAATTGTTTCCTATGGTCCAAGATATCCGCCTCAAATCCACGCCTTCCTCCGCAATAGCGAACCCCAACTACAAGCATGTCCGCTTGTGCAGCAATAAGCTTATCCAGTATTCCCACAATCCCTGCATTGGAAAAAAATGTAAGAACAATTGTGTACTTGTGACGTAAAGGTTAGCAGCTGTACTCGTAATTGCTGGAAGGAATAAGTGAGTGCAGAGAAACTGTACACCGAAAAGAGCATACCTGGATCGAGTTTATTGACCGAAGGAACAATCTCATCAATCATGATACTCCTCTTGGGTAAGCCACCATAGCCCACAGGTTCTGTCAAGCCTCTTGACCCACTGCTGTTGCTGCTTCCCCTGCCTCTGCTGGTAATGCCATCACTACTATTGCTGCTTCCACTTCTACCGCTGCTGCTGCTAATCTGGGTGCCATCTGTGTCTCCATCCCCTTTATAGCCATCCCCGTCACCGTCGACAAGAGCCCTGAGCTGTAGCAGCGCACGGTGCCCTGCGTCAATGGTTTGCTCCCGCCCGTATTTTTCCACCATCACTCCCCACGACTCAGACCTCACGGTCCACTCCTCATCTGCTTTCTGCTCAGATTTGCTACTGGAGAAGCTTGTATCGGGGATGGCAGATGCAGCGCCAGCAGCCGGAGCAGCAGCAGTAGGAGCAGCGGCGGCAGCAGCAGCCCCAAAGGCAATGTCCGCGCTAATGAACACTGATGGACTGCTGCTGCTCTGGGTAAATCCCACTGAAGTGTGCATTGATGTGTTTCCTGTCACTTGACCGGGCACTAGTGATATGGAGTGATGGGATGGTGCATCACCACTGCAGGCATTTCTCCCCTTGGCTGGCGTACCCTCCATCCCCTTGGAGAGCTGCTGCTGCACCTGGTGCACGGTTCTTGCTGCCTCTGCCACGCACCAGTGCATCTGCTTGCCGATCTTCTGCTCCTGCTGCAGCTTCCCTCCCTGGGAGAGAGAGAGAAGGGGAGGGAGACGGGAGAGATACAGGGGGTAGGAGGAGGAGGGGTTAAGGCGGGTGGGTGAGAAAGCCTTTTTTCAGGCCGCTTCTGCCACGCACCAGTGCATCTGCATGCCTATCTTCTGCTCCTGCTGCAGCTTCCCCTCCTGAAAGGCGTACGAAAGGGAACTCAACATGACTCATGCGACATACTGGAATCGAAAGTGCAGGGAAATGAAGGTGGGGGAAGAGGGGGGAAACAGCAGGGGATGCTTTTCCAGAGAGGGGTGCAGAGGAATGCAGAGAGGGGTACTCAGCACGAGTCATGTAATGTACTAGACTCGAAAGTGCAGAGAATTGAAGGGGGAGGGGGGGCAGCTTCAGAGGATGCTTTTCCACTATGCAAAGGGGGTAACGCACCACAAGCCAGGCAATGTACTCGGAGCGGAAGTGCAGGGCGATGTATGGGCGGGGGAGTGCTTCTGAGATGGAGCGAGCGAGGGAGTGCCAGCGCGGGTGGTAGGGCAGCAGGACGGGCGCGAGGAGGGAGGTGGGCGGACGGATTGCCATTTTCTTGTAGGTTGTTTTCACCCACACCACCACGTCTGTGTGGTCCCTGATGCGGTGGAAAGGGGTGGAGTGGGATGGAACAGGATAGGCCGGGTTGGGATAGGGTGGAGTGGGGCGTTGTGGGGTGGGGTGGGGTTAATGAGGACGGAGGTGGGCGGGTGGATGGCCATTTTCTTGTAGGTTGTTTTCACCCAAACCACCACGTCTGTGTGTTTCCTGAAGCGGGGTGGAATGGGTTGGGGTGCGTTGGAAAGGGGTGGGAAGGGTTGGGGCGGGGTGGGGTGTATGAAGTGGGAGGTGGAGGGGCAGATGGCCACTTTTAAGTAGGTCGTTTTCACCCACACCACCACGTCGGTATGATCCCTGGTGCGGTGGAGTGGGGTAGGGTGGGGTGGGGTGGGATGGGGTGGATTGGTAGAGTACAGGTTGGGATGGACCGAACTGGGTGGGATGGGATGAAGTGAATGAGGATGGAGGTGGGCGGGCGAATGGCCATTTCAACCACACCACCATGTACTTGAGCTCCCTGATGCGGTGGATAGGAGTGTGAGGTGGGGTGTGGTGGGGGAAGGTGGGACTTGCCATTTTTGGAATGGCTTACCTTTTTATGGAAGGCTTTGAGGAATCGGAAGGTCTTGCGGATGGTGATGACCTGAGTGTTGGCACGCATGGACAGGTGGCTGGGGCCATACTAGGAAAGGCTTACCACTTTAGGAAAAGTGACTTACAACTTCCGGAAAGACTTACCACTTCTGGAAAGACTTACCACTTTAGGAAAGTCTTACCACTTTTGGAAAGCTTTGAGGAACCTAGATGCCTTGCGGACTGTGATGACTTGAGTGTTGGCACGCGTGGGCAGTTGACCGAGGGAGTAGGTGAGGATGGCACCCAGCCCAGATGCCACCTCCCCTGCGGTGGTGGGGGTAAAGAGAGAAGGAACCGAGTGCGGATAGAGGGAGCGGCGTATTGGCAGGGAACTTGTTAGTGCTGGCCGAGGGAGTAGGTAGGTGAGGATGGCCCCCAGCCCAGATGCCACCTCCCCTGCAGTGGTGGGAAGAGCAGGAGAGAGAGGCAGGGACATTGGGAGGGAGATGCGTGCGCGAATCTGAATAGCGCTCGAGGGGGGTCTAAGATCGATTTGAAGAGAAGGAGAGAGGCTTACCGAAGTTAAAGCAGGGCCGGTTGAGTGAGGGCGTTTCGACGCACATGAAGCCAACCGATAGTGCAGCGGAGAGGGAGGAACGGGCGAGGAGGAGGAAGAGATCAGGCGATACCCAGTCCACAGGGAGGTGCGATGGGAGGGGCGAGGAGAGAGGTGAGGAGGAATGGGTTTGAGAGGAGGAATGAGAGGAAGAGGAGGAGGAGGAGGAGGAGGAGGAGGAGGAGGAGGAGGAGGAGAAGGAGGAGGAGGAGGAGGAGGAGGAGGAGGAGGAGGAGGAGGAGGAGGAGTGAGTGGAGGAGTGAGAGGAGGAATGAGTGAGTCGGGAGAGGTCCCAGTAAGAGCAGAGGGGGTGCTGTCGCCCCACTGACACGCGGCTGCTACCCACGTTCGGCAGCACCAGCACCCTCCCCGTCAGCCGTGCAAGCCGAGCAGCTTCCAGCAGGTGGCCTCTGGCGTTGCTGGTTTGCTCCATGGCGAATGCCAGCACGAGGAAACGCGGGTTTGTGAATACCTGAAGGGTAATTGTGGGTGGGTGGGTGTGGAACTGAATGAGGATGGGTGTGGGTGCAGCTCGGGGGAATGAAGGGAGCTGTGAGTCGGGCGGCTCCCAGGAAATGGGCTCTGGCGTTGCTGGTCTGCTCCATGGCGAATGCCAGCATGAGGAAACGAGGGTTTGTGAGTACCTGAAGGGTGTGGATGGGTGGGAGTGGGTGGATGGGTGGGGTTGGGAGCTGTGAGTAAGACCGGAAGCCTTCCAGAGGGGGTGCTGTCGCCGCCCCACTGACAGGCGGCTGCTCTGCTTCCCACGTGCGGCAGGCAGCACCAGCACTCGCCCCATCAGCCTCGCCAGCCGGGCTGCTTCCAGTGGGCTCTGGCGTTGCTAGTTTTCTCCATGGCGAATGCGAGGACCAGGAAACGCGGATTGGTGAAGACCTGAGGGGTGGGTGGGCGGGCGGGCGGGCTCTTGGGGAATGATCGAGACGTGACGTCTCAAATCCGGTAACAAGCAATTCTTGTGATAACTTTGGGAACCCGCCTGGACCATGAACCACCAAGAGGGTGCAGGGAACAGAGGGCATTGGAGAACTTTCAAAAGCCAACCAGAGAGAACAGGGAGCAGAGAGTATCATCATACCTTGGGGCTGGAGAATGGAACGTGGGGTATGGGCCAGCAGGACTCGGGCCAGGTAGCACCTCCCCCAGATGCTGCCAAAAAATCCGATGCTGCTGGCGATCCCACTATCTTTTCTGAGCTGCTGATGCCACTGCTGCCACTGCCGCCGCTGCTGCCCCTGCTGCTTGACTGCAAGGGCAGATGAAGCAGCTCCTTCTCTATCTCCCTCACTCCATCACACACTCCCCTCACCCCCTCCCTCACTCGCTCTACACTCGTCTTGTTGCTCCGGAGAGCCTCGAGTATATGCCGAGCCTGCGGAGGCTCGGAAGACTGGACAGGCCCGGGAAGCTGCACAGGCTCGGAAGGGTGACCCAAGCTCCGGCTACCATTGCGCGCGGGACTGGAACTGGAGCGATCAAGCACATTCATGGCAAACACTTTGTCATTCACCCCATTCATGGCACTGGAAAAACTGGAGCGGTCCTCCAAAGACAACCCGGTTCGGGTTCGACCCTCATGGCTCCCATCTGTCTTCGAACGCGCCTTAGAAACGGACAAGAGGCGTCGAGTGCGTCCCGCTTGACCCTTGTGGTCGTCTGGAGGTGCATGAAAACGGGACAGGCGGCGTTGAGAGGGGCGGCGCTTCTGACTCTCCTCGTCCCCAGCCAGGCGAGCATGGAGGGTTCGCTCCCATGCATTGCTACACACTACTTCACCCGACCATTGTTTTCGGGCAGGCGAACCCTCCTCGCGGGCAGCTGAAACTCGAACCCCGCTGCTGCCCCGGGCAGAAGCAAGCTCAGCAAGGTGCTCCAGACCTCTCCGAATGAGTGCCCTGCATTCATATACCACACGTGTCTCTTCTTTCTCTTGTGCACCTGACTTCGAGCCAGCCGGCGAGCCTGTCGCCAAGCCTGTTTCCGAGCCTGCCCCTGCCCCTGTCCTTCCCCCTGTTCCTCCCCGTACCTCTGCCCCTGTCCTTCCCCCTGTTCCTCCCCGTACCTCTGCCCCTGCCCCTGTTTCTGCTACTGTTGCAATCTCAGCTCTTCCTGCGAGCTCCTCAACCCCTGCTTCTCCTGCTGATTCCCCCTCGTCCCCAGCCCCTCTGCCTCCCACCCACGCCTGTATCTCAGCTTCCAAGCCAGAATCCTCCAGGCGCCGAGCCTCCGGGTCAGCTTCGGCAGCGAGCCTCAGCACCTCCAAGCATGCAGTCAAGGAAAAGAGCCCCGCTGGCTCGAAAACTGCCGAGCGTGGTACCGAGGCTAGCTCCGAAGCTGACAGGAATGTTTGTGGAAGGTTTAGGTTAGATGTGGAAGGCTCGGCAGGTGTGGAAGGTTCAGTTACGCTATGTCCGTCAAATTTTGATAGAACCTCATCGGGTAAGTCCAAATCCGTGAACGTGTTGTTTGAAACGGTTTCAGTCAACGTTTCAGTCAGCGAAGATGACTCATCGCCGGATAACGCCTCGTCTGAAAGCGTTTCAACTTCCCCCAATGTGTCACTAGTTGAAACGGGCATGTCATTGACCGTTTCATCTGCAGTAGTCACTACCTCTGCTGAACCAGCATCATCCGAACCAGCATCTTCTCCTTCCGCCGAGCCTGCCGCCGAGGCTCGGACACTGAGGCTCGGCAGCTCTCTCCGAGCCGACCCTCGTTGACTCACCATGTGCAGTTCGCCGCCCAAAATTTCTCGATTCACCCCAACCATGTAACCCTCAGGTCCCGACAAAAGCTGCCAGCAACACACAAGCAGAACCAGCAGCACGAACCCCGCGACCTTTGCGGAAACTGCAGCAACTGATAACGTGGATTTTCGCCATTTTAAACCGGACCACACCGTCCCGCTTTTCTCCTCACCGCAACTGGTACAGGTAGTAACATCGTCGTAATGCCCCGTAGTATCACCACCGTTAGTATCACAGCAGAAGTGCGAATGCGCTTCGGTTCTAGAATCGAGATCCCCGACGACGGCTGCCCAATCAGCGGACCTTGGGATCCCCGACATGTTTCCGTCAGCACCGAGGCACGTGGCGGCGTCCCCTCTTCTCCCGCTTTCGCCGCTCGACCGAGGCGGGACGAAATGAGTCATCGTTCGTTTCGCCGGAGAGACTGCCTTTTCGCGCCTTCCGGAATTACACAGTCGAAGGCGTCATTCAAGTGTCACTGACAGACAGACAGACAGGGACGGCTAGACGTTGCTTGTCTAAGTGCTGTCAGCTGAACGTTTCTACGAGGAGCCCCGTGTCCTTCAGAATGTCAAAGCGACGAGTGAGACTGAACCGCCGAGTGTGGCTAAGCGGAGAAACGCGCACTGCGGTAAGGCTCGGCTCACTGTGGAAACCAAGCTTCGCGCCTGGTGCGAGGAGTGCACGAATACAGCCACCAACACGACAGTAGTACGAGGCCCTTTCTAATAGTGCCTCTTGTATCCGCTTCATAAAATCGTGCGAGCTGTAGCCAGCGATGCTTGCGAATAGGGAAGAGAAAATTTGAGGCGCCTCAAAAGCTGAGTTCGTCTGATCTGGCTCGAAGTCACGTCAACAATCGACCCAGCGCCTCCAGTCAACCAGCTTCTACAACTTGTTCCCTCTAAAGATCGTGACGGGAAGCTAAGAGTCGCGATGAGTTCCACTAAAGCGTCAGATGCCGACCAGCGTGCAGCCTGAACGAATCTAAATATCGGCAATACCAGTCACGAGTTATGGCGAATGGTGCTGGCTGGGAGTGAAAGGGGATAGCTAGCCTTTCATTCCGAGAACTCGGTCCGACCAAAGTCTTCTTGATTGGGATCGCGGTTTGAGAAATTTGATGTGCGGTTCGTAAAAGTTAAAGAGGTCTCCAGTACGGTGCAATAACTCATTGGGTGGTTGAGGTTGACGTTTCACTTTGGACAACCCCCTAAAGGGGATGCGGTTGGGTTCTTGGTTGGCTCGCCTTCAAGAATTGTGAGTGGTCTGGCTTGGAAAAAGCGTGGACTAGGCGCCAGAGCTCGGGTGGTGGTACGGGAAAGCCGAGGAAGAGGGCAGCTGTGCTGACCTGCTTCCGCGCTTCGGCTTGGCTTGGTCGGGCCAGCAGGTGCAGGTTTGGTTTGGCAACTTACGGGTGCGGCGCGGGCGGCGCGACCGTGACGGCTAACAGAACTGTACACTTTATAATTGTAAGGGCATTTTCTCTTGGGAAACTCCATCACATCAACAAGTTGCATCACGGGTCACCCCAGATTTACCACTTTTGGCTTTTCCCCATGTATCTTTCTCAATGCACAAACGCGAAGCAACTAATAGCGCAAATATGCTCGGGGCCTTCACGTTCCCTTTTTCAAACGCGCCTAACCCTGAAGAACCAATGTTCACCGTAATGAAACGGTTATTACGACGTCCGCCCACTGATTTCACAAGTTCAGTTGAATTCGTCCCCGCCCCCATTCCAAGTCAAATCCTCATTCGCCCAAATCCCATCACTAGCTTTTGTAGACCTGCCACCCCACCACCTCACAGCCATGGCTTGCGCCAGTCAACTAGGTTCGCCCCTCCGCATGGTCAGTCCTTCTTCCCGTGCCAGCGACGGAGACCGCATCACGATATATGGCTGCAAAATACGCAGCAGCAACCGAAGCAGCGCCTTCCTCGCCAGCAAAAACACCTGCGATGTTACCACCAGGATTCGCAACAAAACGCAATGGTCGACTCCGCGTACCACGGTCAGCGCTGGCGTTTACAGCGGGGAAAAATTGGCTGGACATGTTTTGAGCCGTAAAAGAGATATTAGGCCTAGAGCGGCGATGGGAGGCGGTGGCGGCGCGCCTGGCGAAGGCGGAATGACAGTTGAGCAGCTGGTAACCCTAGAAACGAACATCGACGACAGCACACCACAAATCGTGAGTTCTTCTTTGCTTATCATTTCACATCTCTTTCCATTTTAAATACTCGATCCTCTAGCCTGTCACTCCCCTCTCCCCACGTCTGGAATATCTCTCCCACTCTCTGATTGCAACCCAAGCCCCTTTCGCAACCCTCCCTTTCTTTCTCCTCCCCACCCTCCAAATATTCCCCATTTCCCCAGGGCAGATGGCTTATGTTTCCGAGCTGCTGTTGTCAGGGTTCTCTTGATGTCTGGATGGTCAATGTGAGTCATCCCTGGTCAACGTGAGTCAATGCTGGTTAATAAAAGTCAATGCTGGTCAATGCAAGTCAAGTATGAGTCAATGCAGGTCAGGCGGTATCCAATAAAGATGTGCTTGTAAACACGCTGTATTCGAAGGTGATACGCAACTTTCGTCAGACCTCCCCCTGTGAGGTGAGTTACTGTAAGGCCTCTTACGTATAAAAGCCTTCACAATCATTGTATCCTATGTGCCTTGGGATGCCTTTCCAGCACAATGGAAGCCGTCCCTTTTCTGTGAATGTGACTCCACCTTAAAGAAAGAGCAACCACCGTTGTACTCTCAGCCTTTCTTCCCTCCATTTCCCCCTCCCACACAACACAACCACTCACAAACAGGCCATTATGAAGAAAGGGCGGCCAGGCGTGGTGCTGCATGTGCTGTGCGATCGCACCCAATGTGACGATATGCTTTCCATCATCCTCAACGTACGTGCATTTGTTCTCTCGTTCTTCATTCTTATTTGCCTAAAATATCACTCGATATTCGTCTCCATTGCTTGTATTGTGAATGTGTGCTTCATAATCTTTCTGTGACCTGTACATTCAGCCCACCTGCGTGAGGGCTGGGACGGGCAAAGGTGTGTGAGGAGCGCTCCAAAGAGGTCATCCAAAGCTCCTCTTTATCCAATCCTGCATTACAGGAGACCACCACACTGGGAGTGCGCATAGTGCCATGTGAACGTGTCGCAATGCAGAGGCTCATGGAGAGTGCTCTCACTCCTTGGGGATGGGTGCCAGTGAAGGCTGGATACTTGCAAGGAAAGCTGGTAAGCCCCGGTATTATCTCCCCGTTTGTCAGGAGTCTCGCACAGGATTGCCTGGTTGAGCATGCTTGTTTCTCTTTCTTTCCCCCTCGTTTTCTCGGGCAGGTGACAGCTACAGCAGAGTATGAGCCATGTGCTGCAATTGCACGAGAGAATCACGTCCCTCTTAAGGTATTAAATTGCTTTAGGACCCTACTCGGTGTTTCCTCCAGTCCTTCGACAGCTCATTGTATCGTGTGCAATGAATGGCGCTGCAGTAACACCTTTTATTCTGAGCTTGTGCAGGACGTTAAGTTTGCTGCAGAGAAATGGTTCATTGAGAATGATGCCCGTGAGCAGAATCAACTGGGCATGGGGTGATGAGTCATGACACAGTCCCCAGCCAGCCAATTACATATAGGCTTCTACGAGGAGCCCACTTATCATACGTGTTTTCAAGTGCCACCAGTTAACATGACAATGAATTGTGATATGTGATGTTAGGGTTTTAATTGTTTCTACCTGGTGTGTTAAGGAAAGCCAGGGCGCCTGTATTTTCTACCTGAACTTCAGGAGTTTCACACCCTGATAAAAATGTGTCATTTGCTTCGCTATAATGCTATGTGCTGAAGAGAAATTTATGCGCACGGGTTGCTGGACTTGGTCCTACAGTTAAGTAGACATCACCACGTGTGATCCCTTGGGCGTTGGAACTCTGTCCACGACTTCTGCCGCGTCACCACCAGGTCGTTGCGCGCCTGGTGTATTACACGTGTGTGGGGTAACAAAATGCGGCTTGGCGTCCCACTCACTGCCCTTCGAAAATGTCGCTGCCCTTCGGTCGAGGGCCTGTGGTGACCACATCAAGCGGTTGCGAAGGGTGTGTGGTTACCCATTGAATACGAACGCCAATGAAGGGAATAAATAGGCTCCGACGAACAACCATCATGTCTTGACGACCTTGGCGACGATCCTTGACGACCGTCATGTCTTTTGGGCTCCCAACTACAGCTGGCGGCGACGCGTTTCTCTCCAGAGGCTTTGGTTGTGTGTTGTGCTCGTCCCATCGGCTGCCCAACATTTTTGTAAGTCTACATCACCACAGCAAAATACACAATTCGCTCCGTGCTTCATCTCCACAGCAAAATACACTGAGTTTCGTGCTTCATCAGACTTCGCCTGCCCAAATCCCCAAGCTTGCGGGCAGGTTTATTTTGCGGGTCAGTCTATCTCCGCCAACTCCGCTGGTTTCTTCCCGAATTCACGTCCACCACCAACATGCACGCCCGAGCCGCGATGCATTCCAAACTCGTCACCACGTTCATTCGTTCATGCCCGTCTCTTCCAACAACTCATATTTCGGCCCTGCCCATTTCTCAATGCTCCAATTCCATTCTCGAAGCTCGAAGCCCTCCAATCTCACAGCCTCGAGTTTGTATTTCAGCCCGCCATTGTCAATTCAGGTACCCTTCCGCGCTGAGCTGTCTTCTTACCTTGAAGTTTCATCATTTTCCCTCTCTCGACGCTCCCTGCTTTCTCACGCTCTTCTGTCGCTTCCATTCCAAACCCTCCCTTTCTTCCTCCAGAGTCGCACGTCAGCAGCAAGCCATCCCCACTCAGCTTCACCGCAAACCAGGTTTCATCAAGCCTTGCTGCTTCCAGTATCTCTGGGTCTGGGCCTGCTGGTGACTCAGTCTTCCCACAGCCTGACGTAGTTAACCCTTTCCGTCCGTGTTTCAAAAGCAAGCCTTAATTGGAAACCACTCAGCTTCGTTCGCCCGCTGTGTTCCCCCGGGCCGTTACAAACGGGCCGTTTCCAGCTTTCTGAAACTCTCGATCAGCATATCCATTCGAGCGATTTTGACATGGAAAATAATAGAATTCTGTCCTAATTAGGAGGCGGTTCTTAATCGGAGTCCTCTCAGTCTTGCGTCCCAGGAGGGACTCAGTGCGTCCGAGTCTTTTCACAAACCCTCCTGGGAGCAACGCGAAGCTTCGACGCAGTTCAAGGCCTGTAGTTTCAGCTATGCTCAAGCACTAATCGAGAAATAGTATCATCACGTCTTTAATCTGCTAAGGTCCCCAGGCAGGGCCGGGGAAATGACCAACCGCGGCCGCCTCGCCTCCCCTGGATCTCCAGAGGGGCGCCGGCAGCGTCGATCGATCGGACGTCAGCAGCAGCGTCGGCAACGTCAGCAGCAGCTTCGGCCACGTCGGCAGCGTCGATTCACCCCATTTCGAAGCGCAAATTCGTTCCGAGCGATCAAAGCAAGCGGCGGTGCTTCCTGGAAGGTGGTTTCAGCGGCTCCCGTCTCAGGAGAATCAGCCATCATCTTCGCGAACTTCGCAAACTTCGCGAACTTTTCCGAGACGGCGTTGTCTTCTGCAGCGGCGTTTGAAACATCTTGCCGAGCCGCGTCTGCAGCTCCAGACCAGCGTATCGCGCGACTCCCCCCGACGTCATCCTTGGAGGTGACCAGCAACGAGAGGCTGTCGGAATATTCGTCGCGAGGCAATTCAGCTTTTGCTGGGTCAGCTGGCTCGCTGGCGCGTCGACAGCCGTCGCACGCCGCACACTCGTCGCCCGATCCGTCGCACGAGTTTGTTCAAGTTAAGGAGGTGGTGCGTCGTCGAGAATCCTCCGCCAGCGTCACCGGCGCTGACGGGTGCGGCGTTTTCGCAGCTGCAGCCGTCGATCCAACTCCAGGCTCCGCGCTGATTCCGCCGTGGGTCGCGCGGGCACGTCTCTTGGTCAACCCGTCCTTGGCCTCTCTCTGCATCACTAGCCGTCCGTTTACGTCCCACCCCGTTACATCTCGTCCCGTTCCATCTCGTCCCTTTATATCTCGTCCCGTTACATCTCGTCTCGTTACGTCTCAGCGTGTTATCGCCACAGCCGTACTGTCCTCCCCTCCGAGTCGCTTTCTTAAGTACCGCACCTATCGAAGGCTAGGACCGCCCTGGAATACAGGGGAGAACCAGGAATAAGTACGTTTGTAGTAGGAGCTCTGCCAGTTTATTAGCAACCGGAAGTACTAGTTTCCTGTGGCTTTAAGGGACAGACTGTTAGCACACGGTTCCTGGTCTCACAAGGTCTTTGTTCTGTCATTTCCACGTGTCAGACGGAAGAACAAAATGTCAGTCCCTCCGGAACCGTCCAGCGCGGCGTCGTCGTCGTCCACGTCACCTGCATCCATGGGCACGTCAGCAACCGCCGCTGCCACGACATGGAAAGCTGGGGTAGAAGCAGCGGGATTTTCGCCTGTGGAACCCGGAATGGGAGGCACTACCGCCACTACTGCTATTGCTGGTCAGATGGAGGAGGAGATTAGGAGGCAAGGCCGAGAAGCTGAAGCTTTGCAGCAACGGCAGCTGCTGCAGCGGCAGCAGTATCAGCATCAAGAAGCGCGTCGCGAACAGGAATCACAGGAGCAGAAGGAACAGCAGAGACAGGAGCAGAAGGTAGAGCACTGGAATTTGCCGCGTGAGTTACACAAGACCCAGGGACTGCCAGCAAGGCACGGGGTTGGGAGAGGAAAGTCGATTGAGGGGGGTGAAGAGGAGTGGGGGGAGTGGGGAGACGAGGAGGGCGGCGCGCAGGGGGAAGGGGAGCTACACCATGGGGAGCGCACCGGGGCGAGAGGGGGAAAAAGGGGAGGCAGAGGGAGAGGAGGCGGAAGGGGAGGGGGAAGGAGGGGGGAGGGACGAGGTGCGAGTGGTGTTGGGGGGGAAGGTGGATGGGGAATTGAAGAGGGGGTGACGGGGAAGAGGCAAAAGCATGACAGTACAAGTCCCTGCAGGGGGGATGGTGGGGCAGGAGAAGGAGCAGAAAAGGGGGCTGTTGTTGCTTCTCTAGGCGGAGGGGAAGGGGCAGGTGGAGAGGATGGTGAAGAGGGAGCAAAAGGCGCTACGACGTCGGCCATCCGAACCTCCTCGTCAGCAGGCCGAGCCTCGATGCTAGGTTCGGCGGCGGCTTTGGCTCGGGACCGCCACTCCAAGGTGCCAACCGCCCGGGGCATGCGCGATAGGCGGGTGCGCTTATCAGCGCCGGCAGCAACTTCATTCTATGATGTGCAAGACAGGCTCGGCGCGGATACCCCCTCTGCTGCGCTTGAGTGGCTGCTGTATCATGCCCAGCATGCCATAGCTCGGCTGCCGAAGCAACCGGCACGTTCGGGAGGACGAGGCTCGGCAGGAGGTTTGGAAGGAGGTGCGGGGCTAGGTGCGGAAGAAGAGACTGCCAGGTGTGGCGGTGGTGGTCGTGATGGTGTTCGTGGTAGTGTGGGCATTCGTGCTGGTGCTGGTGTCATTGGCTTTGGTGGCACTCGGATAAGCTCTGCTGCTGCTGCGGCTGGTGCCCTGCCAGCTTCTGCTGCTCCTGAGGCGCTTTATAGCGAGGATAAGGCAACAATTCCAAAGTTGCCACTCCCGCCACTCTCCCATGCAGCACCACGTGGCATTGGCATCGGCAGCAGCAGCAACATTGGCATCTACGGAGGTGGTTACAGCAGTATTCACCCCTACCCCACCTTCCCTCCTACTGACCCTTCTTCAGCCACTGCTGCCGCGGCCGCCGCCGCCGCCGCCGCCGCTGCTGCTGCTGCTGCCGCTGCTGCTGGTTACCCTACTGCTGCTACTCTGTATCCCAGTGCGCCTGCTGCTGCTGGCTATGGCGCGTATGGCATGCCACTTCCTTTCTTTGGTGACTCTCCTGCAGCATTTGAATCAACAGCCCAAGGGGGTTCAGCAGCAGGAGCATCAGGAGCAGCAGCCGGAGTAGGAGCAGGACGAGTAGGAGAAGCAGGGGGGGCAATAGGGGCAGAAGGAGGGGCGGCTGGATTAGGAAGCGCATTTGAAGCAGGGAGGTATTTGTACGGGTATTTGCCCTCAGGGCATCTTCCAGCGAGTTATTTTCCTGGGGTGATTTACCCCAGCGGTTACCCCGGTAACCTTCCCAGCAGCCTCCCAGGACTTACTGGGATGGATTTTCGGGGAGTAGCAGCAGCGCCACCAGGAGCGTTCGTTACGCGAGAAGGGGCAAGAGAGGCAGGAGAGGCAGGAGAGGCAGGAAGAGTGGGTGGAGTGAGGGGAGTGGAGAGGAGAGGGGGAGAAGGTAGAAGAGGAATCGGTTTGGGTGGGGAGGAGGGAGAAAGGGAATGGGGACTGGTAAAGGAGGGAGAGGCAGCTAGGGGCAGGTCTGGTATATCTGCCCCTGAGGCTGGACGCAGGCAGCAATTCAAGGCACAGAGTGAGGCTCAAGTAGAGGCTCCATCCAGGGCTGCGGAAGGGCATAGTACACATGCGGCGGGCTACAAGGCACCTCGAGAGAAGGCTGGAGAAAGGCAGGTTCAACGGCAGGTGCAGGCTTCCGCCCACCCTCT